CCTGTCATCACGAGTGCTGTTGAGGCGGTCCAGCAGCGAGTTGCACATCTTATTCATAGATGCCATGTGTTTCTGTAAAACAAAGACAGAGATAATTATTTAACGACAATGACCTTCGTGACTGAGTAACACATCACCTCTCCGCCCATACTAAATTTGTCATTTTCAAAGTATTCCCACCTTAGGCTTGAATGCATCACAAATCCCATAGAGCAGTGGTTCTTAACCTGAGGTCCATGCACCCCTTAGAGCAGGGGTGGGGAACCTTTTTTCTGCCAAGGGCCATTTATAACATCATTCGCGGGCCATACACAATTATCAACTTAAAGATTAGCCTGTTACATTTGGTCAAACATTTAATTAACTCACCCCTAATGTGATGGCTGGAACTGCCAATTTATTTCGCGAGCCTTATACGGCCCGTGGGTCGGACGTTCCCCACCCCTGCCTTAGGGGATGAGAGATGCCCTTTCTGGGGGTGCAAGACATCCCAGATTTTTTTTCAAAAGTAAATCATTAAAACACTAATTAAGCAGGGCAAGTACATACAACTACTTTGTTGTATAAACACTCAATTATTGGCTAAAAACGCCTTTATATACGCACCTCTGTGTTTGCAGATTGTGCAAAGTTTATATGGTGCATAAAAACGCTCATTATATTACACAGTACTTAAACATCTACAAAGGTTATCGAGATTAGTAATCATAAACAATACACTACTACACTTGCAAATCAGTTCAGTAATTGGCAGCCGAAACTCGGATTAAAATAGTACCTCGGCGGTGTAGGCAGTGCTCTGACATGAGCATTATGAACCCTTTGAACTATTCAGTCACCTCCCAATTTGCTACAGTTCTAAGGTATTCGTGTAACACAAAGTACTCGTGTATGGTGCAAGGCCGCTTCACAGTTCCACCCTCCACTCACCATGGGGACTATATCTGCACCCAACACACACAGACATCACTGTGCATCTGCTCCTGCTACTGTTGCCACTCCTGTTGCTCTTCCTTTCACAAAACACACCTCAGTGACTGGAATATGCTGCTGTTTCTGCAACCACTATAATATTACCGTTACTATTGCATTCTCCAAACACGCAACATACCCCTGTATGACTCTGGATCTGCTGCTGTCCCTGCCTGCTATCACTGCTGCTACAATTTCTGCAACTGCACCACCTAGAACTCTTCTTGGTCTTATATCATGCTGCTACTTCTGCTCCCTGCAAACACCCAACACGGCTGCATACCTGGACACCTACTGCTACTCTTAATGCTGCCGTACATTTCATACAGCCAACACCTGTATAACTGGTACACCTGTTGCTGCTACTGATGCCACTACTGCTGCTACTGCTCAATTCTTGCCTCTCAAATATGTTCTTGTGCCCTCTCCACCCGCACTCAATCTGTACTTTTCTGCTGTAAGTGGTGCTTCACCATGCCACTCTCAGCTGCCCCCTGGCCCATCTCCCTGTGATTCCCTGGAGTTCTCCCCTCGACACATTCCATCCTCGGCTGTGTGCATACCTGTGCCATGTCCGGTGTGAGGCGAGCAGCCTCGAGTGACATCTGCTTCTCCTGCTCCTCCACAGCTGGGTCTGGCTTAGTGCGCAGGTGATCCGGCACCACGTCGTGGCTGAACACTGGCACGCGGCCCTCGGTCATTTTCTGCGTAACACGCGCAAAACACGCAGATCCCCAGAGCTTTATAGACCCACTGTTGGGGTGTTATTAGCAAGCACCTATTGGATCCAGTACAGCACAAAATGTGGTGTGGATAGCACCGACGAACCTTTGTCCCTCCAGTAGGGATATTATCCAATCTATTCATCATAACTTGCTTTCATTAATTTAGCTTTTACCTAATTCACGTATCACAGATTCGCGCATTACTTCTCATCTATTTTAGTCACCTCATCTACACCAATACATTCATATGTACCATTCTTACTTCTCTGTAAAGCGCCTTGCTGAAGGCGCTATGTAAATTACGCTAAGATAAGATTTTTACATACTGTATCAGGTACTCGTTTACGATTCAGACATCACTCGCCACTAATGGATGGTAGCCATGCCCGGGAACTGAACCAAGTCAACGGGTTGTTAAGATCATGTGGGCTGACTACTGGACCACCGCTCCCCATATATATGCAGACACCGTTATATGCACATATGACAACATATACGCATGCACGTTCTCACCATGAGCTCGTCGTCCCTGTCAGGTGACAGCAGTAGCGGCATGATGATCTGCCCCCTCAGACACGGAGTCTTGTCATTACGCAGCAACTTGTTCAGCGAATTCAGCTGCCCTGACAGCAGTGCAAAGCTGTCGAGCATGCTTGGCCTGACGGGATACGCACATATATATATACACACGTAAATGAGCTATAGCACCGAGGAGGGATGAAATTCATTTGAAATTAAGAGCCCAGTTTGATTATCTATCTGGGTATCTCTCCTCTGCGTCTCGAGTTCTGTATACAGTATTGTATTGTCCATCTCTTTGTGTCTCTCTCTAAATGTATGTCTGGCTGCATGCCGCTCCAATTGCAAACTCCATGAATGTTTGTACCTGGAGGTATTATATAAAAAAAAGTATATTGAATCCACATATAAGGTGACTTGTTTTTTTTACTTTTTTCAAAAAAGTGTGCCGACAGAACGTGAAGGAAGTTGCATACTTCATACACAAATACAGTACTGTACACACAGGTACAATAAGTGTAGCGTATGCACTATACACATACGGCATTATCACACACATGCATGCATGCACAATGTATTTTAGGATGCTGCTGGCGATTAAATTTCTGATTAAACTGCTGGTGTTGATTTTAATATTGACGGTGCGATTGATGATGATGATGGCATCACCAGTTGAGAGTCTCGTATTGAGTCTCCAGTTTTCGGATGAATCCCTCCAGGGAATTCTTGAGGTCGCTCACGCGCTGGGTCAGGGACTCCAGGCACAGCTCCAACACCTTCTCCTCACGCTGCAGAATCAGAAGTTTTTGTATTTAGACATGAGGAACCCGATGAGCAATGCAGCTCTTTTACACAGACGTCCAGTATGAGCGGGTAAGCAAGTTGCAATGTTAACACCGGCATCAATGTCATCATCATCATCACAACCGTCACGATATTCAGTAGAACCACAATCACCAATATCATCAGTGATGACCATTATTACCAACGTTAGCTTCATTGCCTTCACCGTGACCGTCACCAAGACCACTGCTGTTCTATACAGTACAGTGGTAACAAGTTACAAAGGTTAATGTTAACTTTTGTTTAACATGACCCATACCATAACTATAATGCACACATGATTCCTTGTAAAAAGGTTTCAGTTTTGTTTCTAGAAAATAGGGGGAAAATCCTATTATATATTTAAAAAACTAATCACAATTACCACTAACCATTCGCATCACGATCAACACAGCCATTGCCATTACCACCACTACTATAACAACACCACCACAATCACCACCGGCACTGCTTTTAACATCGCCAAACGTAACAATGTTACAATCCCAATATTTCCTTTAAAAAATTATATGCCGTAATTCTTAAATCGATTGAAGATGTAAGAGGCCTTTGTCAACCTACTGCTGGATGGAGGCCTGCTTCCGCACGCCGTGCTGGTCACGGAGGCTAAGTTATAATTTAATTTCGTTTAAATTACTCACCTGCATATTTCCGAATTCTACTTCTAAAAGAAGTAAACGCCTTTACAAATATAATTAAAGAAATTGACTCCAAACCAACACGAACGTGCCACCACCACCATTGAAGTGCGCGAGATAGATGACGTCACTTCCCACTGTGATGACATCACTCCGGATTTATTGTAACAGGAATACATCATTTTTTACTTTAATAAAGCCATAATTCAATGTACGGCTGTGTCTAAAAAGAAATAAAGTTGGAAATATTTTGCTTGCTCCTGCAATGCAACATACTCTATAAGGTTATTTAAAATAGGTTCAAGTAAAACTAAATCATTGCAAAGCTAAACAAAAAGGGGCCGTCCATAAATGACGTCACGCACCTAGGGGGGGCGGGTCAGACATTTGCGACGATATGTGACGAGGGAGGGGTTTGAGAAATGTGACGTCGCATCAAATGCACAACTTTAAATATAGACAACACGTTCCACTTAATTAAATAGACTTTTTAATAAATGTTTTCACCGACAACATCAGAGTGCAGCGCCACATTAAATACGCACTACAATGACAATAGTTTAAAGCGATTTGAAGCATGTTTTACTTTCAAAATGGAAATATGGTTTTGGGGGGGGCAGAGCTTTGTGACGTCATATTTGAGGGGGGGGGGGTCTGACTTTTTGTGACGCCGTGTGACGGGGGGGGGCAAAAATCGTCCAAAATCGCGTTACGTCATTTAGGGACGGCCTCTAACAGGATGTGACGTCCCCCAAAACAAGTTCGCGTATACTTTTCCGCGTGATCATTATCTTTAACTATATATATTTATTTTACCTTCTTAATAAACCCTCTCCAATTTAACGTTCGCCTAGGAAATATTTACAACTTATATACAGTATTTTTTTTTACAATGACGTTATTACGGTGCGCGATACCTCCCCCACCCGAGCCACAGCCCTCCCCCCCGCCCCTCAACTCACATCCCACTTCGCCGCCTTACGATTGGTCCGGAGCGCTCGCGAAAGCGTGGGGGGGGTGTCGGAGGGGGATCTCCTGCGTTCTGATTGGTTAGAGCGCACGCGAACAACGGGGACTCCCGCGTCCCGATTGGTCGGAGCGCTCGCGAACAGCGACGAGGGGGAAAATTACCGCGTTCTCATTGGTCGGAGCGCTCGCGAACAACAGCGGGCGGCGCGTGTGGGGCAACTCCAACGTTCCGATTGGTCCGGAGCCCGCTGCGCGTGCTCAATGATGACGTGAACCGGGGGGGGGGGTGTTGATGTGAGCGATTGAATAATAATAATTATTATTGTTGTTGTTCCTCTCCCGCTCCCATTGGTCGGTTGCCTCGTGTTGAGGAACCGAGGAGTTGTGGGCGGCCTGTTGGGGAGGAGGGGTATCGCAATGGAGGGTTCGCGCGTCCTTCCCCGGTGCTGTTGCGGCGCTAGCAGAGCGAGGGTTCATTGCGACGCTGTGTAACGAAACTAAAAAGTTTAGCTGGCGACTGTGTTGTTACGCGAGAACGAGACTCGATGGCGGCGTTTAGCGAAACGGCCGAGTTGGAGAACGAGGTACGAGTGCGTCGTCAAGAAATGTTTATTTTTGATCATTGCAATTTGCGGCGGGGGGTTAAGGGGGTGTTCCCCAGGGTGAATGAATTCTCAGGTTTAAAGTTTCGAGTGTATTAATGTACACGGATATGAAACGGGCGTCGTGAATGTGACGTACGTTAATTTACGTGCGACGGGCTTGGGATAAATGTTAAGACGTTAATTTGGATTACGATACACGTGTTGGTTGGTATTGTTGGTCGTCTTGTGGAGAAGCGTCGTCCCCCCGCCCGGCCAGAGAAACGTGGAAGTTCCACCAGTTGGTTCGGACGCCGTGTCAACAGGAGATAGGGCAACGATGAGGGACAACAACATCATCATCGTAGCTGCATGAACCAGTGTGAGGCGCACGTTTGTGTAGGCTGCAAAGGATTGGCGCTCGCAGTTGCAAGTTTTTTTTTTGGTAAACAAGCGTAACTTTACCGAAAGAGCCAAGAATACAAGCGTAGCGTAATTGCGTGGAGTCAATTTTAACTGCTGATGGGCCAAACAAAGGGCGAAACCCGCCCGTCACAGTTCAAACGAATGCTGGTTGCTGGGCCGATTGAATGTATTGAAATAACACGTTCACCCTTGTGGCAATACACGGCAACAGTTTACGTGATAACGTGTTTGTCGTTTTGTTTTCAAATGGGGACTATACACTACTATAATGTGCAGTGCGTAACGCCGTTGCTAAATGCCAGCCTGTTGTATATAAATGGGTATTTACGCGTGCGGTGTACATACGTAAATTGAACACATTCGTAAAATTCAACGATCTTAGGGGCCGTCCATAAATGACGTCACGCACCTCGGGGGGTCAGACATTTGTGACGATGTGTGACGAGGGGAGGGGGTTGAGAAATGTGACGTCACATCAAGATGCGCAACTTTAAATAAATATAGACAACACGTTCTACTGACTTAAATATACTTTTTAAATACTTTTTTTTAACATCAGAGTGCAGCGCCACATTAAATAGGCACTACAATGACAATAGTTTAAAGCGATTTGAAACATGTTTTATATTTTGGGGGGGGGGAGGAGGCAGAGCTTTGTGACGTCATATTTGAGAGGGGGGGTCTGACTTTGTGACGCCGTGTGACGAGAGGGGGGGGTAAAAAATCGTCAAAAATCGCGTGACGTCATTTATGAACGGCCCCTTAAAGGAAAGCGTACCTTTATGGCAATGCTATCTTCATAGCACGTGCATGTCCTAGGAATGCAGTGTAATTGACGACTGTCGTGAGTATTTTGCCCTGTGTGCTTGTGTGCAGCGCAGTATTATCACCAAAACGTTAAATATAAGCAATATTTTAGTGACGATATATTCAAGTGTGTGGGGGTATATTGTGAAGTAACAGTGTGCCACCGATGTAGTTATTTAGTCGGTTTAGTTACCCCAGCTGACTTGGACTGCAGTCAGTCCATTCACTACCGTAAAACTCAACGCATTCGTCAACTGCTGACTATTTACAGGGTTACACTTTTGGCCAAACACGGGGTCAATCGCTAAAGATATCCAAGAGCTGTTGTTTAACCAGCGTGACCCTGCTGAGGAGACCCAGAGGTCCAAGGTTTGCTTTATTTAAACATGTGCCGCTTGATATCGGTCTGGAGAGCCAATAGTAGTCTGTCTGTTGGACTACTTAATTGATTTATATGTGGACACAATGGGGAGTGTTAGGGTATTGTTTTTTACCAATGATGCCCCAAGGAAAGCATAATTAGTATGGTATTTCTAAATATTGTCGTGCATCTTTTCTCATGGATATAATCAGCGCTGGCTAATATTTAACGTCATATGCATATGTGAAAATGAGTATCAGGGATCTCGAGAAATCGGCGGTCGTAATTGAAAGCATTGTTATTGTTTAAAACGTCAAGCATAGTAAACAAAGTATTAGCTTCTAAATGCGCACACTACTTCATGCATATTAATATAAACTGTCTAAGTAGACTAGGTTTATTGCTAGATTTTAAATCCTAATTGATCACAATTTAATTATCGTTCTGTCCTTGTAAATAAGGTGCGCAGCTGCAAATAACATTATAGTATATCACCACTAGAGGGCAGCATACGACTTACCACTAAAAACACCTGCATTAACATTGCAGAGTGAATCCTGTAGCCCATTTGAACTGGACAGAGATAGATTAGTTTAAAAGTAAATTGTGCTGTTGGTGCCATCTCACGAGATGTAACTTTTCCAGAGCAATGTAAACTAATGTTTTAGAGCACAGTCCACAGATCTACTTCAAATATTCCTTGAAGTGATCTCATTTGACCACTCTGCAGAGAAAATGTTGCATGGCAGTCAAATCGATACAAATGGTATATTTTCAATCCCAGGCCGAGAATTCAGCCAACTTTAAGCGCAATACCAAATTTAACATGATGGGGTTTTTGTGGGTGTGCATCTCTGTTGTGTAGGTGCTGGAAGCTGGTCAAGTGTACCTGCTTATGAAGAAACAGTATCGCATCTCTCGGAACATGCGCTCAGCGTGGTTTTTTTCAAACCTCAACCGGATTGTAGCCCCAACACCCCTACACGAACTGGTAACACACGAGTGCTTGCATGTATCTGGATTTATTTGTCTGTTCACCTATCTGTCCCACCTCAGATTAGCATGGTTAGCTACGTACGGTGTGAAAGGGGTTCCACATGCATGTATATATGTGTATCATGGAAATGCCTCTTTTAAACTTGTTGTCCATCAATTTGAGTTCTTGGATTTATCCATTGAACTTGAGTTGAGTTGAGTTCACTCGAGTTTGGGTGTTTAATGAAGCGGGGTGCATTTGGCTCTGGCTGCCTTGCTCCCAAACATGGGTGTCACCCCGTGCGGACCCCGGAGCCAGTCACGGCATCACAAGGTCAACTCGATACCACCATTTCTGAAGTCGACTCAATACGGAAATGTTCTGTAAAGCCTACAGAGCATAGCCATGGTGCTTTCTTGATGACCATTGTATAAGGCACACAGTGTGATATCACGAGCATACTCTACAGTTGCGTTTTAAAATGAAAAAGGCATTGCAAAACATTAAATTTCAGATTTTTATTTAATATAACCTAACCTATCCAAAGTCTTCGCTTGATATTAAAACATTTTTCAAAATCTCATTCTGAAACCCACTCTCCAACTGTAGATTTTATGGAGGAGCAGTGGGCCCAAGCCTAGTTCCCATTGGTCGTAGAAACGTAGATTAGTCAACATTCTCTCCTGCCCTCCCTTCCTCAGGAGAGTGGTGATGGTGATCTACTCGTGCTGTCAGTACTGCCCAAGGGCTGGCAACCTGGTGACAGCCCTCCTTGTGGCTCAGCTACTGCCGATGATGATCGTGGAGGAGGAGTGATGCCCCCATGCCGACTTGTCCCGTCGAGTCACGTGATCTTTCTCGCGTGCCGCTACCGCTTCGTCATCGCCCTAGACCTCAGCCCCTCCACAGCCGTTGTGGTGAGAGACCGGGGGGGGGAGGGGGAGAGTGAAGAGCAGTGGTGTTGTAGTCAGCATATGGAGAGAGTGGTTCTGTTATGGTTAGTACTCTCTTACGATGAGTAGCTGGATGGTGGGGTTGCGGTGAATGCATTGTGGGGACAGAATGATTCTGGTCAAAACTGTTGTGAGGGTTATTTTGGAGTGAATACTGTAATGGTTACATTGTCTAAGGCTAATACTGATTTGTAGTGATTTGTCATGGTTAGTACTGTGCTGTGGGGAGTCATTTATTTCAAGTAGCCTTATGGTGAGGGCTTTGTGGTGGTGGTGGTGTTTTATCCTGGTGAGTTTTCGGTACCACCACTACCATCCTCTATTACTACCCTCATCATCATCAATACAACCTTAAATCTACCAACTTCATCACCAACACCACTACCAACGACATCACCATCCCCTTTCACCTATGAGCGTTGCCTCGCTGGCCCTAATAGGTGATCGCTAATGTGGTGTTCTACCTTCCTCTCCAACCAGGATGATTGGTGTGGAGAGATCGTGTTCGACCGTGTGTTCCGCACGTTGGCGCTGTGTCTGCGTCGTCTGGCACGTCCTTTCTTCGTCCCGGGAACGAGGAATTTGTTTCGGCCAGAGATCTTCATCACTGTGCTCGCCTACTCGCCCTTCATGGCGTCGGGATCGCAGCAGGTGCTGCTGATGCGAGTGGGCGTGGAGATTTGACATTGCTCCCACACACCGTGCCATTCAGTGTAATTGCACAATGTTAAGTGCAGGGGCGGAGCCAGGATTTCAGGCCGGAGTGACATTCAACAAATTTTAGTTTCAAGAATGATTAGAGAGTCAGGCTGTTGAACTGGACGCCATCGGTTGGCGACACACTCTGACAATGCAGTTGCACGGAGTTCGCCAGACCGAGTGTCGTACACTTATACGTGGAATGTCACCCCTGTCACCCCCCCTGGCTCCGCCCCTGGTTAAGTGCTACGTAAAGTTAATATTATATAAGGATTGCAATGTAATTTTACAATGTAATAATGATTAGTTGCATAATTAGTTTTTGATCTTGTGTGCTTTATCAGAATCCTAATTTAGACTGAAGGAATCCGATGAGCTCTGAAGCTCTTTCACACGTCCAGTATGGGCGGGTCAGAAAGTTACATCAACAAAAAATGCAAAAAAACGATAGGAGTGCAAAATAGAGAAAAAGGTAAAGAAGTCACTAAATATAATATATTTTTATTATATTAGTCTGATTTATTAAGCTACATTTGCATTGAACTATGCCATGGCGTCTCAAAGCACATAACATGCAGTATGCGACTTTCATCATATCTCAAACATTTCAAAGGGCACCCTCGGTCGTAGCTATCCCTGTGTGGCACAAGGTGACTTAGCACGTGGCCTGGGCAATAGTCCACCAGTAGAGGGGGGGGAAATTATTTCTACGCATAATCCCAATAATATGCGGATAATATTTGGACCGCGATAGACCACCTTATTTCGAAAGACGTCAGGGAATCTTTAACACCCACTGAAGAAGACTGTAATCCATGGTTAATACGTCCACAGTAATGACCAGGGCGGGCTGCCGGATTGGAACCTCTGCAACAAGCGGCGAACGTCTAAACTGCCTGGCCTTGTCACCGGCCCACATTGCAGTACAGTTGACTGCTCATTTGTTGCGGCCCTCAGGTGCTGGTGCAGGGGTGCCGGCTGGACCGCGTGCACCTCCCCTCCTTCCTGCATGACGTGCGGGTGCAGCTGATGCGATTTGAGGGCCACGTCGCAGAGTTTCTGCAGAAGCAGCGGGAGCCCATGATGGCACAGGTGAGTGCGTCACTGTTTGCGTGTGTGCACGTTCTTCGTGGTTTTCTTTGATTTTTTTGGTGATGTCGCTCTTTATTTTCACTCATGCGCAGATGACAACACCTTTGCAATGACGTCTCGTTAACAGGACGATGGCGACGCTCCCATCTCCCCACCACCTCTCCCCTCCTCTCCCACTGGCCCCACCGCCCCAGCCCCTTTGGTCCGACCCCCACCCTCCGTGCCCCCACTTGGCGCCGGTGTGGCGCGGCACCTGGCAGAACCCGTGGTTATGGTGACGGCGGACGTGGGGCTTGTGAGCGTGCTACGCTATGGGGTGCTCGCCCTGCAGCTGCTGCCCGCCAACACGAGCTCTGGTGAGACTATCCAGCTTCACGTGCTGGCATTGAGTCGGCAACCCCTGAAGCAGGGGTCGGGAACCTATGGCTCGCGAGCCAGATGTGGCTCTTTTGATGATTGCATATGGCTCGCAGATAAAACAAAATATTCTCACTTGTTTTAATCCATCCATCGATTTTTCACTGCGCATGTCCTGTTCAGGGCTGCAGGAGCAATTGTCCATTATTTTAATTGGATGATACTGGCCTACGTTTGCCGTTGCTGGGTAAAACAGGTAAACGCCCCCTTTTGAATCAGTCTGAGACTGCGTCTGCTCGGTCATTAGCTCAAAGCTAACCCTTCGACGAAGAAGATGGCGAAAAGAAAAAAGACGACGAGTATCGTACATTTCAGGACGAATGGACCGAAGAATTCGCCTTTGTGGAGAGAGCGGGTTCTGCGGTGTGTCTAATTTGCAATGACAAAATTACATCGTTGAAACGGTCGAATGTAAAGCGGCACTTCGACACGCGCCACGCTACCTTTGCATCAAAATACCCTGCGGGAGACAGCAGAAAGAAAGCGTGCCAAGAGCTTCTGAGCAGGGTGCAAGCTAGCCAGCAGCAACTCTGCGTATGGACCCGGCAAGGTGACTATAATTCGGCTAGCTTTGCTGGTTCTTTAGCAATAGTGAGGAACGGAAAACCATTCACAGATGGCGAGTATGCTAAAACGTTCATGCTGGATGTAGCCAATGAACTTTTTGATGATCTTCCGAACAAAGACAAGATAATCAAACGGATACAAGACATGCCTCTGTCGGCAAGAACTGTTCATGATCGTACCATCGTGATGGCAAACAAAGTGGAGGAAACGCAAGTGAAGGATATAAATGCAGCGCCGTTCTTTTCTCTGGCTTTGGATGAGTCAACAGACGTGAGCCATTTGTCGCAGTTCAGCGTGATTGCAAGATATGCTGTTGGTGACACACTGCGCGAAGAAAGTCTTGCTGTTCTGCCATTAAAAGGGTCCAGAAGAGGTGAGGATTTATTCAAGTCTTTCATGGAGTTTGCTCAAGAAAAAAGTCTACCTATGGATAAACTTCTCTCAGTGTGTACTGATGGTGCTCCGTGTATGGTGGGGAAAAACAAAGGATTTGTGGCGCATCTCCGTGAACATGAAAATAGACCCATCCTAAGTTTCCATTGCATTATACACCAGGAGGCACTTTGTGCTCAGATGTGTGACAGGCAGTTTGGCGAAGTGATGTCGCTGGTCATTCGTGTGATCAACTTTATTGTTGCCCGAGCCTTAAATGATCGCCAGTTTAAAACACTGCTGGATGAAGTTGTAAATAACTATCCTGGTCTGCTTTTGCACAGCAATGTGCGTTGGTTGTCAAGAGGGAAGGTGCTTAGCCGTTTTGCGGCTTGCCTGAACGAAATCCGGACTTTCCTTGAAATGAAAGGCGTCGGGCATCCTGAGCTAGCCGACACCGAGTGGCTCCTCAAGTTTTACTATCTCGTAGATCTGACTGAACATCTGAACCAGCTCAACGTGAAAATGCAAGGCATTGGAAATACAGTGTTATCCCTTCAACAAGCTGTATTTGCTTTTGAAAACAAGCTGGAGCTTTTCATCACGGATCTTGAAACAGGTCGTTTACTACATTTTGAAAAACTGAGCCAATTTAAAGATGCATGCACAGCAAGTGAGCCCATTCAATACCTTGATCTCCACCAGCTAGCTGGCTGCACATCCAGTCTCCTACAGTCCTTCAAAGCACGCTTTGGAGAATTTCGTGAGCACACTCGTCTTTTTAAGTTCATCACCCATCCAAACGAGTGTTCACTGAACACAGCCGACCTGAATTACATCCCTGGTGTCTCCGTCAGAGATTTTGAAGCAGAAGTGGCTGACCTGAAGGCCTCAGACATGTGGGTGAATAAGTTCAAGTCACTGAATGAAGATTTGGAAAGAATCACACGACAGAAAGCGGAGTTGGCGAGCAAGCACATGTGGACAGAAATGAAAAAACTCCAACCCGAAGACCAGCTGATTCTCAAAACTTGGAACGCGCTTCCTGTCACATACCACACACTGCAGCGTGTGAGTATTGCTGTATTGACCATGTTTGGATCTACGTATGCATGTGAGCAGTCATTCTCACATCTTAAAAACATCAAGTCCAACCTACGATCACGTTTAACGGATGAAAGCCTCAACGCTTGCATGAAGCTTAACCTCACCAAGTACCAACCCGACTACAAAGTACCAACCCGACTACAAAGACATCAGCAAATCCATGCAGCACCAGAAGTCGCATTAATGGTGAGTGTTATAACAACATTATTTAAAAGAATAAATTCAGAGGCTTATTATACTGACATTTAGTTGAATTCACTTTTAAAATATATTATATGGCTCTCACTGAAATAAATTTCCAAATTTTTTGCTTTCATGGCTCTCTTAGTCAAAAAGGTTCCCGACCCCTGCCCTGAAGGGACCCTGGTTCGAGCACTGGGTCTCTCAGGGAGGGGGGGGGTCTTATAGGTCATATCACCTAACCACCTACTTGTGAATGTCTGAGACACTGGATTTGAGTCTTGGTCAGGGTGTCTCGCTTTCTTCATGCCTCTAATGATGGTTGTATCAATTTGTATTTGTGTCTCCAGGTATCATCGTGATCACAGACGGGGTGACGAGCATTCCTGACATCAACTACTGCGACATGCTGCTCACGCAGCTGCGCAATAGCACCGTTGCCTGCTCCTTCCTGCAGGCATGGCATACAGGACACCCAACAATGGCACATCGGGCAGCAGCAGAATTTGACGCAGCTGAGACAGCATTGGGAACAGCCAACACAGCAGGGACAGCAAGGGGCATGAAAAAACAGCGATGGGGATAGCATGGGTGTAACAGCATGACCTGATGTCAGATTGGGTGTCGTTGCCGCTGGTTTCTTTATTATTGGTTTTTACTACAATTTAACTGTTCGTTATCTGATTTTTCTATTTTGTTTGCCTCTTCATTGTTTTTTATTTGTTTGAATCACTGTTCATGTTGATTTGAAGCTTTCGTGCCTGCAGGAATCCATACTCTTTGGTTCTTTCGGTAAAGTCACGTAGGTATAAAATGAAATAAAAATTATTCCTGCAGTCATGAAAGCTTCAAATCAACATAAACAGTGATTCAAACAACTCCAAAACAATTAATTTACATGTTATTTATGTAGTTTATTGTAAAAATTTGGTCACAGTCCCTGTGATCACTGTTACGTTGCAATTATGGATTTATATTTTGGTGATTTCGAAAACGTTTTTTGGTTTGGACATGTTTGTTTTGTTGTAGTACGGAGTTAGACTGATAGCCTTAATCTAAGTTTTCTTGTGGTTGTTGTTTGACTTGCATCCCACTGGGATTTTTTGCACACAGCGTTGGTGTACGGTGCCTTTTTCAGGAATATTTTGCTGTTTTTTTCATGGATTTTCTGTTTGCACAGTCACACTTTAAGATGTTTTTTTTGTTTGTGTTTTGTTTGTTGTGGTTGCACCCGATTCAAGAGCCGAATGGCTCAATAAATAAACTGAAACTGAATGAGGCAAACAAAATAGAAAAATCAGATAAAGTACAGTTCAATTATAGTAAAAACCAATAATAAACCAGCAGCAACGACACCCAATCTGACATTAGGTCATGCTGTTACACCCCCCCCCCCAAAGTGCAAAAGTCTATTTTTATACTTTTTGCATTGTGTACAGTCTGGAAGCTACCCACATGCCAAATTTCAAGTTTGTTGCATGTTGGGAAGTATGCAAAACATTTCGAACAGACGCACATATTCACAAATTTCCCTTTTATATATAGTGAGTAAAATGTGTCGTGCACACTCCTTTACCAGACACACCCAAATAAAAAGTTGTGAGGTGAACAAACATGCCATTTTGTTATTGCTTCTGTTGAAGAGTAATCCACAACATTTAATAATTCGGTATGGATGTTTCCTGGGTAGTTACAGCCAGCATCGTCGGGCGATTGCCAGATTTCTGGAAATATCTTTAAGTCTTGGGTCTTAAATAGGCTATGTCGGGTGGAGGAGGATGTATTACACAAACTGCCATTTTACTCAAGTAATCTGACCTAAAAATCAATTATGAATCACAATATTGGATGTGACAAGCCTACGTGTTAAATTGTTAATTGATCATTTTTGCTGTTTTGTCGAAGCTATTTGGTGTTGGTGGTTGCTTTATGTCATTACCATCATTAAGTGTTGTTCAGCATTATTGTTGGCTGTCCTTATGTTTTTGTATAATTTTCCCAATTGACAGATGAGCATCAACTCATGGTTTTAAGACTTTGTAAATCTTGCACAGCAGTCGTGGAATGGCTTTGGAATATATTTTTCACGATAATAATTTTAAAAAATCCAACAGGTATCCTTTGTTTTCTTCACACAACATGGGTCGGAATTTCTCAATGCACTCTGCTGTGAGATTGTAAGATAACTGTCAAACTGATACATTACATTTTTAGAGGTGGACTTTAGCCAAATGAATTGCAGAACCAAATGTTATGTGTTTTTTTCTATAGTGCTTGGTGACCAGGCTGAGATTATTTCACTACACGAAGCTGGTTTAATCACAATTGGCTAGCCATACTCAAACTCTGGGTTTCAGCGATGCTGCCTCAGCACTCTGACCTCGAAGCTCCACGGCCACCTCTACAATTGTTGTTTAGATGTCATCATTTGTTCCAAGTTATAGTTGTTGTTTATGTCATTCTTATTGGTTCAAAGTCGTTTTTGTTGTTGCTGCTGTTTGTTGTTGCTGTTAGGTGGGAGGTGTCTTCTCTTATGACTGCAACTTTGGCCACGTCCCGAATGTGGAGATGATGCGCTTCATCGCCACAGCGACGGGAGGCACCTATGCGGGACCTGAAGTATTTCATGGTGACATTGATGACTACAGCCGTGAAGACGACGTTTATGAGGGCGGAGGGCAGGAGTGCGGACAGGAATGGCAGGGGAGGAGGGAGAGTGGGAGCTGCATTGTTAAAGAGGAGGTTGGGACATTAGGAGATGTGCTGCTGCATCAGCAGGAGGTGGTAGGAGCGGGAGCCAAGAGTGGCTGTCGGTCAACGGGTAGCTTGACGATGACGGCCTACCACAGGGCTTTCCTGACGTACAGCTTCATGGAGGCAGCAAGAGGTGGCGGTGTCGGAGACATGTGCGGTGAGCAAGAACTCAGCTCACACTATACATCGATCGCCTGTGTTCACTTGTTCGCTAACTTTACTTAGTTATCTACTCACCCATTAATTTGCTTAACTTCTCTCCATTACCGACTCACTCACTGGCTCACTCAGGTTAAAAAAATTTCATCATTGCTAATGAGGTCTCGAGTTCGAGCCCTTTGTCTGCGCGTCTTTCTGTCATTTGCCTCAATGTTCATGACAGGTATGAGACACTGAACCAACTAAGATGTAAAGTTCTAGGTTCAAGTCCCATGTCTGGGCAAATCTCTGTAGGTTCATAATGGCCAGCTTTCCACATGTGTCCCTACCATGTGTCCCACACTGCTACCAGGTGCGGAGCACCGGCTGTTTAATGAGCACCTGGCGTGGGCTAGCGCCAATCCTGCGCTGGCTACACGGCGGAAAAAGCACACCGAGCGTGAGGTTCACGCGGAGCTGGGCAGCATCGTGTCAGTGCGGCTCCGTGAGGGCTACAGCGTGAGGGATGTGGCTCTCACCAAGGGTAACTTTCGCACTTCACGCACACACCGCACACATACTACATTAACACTATACACTAACAATACGCACGCTATACACTCACACTATGTTAAGACTACACAGCAACACTATACACTCGCACTATAGATACACACTGTACGCTCACGATACGATCACTATGCATGAACACAGAACATATGCAAGCACTATTCACTTGCATAATTCTCGCATTATACATTAACAATGAGCATAGGCGTACACTACTCGCGTTATACACCAACAATACGTATGCACGCATATCATCATGAACATACAGAAGTACTATACACGAACCTCTAATCTCCAACTTTTAACAGCAGCCTTCAGTCCTAACACTCCCGTCGCAAACCCCAACCCCAGACGGTAACTCACTTTCACCCTCTCGCCCTTTGCATCAGGAGGTTCCCAGATCGAGGTGAAGCTCGTGTTGCCATGGAAACATAACCTTCGAATCGAGTACTGCGTGTCAGCTCCCTGGCCTCAGCACCGCTCTCCTCCGCCATCATCACCGCTGCTCATCGCAACGACAGGAGCAGCAGCAGCAGCACATTCTCTCTCCCACTGCAGCTCAACCACTACCTCGTCAATATCGTCAACATCCTCCTCATCATCAGCCCAAGCATCAACACCGTCATCGACCACCAACACATCAGCATCGCACTTTGTGTCAACTTCCACAGCAGCTTCCTTATCAGCTGTCACCTCTACCACTACTTCCACCGTCACCTCTTCCACTTCTACCTCATCATCGAGTGCGGTTGCTGGACACTCAAATTCAACAGTGTCGTCATCTTCATCATCTTCGTTGGCAACGGCGGGTGGAGCAGGGACTGCTCGTGGCGGTAAGCAGTTATCATACTACTATTAAAGCTAATCTATGCCTTGAGTTTCCTGGCTGGCTATTGGCTGGACTCCTCTGTACACCAACAAAAACTATTATTAGTTGCAGTGAGCCGTTGCCACCGAAACTGGCTGGATGACTGGCTAAATGAGATTTTCCCTGAAAGCCTTTAAAAGCAGTCGCCTTCTGTGACCCTTCCCACTCTGTCCTCCTGAAGACGATCGTTTGGGTTGTGATCGAAACGGCGCGATTTTTCAATTTGTATTTTATTTTATTATTTTTTTCTATCTACCTGACTTGACCGAAAGAACCAAAGAATATAAAAACAAATAAACATTAAGTTAAATTGAAACGGCAGAAGAAGTTCGGGAGACGTATAATAGGTAGCAACACAGTAGAGGTGGGAGGAACGAATTCAGAAGATTGACACGATTCATTTAATATTGCTCTAACGTTTCAATTTGTGCTCCTATTAATGTCATTCTTTCGGCAGAATAGTCTTTATAGCCTATTGAATATGAAACATCTCACAATACGTATTATGTTAGAATTTCTTTAACATAAAAAATATTACTTTTAATGCTCCGAGTATAGACTCATAATAAGTGTGTGAAATGACAGCTGTCTCTTATTTTCCATTGCAGAGCAATTTGGTTCTCTACTCGTAATAATTCAACTAGTAATATTTGGCTGGGTCTCGCCATTGTCAGCAGTTTTACTGATCTGTAAAGTTATGAGTTCATAATACAGTCGGGTAAATTCACTTCATCCGACCTGACTTCCAGTGCCTTCCACGTGCTTCCACATTTAAATAATCACTTGTGATAATAAATGATGCGTGCTGTGACCAAGTGTTTGGTGGAGCCATATAAATAGTTCTTGTCAAGAGGGACACCAATTTGACCAAGTGTATTGCACTTTAACGTGCCTGTGTGTAAAAATTAACACCGTCTTGTCAGATTCACTAATGGCTGGGTTAATAAGGCCGCAAACCGTTCCATGAGTCCTTGTATCAACAAAACTGCGCCTTGTTTCTGGGTTGGGTCTTTTCTCTAGAGGGTAGAGGTTGGAGAGCAACCACATCTGATGTGTCGCGAATGTCTCTGCCTGCCACAGGGTCCGCCGTGCAGCCTGTGTGCTTAACCGAGGTGACGATGGAGGGCGGGTATGAGGTGCTGCACGACATCACCTGCACCATGAGGAAGCCGATCGCCTCTCCCTATCGCATGGCTGTTGTTCGCAAATTCTGGCAGACGCTGCTCGGGTGGGTCCCGAGTTTATCCACCTTGCCGTCGTTTTCAGCTGTATTGTCATCAGCCGCGGCAGCGTTATCATTTTTGTTTCCAAATTCTTAATCAACATCGGCAGCATTGTCATGTCTGTCATCATCAACAGCAGCAGCAGCAGCATAATGTCTGTCATCAACATAATCAGCAGCATCGTCATTATCTTCGTAGTCATGTTTGTCATCGTCATTAGCAGCATCATTGTTTTCAGCAGCAGCATCACGAATGTCATGACTTAAGTATACTTTTATTTGTGTACAGTGCATATATGTGCGTGTGTATTTGGAAATGTGTTGTGCGCATACATTTGCCTGCAAGTATACGTATATGTGAAGTTTACTATTTCTCCTTTCTAAACATCTCATTCACCATGATATCAAGGGGCCCAGACCAATTTGGTTTTAACAAAAACCATTCTACAGAGACTGCTCTGCTGCATGTGGTCAGTTCTTGTCCTCTTTTGACCATGGATGTCTCTTGTTGTTGTCCTTGACCTCACTGCTGCTTTCGGTACCATCGATTATGCCATCCCCCTTGAACGCCTCCGCAACTGTGGGAGTTTCTAGCATGGTTCTCTTCTGGCTCTGCTCTTACCTCATATTGTATCTTTTCAGAAATGCAGAGTGTAGAGCACTATAGTATACATGGTTGTGTGTGTATATGTATGTGTATGAATGTTTAAGTGTCATATATAGTTTGTGAAGACAAGTAACCCATAGTTTTATGTCAACTTAGCATCTTTTGAGAGTCACACTCTTATAAAAAAAAACATGAGTAATACTCTACTGGAATTTATCACCCTTAAAAACGACATTAATCAGGTTTTGGTAAGCCTATGTTCAGAAACAAAACGTTATATTTTACGAATTATAATCATAGACTCTGCTGATTTGAATAAATATGAGCTTTCTGGCTTGTGTAAAAGATCAATAGACTGTATTAAATAATTCACTACTGGATGACGGAATCCCTGTGTTGTAATGGTCATGGGGGTGATTTGACCATACTTCACCTCGCTAGACAATGCGGGTTGGTGAAGGGCGAGGCCAAGCGCTGGTTATGATATTACTCTCTACTTACCTTGGGAGAGAATGGAAATCAAACTCAGGTCCCCAGGTTCATAGTGCAGTGTGCTATCCACTCCGCCACCGCTCCACTCTCAATATTAGACATGTGTATGTGTGTGCCCCTTCAGGATTGCCCAGACCGACCAGCTGCTCGTTCACCTGCAGTCGTTCAGCAGTAACCCAGCATTCTACACCGTGCCGGAGAGCACACGGAATGGAGTGCCCCTCTTCTACCTCCCACCGGGCTCCAGCACACCTGTGAGACACTGCACTAATATTGACACTCACACTACACTGATGAATGTTCGTATGTATTTTGAACTTCTTTTGCACCGTAGACAGCCGTATAATAAATCGCAAGCACATCTGTAAGGGAAGACAAAGACATGGCGATAATACTGATACTACACCATAGACAATAAACATGAGGTAAAATGTGTCTGTATGGCGACATACAGACACATGCCACTAAAATGGCACAATAATGAACCTAAGACCTAACTGTAGATTAAGATGAGAAGATAGACCTAACATTTACCCCTAACCGTAACGCTTAATTCTAACCCGAACCCTAAAATTTACCATAATGCTAACCCTGACCTTAATCCTAAAAACAAACCAAACTTTAACCCAGTGAATGAAAAATAAAAAAAATCTATCTTCTTAGAGATTTTGTGGTTACCAGTGAGTCCAGTTAATTTGAGAAGTACCTTCTACCTGGTGCCTCCCTCTCCACACTGTCCCCCTCCCCTTACCTTCCCCCTCAAACCTCCCCCTCTGCTCCTCCGCTTCCTGCAGGTGCTGTCCCTGCAGCAGAGTGGGCTGGGCAAGGACTCGAGCCATGGGCAGTTCTCAGGCTACTGGAAGCCCGTGTTCTCTCTTGATGTGGGCAAACTCCAGCGGTGGATGCACCTGCATCGCATTGGGGTCCTGTTGCAACATGACATGTAAGAAAGAGAGAGGGAGAGAACCTGACTCGTATTTATTTGCATACAAAGTAGGGATTAGTTTAAGATTTTGGATTTTCAGAATTTAATTGTAAATGTTTTATTGTTATTTAAAGCTTTCGTGACTGCAGGGATTCATATTCTTGGTTCTTTCGGTAAAGTCACGTAGAAGGGAAATAATAAAATAATAAAAATATAAAACAATAAAATTCTCGATTTAAAGCTTTCGTGACTGCAAGGATTCATCTTCTTTGGTTCTTTCGGTAAAGTCACGTAGAATGAGAATAAAATAATAAATTGATCAAATAAAATAACACAATAATATTCTCACGACGTTTCGGCCACAACACAAGCGGCCTTTATCAGATGAAGGGACGAGACTGTCTGGTCGGACAGCGCTGTCCTACCAGACAGTTCTCACCACAGCAAGAAAATTTCAAATTTTTGAAATTTTCTTGCTGTGGTTTTCACACCTGATGATGATTGCTTGTGTTGCAGTCGAAACGTCGTGAGAATTTTATTGTTTTATATTTTTCCTATTTTATTCTTTCCCTTCTACGTGACTTTACCGAAAGAACCAAGAATATGAACCAAGAATGTTTTATTCGGCCACAACACAAGCGGCCTTTATCAGATGAAGGGACGAGACTGTCTGGTCGGACAGCGCTGTCCTACCAGACAGTTCTCACCACAGCAAGAAAATTTCAAATTTTTGAAATTTTCTTGCTGTGGTTTTCACACCTGATGATGATTGCTTGTGTTGCAGTCGAAACGTCGTGAGAATTTTATTGTTTTATATTTTTCCTATTTTATTCTTTCCCTTCTACGTGACTTTACCGAAAGAACCAAGAATATGAACCAAGAATGTTTTATTGTAATTGCGAAAGTCACGGCACTTTCTCAACTAGCTCGCTCAAACCCATCCAACTACTCGCCTATCCTCCATCAGTCGCTCACTAAATCCCTCACTCGACCACTGTCACTGACGGTGACATTGACTCACTCGCTCAACTCGCGCAGGCACATAGACTTCATACATTGATGCACGCATTCATTGTCATCAAGTCTCCCACCCACACACTTGCCCACATGCTCATTTAACCAATTATCTTGCCACTCATTCTTTCACCCAGGCACTCGATGCAGAATGTATTTATTTTTGTAATTCTGGTTCTTTACATTGTATTTACATTGTTTCTTTTGTTGCTGTATTAAGGCCTGTACCACGATTCATCCACACCCCCAATTCAAACGGCCGTTTTGCCACGGTGCAAAGTCGAGTGGCAATGTCGGCCCTCACCTCCCTCCTGCGTACGTGGAGCTCCTTTGTGCTGGTGGAGGCAAACTCCTACGTGAAGCTCGTGTGAGTGATGTTGGAGTGGTGGGTGCACACAGCAGCTTCCTGACACAGCACCACATCAAGCCCATCTCTAATTTACCACAGTGACTCCAAGTGCATCCGAATGAGTTTTAATTCCTCCTCATGTCTCACTGTGTCTCTTTTTGGGCCTCCCGTTGTCTCCCTATTTTTATTTGCTTCTCTGTTCCCTCTTACCTCCCCTTTGTGTCTCACCGTGTTTCTCCATGCCTTATTGTACTTCCCCATGCATTTATATCTCCCCATCCATACCCATTTATCCCTATTTACCTTGACTCTTTTCCTTTTAGAGATTTACCAAATGGTTCAGTCACATTCTACCTGGTGCGGATTTCAGCAAAAGCTCCCTGTGTCGTCCTCCGCTTGGCGTTTCCGCTTGAGACCCCAGCTTCAACGCGCAACAAGGCAAGGATGGTGTCCTTTAATGCAGTGCACTGATCGTGAAACCTGATGTCCTGGAGCCAAGACGAATCAAAACTCACATCTCGTTACCCAGTCTCAATCAAGACTTAACCCAGCCTCCGGGAACTCGGATTCAATCGAGATTGTATCCTTCACATTTTAAAAGTCCTACCGTCTGGGTTGTGAAATTCTGACTTGAATATTTGCTTTTTTTGTTCTTTCTTTGACATTGATGCCAGGTTGTGGACGACCTGAGGAAACAGATTTGGGAGATGAGTTTTCCACAGCGCGTGTTGCAGCAGCCGCAGCCACAACCGCAGCAGCAGCAACAGCAGCAGCCAGAGGAAGTGCAAAAGGGCAAGAGCAAGACGTGTTTGTTCACAGAAAGCCCCGCAGCTTCAAAATCGAGTCAGCCGCCACCCTCTTCAGACCGTCCTTGTGCTGTGCTGCTGACAAAACCCGTGGAAAAATTGCTGATTAGGTGCGTCATTGTAATCGTCAAAATCATCATGATCATCGGTAGCATAATGATCCGACAGAAGCAGCAGCAGTAACATGATTGACATCATTATCAGCAACACCAGTAAAAGTATCAACAGCATCATTTCCAGCAGCATCACTACCATCATGAACCATTACCATCACCATCATCACCACAAGTAATATGGTTGCCTTTTGTGTGCACACTGCTGCTTGCACACATGCTCATACCCATATGCACAAATAAACACAACCTTGCATTCACGCATGCACCCTGTGCGCACACACACACATGCGCACACGCACTCACACACTGCTTGCCCCCTGTTGCTTTCCCTCCTTGCGCAGGTATGAGCGAGCCCCCATCGACTACTTGTCTCCTCCTGCTCCAGCGCCTCCACTGCCCATGATGCAGCAGCGGCAGCCCCCGCTGCTACTGGCGGCCTCTGCTGCTGTCCCCGGCTCCCCGTGCTCGGCACTCGCTCACTACTTCACTCACCGCCGCTGGGTATTCAGCGTGGAACCACTGGCTTCCTCCAACGCCTCATCGACCACCTCCCCCACCTCCTCATACACGGCTGTGGTCATGGCAGCCTGCACCAGACTTCTGCAGACACTCGCAGAGTAAGGGCGGTGGTGGTTCATGTTGGTGATGCTCATAATGTGATGATGGTGTGGGGAAAGTGGGTATAATGATGTTGATTGTGTGCTTATATATATTGTTGATATTTTTCCTTATAAAATTAAACATAATCCACATGGTGTTGCTATAGTTAGAGTAATTAACTCATAATAAGTGAGTTCAAATTTTCATTAATAACATCCTCGCCATAATTTGCGTCATCAAATAGCATCTCATCTACCTCATCCTTCTGCGATGAATACAATGAATTGCACCATTTTGTGAGTAGTGGACAGTGGTTATCCGATGGATTAATGTGAGAATGTGGAATTTACATTGCTGACTCAGCCAAGTAAGGTGTGTACCACCAAAGGTTATTTGAGCAAAAAGACACTTTGCAATTACGTCGATAACATTTTTATTTATTATTGTAATGATGATGTTTTTCAGACTCCGTCTTGCTGAGGGCTTCAACTTTGCAGCGAGTGGGGATGGGGTCGTTTCTATGGTGACAGAGTTGCCCATGAAGGTAGTGACCCCAAAAAGTACATTTTCCTCCGTGCACTAGTGTGTGTCCATAATGCTGGTCTTAAGAGGTTGCTTGCAAACATTTGTTAACTTCGTGCGTGTGTGTGTGTTTGCAGGCAGAGTGTGAAGGTAAAGGTGATTGCGATGAGGTGCAGACTTGTCTGGTTCAGTATGTGCTCTTCCCCCCTCTCAGCAGTTCACCCAGACACACGTGAGTGTTTAATTGTCACTGCATCGCAACTCACTGACACCACTAACTACTAAGACCACTACATTCAATAGCAAAGTTATTGGTAGAACAGGCGAAACAACTTTGAGGTTCAGAATTATATTGTAGCGGGTGAGCGTTATAGGTGTAATTAGGAATTATCGGTTGTGATGGGTGGGGCACATATGACAGATGGAGGAAAGCAAGTTATTAACGTGGATATTGGCCTGCTGACCTCTGGTGACAAGGGGGAAATCCTAAAGCCAGGGGTGGTAATGAAGCTTTCTGAGTGGTGCTTGAAGGATATGTCAACTGTTAAATTAAACTTAAGCCAGGCAGTGGTTATACACTCAAGAGCCAACCATGGAGGTCAGGTGTAAACGTTTGCAAAATTTGGTAGTATTTTACAGAAGGAAGAAAGCGATGGCAAGAGATGGTGGCATCAACAGCATTGGCTATGATGACATTGACGTATGGAATTTTATGGTAAATTGTTGCTCACCTCGCCAGGTTTTCAACTGATGAAGATGGCGATGATGATGGTGAAGATGACTGCAATGGTGACCTCTTGGGTTCTGATGGAGAGGTAGAGCATTCGTGGCTTGATTGAGACTTCAGCTTCGAGAGCCAAGAGCTCATTAGAGTCCCAATCAGTCAGTCATTATTTATATGTGTGTCTCTGAGAGTATTATTGTCTTTGAGTATCCCTATTTCTCTTATCAATGTACCAGTGTCTTAATGAGTACGTATGTCTCAATGAGTGTATGAGTAGCTTCATGAGTATCAATGTGTATGTGTCTAGTTATCTGTATGAATATCTGACTGTCAATTAGTGTCTCGTTATATGAGTGTCTCTTGAGAATGTGTCGCGATATATTTGCATCTTTTTGTGAGTATTCCTGTTTCTTTGGTAGTTTATGATCATATTTACGAGTGTCCGTGTGTCTCATGAGTGTTCCTATATGTGTGCCCCTGTCTCCAGGTAATGCTTCTTGTCTCAACCGAGTGCTGGTTGGAGCCCCTGTCGGGCCGGGTATCAATCCCACCTGAACGCTACGCTCAGCAGTCGCACCTGGACGGACTTTGTTACACGGACATTGCCCATGCAGTAAGCTCGCACCCATAAAACATTTGCGTATAGAGTCTTGTACAATTTGCACATACACATTTACAGCACTAGAACTGAAGGCTCGCATACAATATCGATGTACACGCTCGCATTCAACACTCACACTGAAGACTGGCGTACAATCGCATACAGTAAAACAATAATCAATTACACATGCGCTTATAAGAACTCGCGTACTCTTACCAACATTCATATAGACTTGTACTCACCCACACTAATACCCTTGTATATAAAACTGGATACTTCCCAAAACACACACGTACATTTACACACAATTAACACTTAACTTACTCCCAAAACTCACACACACCAGCACTCGGGCGCGCATACACACGTAAACGCTTGCATACATTTATAAACATTTGCATTCACTAGCCTTGCACAACAATAGCAATGATAAAGCCTCTGATGTTGCTGAAAATGACAAACTCCTGTCATTGCTGGTGTTGATTTCACTATCTTTGCTGCTGCTGATGATGGCAACTGTTTTGTGCCAGATGCACCCTCGTGATATAGACTGTGTCAACACTCTGCTGACCAGTGAACTGCTGGCATTCCTGTGCAACAATCCAGATGCTCACTATGCAACCAACCGTGCCATACAGCCCCTAGGTAAATTATCTTGGTCGGTCAGTGTGTGCATGTCTGTGAGAGTGTCGTTTGTGTCAGTCCATGTGTGTAATGTTATGTCTGTGAGCACATGTAGCAGGTCGTCATTGTAACTGTAGGGTGGAAAACAAGCAGAATCACTGTCGGTAGTCAAGAGTGGCTGTTGTCCCGTGTATGAATGTTTTGTATGTTGAACGTCTTTCGCACCATATGTAGCCAACCATACTAGTCGGAGGTGTGTGTGATTGTAGTGTGCGTGGAATGTGTTTGTGGTGCAGCGATTTAGTGTTTTACCCTTTCCGCCCCCCCCCCCCTCTTCTCAGTGATTTTATAAATTGTTACAATTGAGGGTGGTGAGTCAATTCGGTAATTATTTTTGCGTCTCGTTTTTCGTCTGGAGCAATTTCTTATTTTCTGTCTTGTTCTGACCATGGTGCTGATTGTAAAGTTGTAAACATTTATTGAAAATGATGAAACTTGACTAGTGTGGTGTGTGTGTGTGTATCTAAACTAGTTTCTATGTTGCAGGTAGTCCTTGCTGTGGTTCTTTGCTATGCTATGATCTCTGTTATCTGTTTGATTCTTAGCCATAGATAACATTGGGGGAAAATTGTATCTGAGCTCATCCTGGGCTTTGCATAAGTCAACTGAGCCTTAATGGAGTACTTGTTGCTGTTGGTAAGATATCTGCACATTTGAGACAATGTATGCATGTTGAAATTATTTTGCACTGTACGTAACCAACCAGGGGGAAGGACAACAAACTAAACACAAAGCATTCGTGACTGCAGTAATTCATATTCTTAGCTCTTTCGGTAAAGTCACGTTGAAGGGAAACAATAAAATAATAAAATATAATAACGTATTTATTATATATATTTTTATACATTATATATTATTCAATATATATTTATTATATATTTTATTATTTTATTGTTTCCCTTCAACGTGACTTTACCAAAAGAGCTAAGAATATAAACACAAAGCAGTTCTAAAGAAATGAGTTTTCAATCTAGATTTAAATGTGCATAGCTCCAGTGGCTTCCTAAAATGTATCCGATATATTCCTGATCACAACACTCCTTGACACTTGATGCTGGTCTTAATATGTGTTTGCGAAGAACACTTAGCTCAGAATTACTTATGGCTAAACAGCAACTCATTGTCTTTGTGTGTGTGTGTTTACAGTTAAGCAGCAGAGTGGGGCCAGCACTTTGTGGCACATACCTTTCCGATTTGATCTCATGTGCCTCCTGCCCAAGTGTCGACAGGCGGAAATGGTGTTCAACACCTACAGCACTGGTGAGTGGGTGAAATCGGTGGTGTGTATGGAGTGGGTGATAAAAGGGCTGAGTGAGTGAGTGAATACGTGGTCCATGCATACATAATTTCTGATTTACACTTCTTTACCCAACTGTGTATTGTATGTGTGTATAGATTATTCATGGCCCGACTCTTCAACCACTGGCTCCACTCACCCATCTGATTGGCTCCTGAGCCTCTTCCATACCAGCCTATCAGATGCCCTTTCTCTCCGTGAAATTCCATTGGACGAGGGTGATCATGTGACCTTTGTGAAGTTGGTTCTCGAGAGGAACAGGGGTGGCCATAAACCTCTCTTCAGCATGCCGACGCAAGAAGGTGCAACCTTAGCTAACTTTGTTGTTGATTAATTTAAACAAAACTCACTCTAGTTACGTCACCATTTTGTTGTTGTTAGTATTATATTCATGTTGGACAGCCTGCCACATCCAGCCGAGGAATATATATAAGATGATTGTTTTGGCTTGTGGGTTGTGTCCTTCATTAAATTTGCAATGCTGGAGAGCACATTAGGCTATTTGATGTTATCTCGAAAGTCGTTTGACTCCACGCTTTTCTTGTGCTGACATTGTACTATTTGTAAGGTTTTCTGTTGTCCACAATGACAATATATGTGGGTGGCTAAAACATGGATTCAAACCCACGCTATTAACAGCGTTGGTTCTTTGTCATTCACAAACGACATTTATAAACCCCCTTAGCTGAAGACACACCCAGTCACAGGGCTTGAATCCAGGCTGTAAGAACTGTTAGCTCATTGCTTATGACGCATACATTATGTAACTTACATAGTTATTATGAACAATCTGAGTAAAAAAAAAAAAACACTTTGTTTGAAAAGAGCTGTAGTTGTGTGGTATTGATGTTTAGCACATCCCATTTAGCACTGTTGACTACGTACGGTGAGAAAGAAGTTCAACATGCATGTTTACAGTTAATAAAAGATAAATGTTTTCATTGTAGAAGAGAAGTAATAGTTTGCTTGCTTTTTTCTTTATTTAGTGGAGTCAGATAAACAGGAATCTTCTGTATTGAATGCCAGCAAAGACAGCACAGAGACGACGATTACGACTACAGCAAAGGTAAGACCTTACACAATGCCAAATCAGAATATACTCTCCATTCTAAACTCCATTGTTGAAACGGAGTCTTCCTGAGCCTCAATTGTGACTCTAATCCTCAAACCCAGTCTCAAGCAAGACTCTGATCCTGGAACCTTGTCTCAGTCCAGACTGTGATCTTCAAACCCTGTTACAAGAACATCTAATCCTGACACCTGATGTCCTGGAGCCGAGTCTCGGTTAAACACTCTAAATCTTAATCGCAGTCCCCTGGTTTTTATCTGTTGGTGCGCAGGGCACAGGAATTGCGCGATGGCGTTGTTATGCCAAAGCCACGGGATCTGGGCACACACTCGTCTTTGTGCCGGCGTCATTTACAGGTTACATTGCGTTCATTTTATTGATTTAAAATCTTCGAATTCGTAACCCTTGTATCATCCAGTGTAACGCTCGTCGACTCTAATACAATAATAGGTTTTTACCCTTTTATCTGGCAACAAAACTGACACCTTTTTACAAGGCATCATGTTTGCATTAACCACAATACTTGCGGTCAAAATGCAAACAACAAAAAAACAGCACTCTGATAATGTATGCATTGTCCTTGAAATTGATTGGTCCACACCAGAGACAGCTTTTGTTCGAGCCCAGTCCAATATGGTGTCTGACCAGATCATGCCAAAAGGCGCACAACTTGATGACAATGCATACATTATCAGAGTGCTGTTTTTTTGCATTTTGACCAGTATTGTGGTTAATGCAAACATGATCCCTTGTAAAAAGGTGTCAGTTTTGTTGCCAGATAAAAGGGTAAAAACCTATTATATTTTTCGACTGGCAAAGGAGGTCTCATGATGATACTTGAATACAGTACCCTTGTCTAATCTGACACAGAACGCTCATCTTAAAGACATCCTCATTTCATTCAATACATGATACTCTTTTGATCAGATAGAGAATCCTAGTCTCATCCAATGCAGAACTCGAATCTCATCTGATACATAACCTTTTCTGTATTTATGCGCATCTATTTCATTTCCTGATTATGTAATAAAAAATGTACTTTAAAAGGTATTTGTACAAAATAATGTATGTATATGTGTGTGTGTGGTTGTTCAATACAGACCTTCAATTACTCTTGGGAACCAATCCACATTCAGTCAATCCGGATCCCGTACTCCAAGCTTCGGATCCAGTTGTTAATGCCGTACAAACAGAGGAGTTGGTTCCACTGCCTGTAAATCCAAACCAGGATCCTGATCAAGTCGTCAAGTCTCCAGTAGGTGAGTGTGTGATGCTGGCTATAGCCCAGAAGCCTAAGTGTAAGCTTGGTAGATAATGTGTATTGTGAGTGAGACACGTCTTCTGCAATACAATATATAGGCTGCTGCGGCGACTGCCTTGAGGCTTGCGTATGTTATTCCCTCTTGCTTGGGTTTTTTTGAGCATTCTAGTTTCCTATCACACAGGTCACACTCGCGACTACATTCTTGCCGCTCCAAACTATTCACTATGTATGGTGAACTACGTAGCCAACCGTGCTAATCGGAGATGTAAGACTCAATTGTTACTCATTACTAACCCTTGGTTGTCATTTCTGGCCAATTACTAACACCGATCAAGACTCGCACTCACTAAAAATACTTAATACTGCTCACTTCTTGGGATTAAGATTTATATATATATCGACAATAACTGTTCAAACTCATTATCCATCTACAGTGATGATGCTGCTGCTTCTACCGCCACTGTAACACCTTCAGACACCTCCCACCCCCTCCATCCACCACAAGATCACGTCATCACTCCTTTCACCTTCACTGCTCACACTTCATGATCATACGAGTCACTATTCATACTTATGATAACAGTGGTGATGATGAGTTCTATTTCTGATAATTATTTTACTTTTCCCGATGCTGCTGATGATTATGCGTATTCTGCTGTTGTTGATGCTTTTGTTGACAGTGCTAAAGTGAATGCCCACTGCTTATAATGATGATGATGCTACTACTTCTGCCATTGACACCAACTTCCACTCACCGACACCTTCCACAGGCCGCCCTGCATCCCAGGATCGCCCCCACCGGTCTTCCCACTCACTCGCTTTGAGTCGCCAGGGCTCGCTGCTCGAACCGTCTCCTAGCAGCAATGGGCTCAGGTTTCCGGTTTACATCTACAGCCACTCTGTTGACAGCCTCCGTGAGACACTCACACGACTCCCAGCCCCTCCCTGCCCTTCCTCTACCCCTGATGCCACGGCCGCAGCGGCAGAAGCAGAAGCAGAAATGTCTGCGTCGGGTGGAGAAGACATGTTTTTCTGGTGAGAATTTGTCCTGTTGGGGTACTGCATATGAAAGCACATCCTTAACAGGGGGTTCACGATGGCCAATATACGATGCTACCACTGCTGAAATCCTATGTTTAAGACCTTACACTTTCTCTTTTTCATGGGTTTATAATGACCGTGTCACAGCTATAAACGCTGTTTCAGAGACACCAGTACCACTGGACTTAAGCCCTTGATATGGGTGTTTTAGGAGGTTCAGAATGGCTCTTTATATCATAGCGGGTTCATAATGGCCGTGTGGAGACACTAGTCCCCATAGTTGGGTCTCTCTCTATCGCAGGAGAATCATCGTGGTATTGCTAGAGACATCGATCCAGCACTACTGAGTACCTGAGTTTCAATCCCTAGGTCTGGGTGTCTCCAGCAGGGTTCATTATGGCCATGGCTCTGTGGGAGACCACTGAACCAGCATCACTGACTGCCAGGATTCATGTCCTGAATCTAGGCGTCTCTATACCTCTTGTAGGAGATTTATAATAGCCATTTCAGTAACTGCCAAATCAGTACCACTGATATGCTGGATTTGAACCCCGCGGCCGGTTGTTTGTCACCCTCAGAAGGTTCATATAATACAGGTAGTCCTCTACTTACGATAGAGATGCGTTACAACGACCCCATCGTAAGTCAAAAATATCGTAAGTCGAAGATGGCCTAGCCTGCCCAGGAGTCTTAAAGAATGGTGATAATTTAGCAAAACAGAGCAATTTACAGTACCGTACTGTCTAAACTATATACTGTATGTTTTTATTAATTACAATACTGTATTGCACAGTAAAATGTAAAGTAAAAAAACAAGGTAAATTCTTAGGCTACCTATATGAACTGCAATTTAATAGAAAGTTTTTTCAGGAAACCATTTTATCTGCTATAAAAACTTTTAACATGCATTGAATGTATCGTAACGTATCATATTGTACTGTACTCACCAAGATTCGTACCTTGTATGCTGCTGCGTTTGCCTGCCGCGCGAAATGTAAAATATTTACAATTTTGTCGTATCGCTATCGCCATCGGAAGATCAAAATATCGTAAGTCGGACCATCGTAAGTCGGAGACTACCTGTAGCCATGTCAGGATGAACCGGCTCTGGTTAGGCTCCAGCAATTTAACCTTTGCTGCTCAGTGTCTCTGAAATGACCATTGTGGGCCTGACCCATCCATTGTGAGAACCGCCTTGTAGAGAGAGACCCCTATACCCAGGGCTTGAACACAGGCCCCCAAAGGATGCTGGCACAGCTCACTCCACTGTCCCTTTTTCTTTCACGATCTTCCTCCCCCCCCCACCACCACGACCCCATCCCCTCTTGTCTCAGGTGTTCGTCCGAGGAGGGTGGCGTTGACCTGTCGTCACGGCAACATAGGGAAAAGGAGCTCATGGTGGTTTGTGAGCTGGTGCAGGAGGTGTTCCACCAGAGCTTCATGAAAGGTTCGACTCTGAACTCTCATTTGTGATGGTAATCTCACAGTCGTTCTTGCAATCCTATAGCCATTATTGTAATCCGTGGTCGTTATCGTAATCTCTGAGTCTTTATTGTGATCTCATGGTTATCACTGATCTCGTTAACTCGATTTCTCATGCATTTTTGCAATCTCGCAGCCATTTCCACGATCGCTCGGTCATGATAGCTGTCAACGTCTCGTGGTCCTTGTTGCTATTTATTGATCTTGACCCTGTGCCACCCAGGTCTGTTCCACTGCTTGCGACGGTCGGTTGCCGTCGCAGCATCGGACGTCCTCTCCGCCATTGACTTCTGTGAGGAGACGCTCACCGAGGTGGACATTACGGCGTTCCTGCAGGTCAGAGCGACTATGGCTTTATTGTCTCACTGATGAGCCCCCATGTATCACCTTGGGCTTTACTTTGCAAGGGAATCTGTAGCTAAGGATCTCGGGTGTGTTGGTTCAGTGTCTCTGACATGACCATTATGAACGCTCGGAGAGGCACCTGTACCCCAAGTTTCAGTGCAGAATCTAAGTGGTCCTACTTATTTGGCTTTTTACACGACCATCATGGGCTCAACATGGCCATTATGAGCCTCCTGAGAGAGAAGGGACTGTTCCTGGGCTCCAACCCAGGACCTATGTGGTCCTAGCTCATGAATATGACATGCCCATTATAAACCCAATGAGTGTTCTGTTGAGTGAGGGCTCATTAGTTCCAGTTAAATCTGGCATGGCCGTTATGAACCATCTAAAACAGGGGTCGGGAACCTTTTTGACTAAGAGAGCCATGAAAGCAAAAAAATTGGAAATTTATTTCAGTGAGAGCCATATAATATATTTTAAAAGTGAATTCAACTAAATGTCAGTATAATAAGCCTCTGAATTTATTCTTTTAAATAATGTTGTTATAACACTCACCATTAATGCGACTTCTGGTGCTGCATGGATTTGCTGATGTCTTTGTAGTCGGGTTGGTACTTGGTGAGGTTAAGCTTCCTGCAAGCGTTGAGGCTTTCATCCGTTAAACGTGATCGTAGGTTGGACTTGATGTTTTTAAGATGTGAGAATGACTGCTCACATGCATACGTAGATCCAAACATGGTCAATACAGCAATACTCACACGCTGCAGCGTGTGGTATGTGACAGGAAGCGCGTTCCAAGTTTTGAGAATCAGCTGGTCTTCGGGTTGGAGTTTTTTCATTTCTGTCCACATGTGCTTGCTTGCCAACTCCGCTTTCTGTCGTGTGATTCTTTCCAAATCTTCATTCAGTGACTTGAACTTATTCACCCACATGTCTGAGGCCTTCAGGTCAGCCACTTCTGCTTCAAAATCTCTGACGGAGACACCAGGGATGTAATTCAGGTCGGCTGTGTTCAGTGAACACTCGTTTGGATGGGTGATGAACTTAAAAAGACGAGTGTGCTCACGAAATTCTCCAAAGCGTGCTTTGAAGGACTGTAGGAGACTGGATGTGCAGCCAGCTAGCTGGTGGAGATCAAGGTTTTGAATGGGCTCACTTGCTGTGCATGCATCTTTAAATTGGCTCAGTTTTTCAAAATGTAGTAAACGACCTGTTTCAAGATCCGTGATGAAAAGCTCCAGCTTGTTTTCAAAAGCAAATACAGCTTGTTGAAGGGATAACACTGTATTTCCAATGCCTTGCATTTTCACGTTGAGCTGGTTCAGATGTTCAGTCAGATCTACGAGATAGTAAAACTTGAGGAGCCACTCGGTGTCGGCTAGCTCAGGATGCCCGACGCCTTTCATTTCAAGGAAAGTCCGGATTTCGTTCAGGCAAGCCGCAAAACGGCTAAGCACCTTCCCTCTTGACAACCAACGCACATTGCTGTGCAAAAGCAGACCAGGATAGTTATTTACAACTTCATCCAGCAGTGTTTTAAACTGGCGATCATTTAAGGCTCGGGCAACAATAAAGTTGATCACACGAATGACCAGCAACATCACTTCGCCAAACTGCCTGTCACACATCTGAGCACAAAGTGCCTCCTGGTGTATAATGCAATGGAAACTTAGGATGGGTCTATTTTCATGTTCACGGAGAAGCGCCACAAATCCTTTGTTTTTCCCCACCATACACGGAGCACCATCAGTACACACTGAGAGAAGTTTATCCATAGGTAGACTTATTTCTTGAGCAAACTCCATGAAAGACTTGAATAAATCCTCACCTCTTGTGGACCCTTTTAATGGCAGAACAGCAAGACTTTCTTCGCGCAGTGTGTCACCAACAGCATATCTTGCAATCACGCTGAACTGCAACAAATGGCTCACGTCTGTTGACTCATCCAAAGCCAGAGAAAAGAACGGCGCTGCATTTATGTCCTTCACTTGCGTTTCCTCCACTTTGTTTGCCATCACGATGGTACGATCATGAACAGTTCTTGCCGACAGAGGCATGTCTTGTATCCGTTTGATTATCTTGTCTTTGTTCGGAAGATCATCAAAAAGTTCATTGGCTACATCCAGCATGAACGTTTTAGCATACTCGCCATCTGTGAATGGTTTTCCGTTCCTCACTATTGCTAAAGAACCAGCAAAGCTAGCCGAATTATAGTCACCTTGCCGGGTCCATACGCGGAGTTGCTGCTGGCTAGCTTGCACCCTGCTCAGAAGCTCTTGGCACGCTTTCTTTCTGCTGTCTCCCGCAGGGTATTTTGATGCAAAGGTAGCGTGGCGCGTGTCGAAGTGCCGCTTTACATTCGACCGTTTCAACGATGTAATTTTGTCATTGCAAATTAGACACACCACAGAACCCGCTCTCTCCACAAAGGCGAATTCTTCGGTCCATTCGTCCTGAAATGTACGATACTCGTCGTCTTTTTTTTCTTTTCGCCATCTTCTTCGTCGAAGGGTTAGCTTTGAGCTAATGACCGAGCAGACGCAGTCTCAGACTGATTCAAAAGGGGGCGTTTACCTGTTTTACCCAGCAACGGCAAACGTAGGCCAGTATCATCCAATTAAAATAATGGACAATTGCTCCTGCAGCCCTGAACAGGACATGCGCAGTGAAAAATCGATGGATGGATTAAAACAAGTGAGAATATTTTGTTTTATCTGCGAGCCATATGCAATCATCAAAAGAGCCACATCTGGCTCGCGAGCCATAGGTTCCCGACCCCTGATCTAAAATTAAAAAAAATTCTGCCACAGGCGCTGTGTGGCCACGTGCGTCCCCGTGCCTCCTGCCAAAGCCGCCACAGCAGCTGGGAGGACGATGGTGGTGGTGATGATGGTGATGCTGATGATGAAGGAGACGATGTTGGTGATCTGCACACCTCCTACTGCTGTTGCTGTCACAAGGAACATGAAAACCTTAGAGGTGTTCACTCATTGTCTGACGCAGCGATTATTAACCACACATGGCTATTATAGTTATTGCATGAAGGAGATGGACAGCCAGACCTAGTGCTCGAATCTAGAACTCTCAGCAGTTATGTTCCTCGCACAAACCCTTTGAAGCTCTTTGCATAGACAGAAACCCCCACATATACTTGACTAAATCCAGGTCTTTCACTTGGCCATTATGAACCCTATTTTAGAGAGATGCAGAAAGACACTCAGCCCCAGAGTTTGAACCCAGAACCTAAATGGTGCAAGCTTGGTTTCTCTGATGTGGGCATTTTGCACCCCTCTGGATAGCCAGTGATCTTATATGCCTCTTACAAATGCCGTGTATGCATGTTCATGGGACAGGAGGAGTTTCTGTTGTGGCTGAGGCTGTGGAGACGAGGAAAAACTTAGAGCCTGATGATGGGGGCGGTGATGCGAGTATGGACAAGGATCTAACGGCTACAATGAGGTGAGTAGTACGAAGAGTTGTAATGTTTGTGAATGTGCACCTCTATGCTTAAACGGGGATGGCGATAGTGAAGAAGATGATGATGATGTTTCTGGTGGTTGTGGTTATAACAGTGGTATTCATGATGGTTGTGGTCATGGTGGTAATAATGTTGATAGTATATTCTTGGTTCTTTCGGTAAAGTCACGTAGAAGGGACTTTACCGAAAGAACCAAAAATATGAATCCCTGCAGTAACGAAAGCTTTAAATAAAAAAAATGTTGATAGTGTTGATGGAAATGGTGGTGTTAGTGTTAATTGCCATGATGATGGCGATGCTCGTATGATTACTGTAATTCGTGATACTGCTGCTGGTTAAAGCTTCTCAGATTCATGCTACTGCATCTTCTGCTGCTACTGATGCATAATGGTCTAGATGATGCTGTTGCTGATAAGTTTTTCTACTGGATGTGCTAGTATTGCTGCTTCAGATGTTAATCATATTTCACCTAATAATATTGCTGCTGCTCGTGTTACTAATATTTATTATTGCTACCCCTGTGGTTGCTGTACTGCTGCTGCAGATGTTGACAATAATGCACATGCTCATGACAATTATGCTGTTTGCTGTTGCCTTTTACTCATACTTTTGCTTGTTTCAATAATGCTGCTGTTGTTAATGGTAATGCTATTTTTGCTACGACTGGTACTACTATTTGCAACTATTACTGCGGACTGCTGTCACTCGTAACAGTGTGCTGCCTGGCTCGTCACCGCACGCCGCTGCCTCCAGTCCCCTCTGCCCTCATCTTGCCTCGTCGCCCATCACCAGCCATGATGACCCATGCCAGCCCTTGCCCAACCTACACAGTGCTATACAGGTGAGACTGAATGATTGAGTGCATGAATGAGTGAACAAATATATGGGTGAGTAATTTATTGGGTCAGTGAGTGAGTGGACAAGTAGATGGCATAAGTGAGCAAGTTAGTGGGTATGAGCTTGAGTGAGCATAAGGGGACTTGGCGTGAGCAAGTATGTGAGTGCATGAGAGAGGGAGCGGGTGGGTAAATAAGTAAGTGAATGAGTGAATAATTGAGTTAGTGAAGAAGTGAACAAGTCCGTTCTAAATGGTGTATAATATTTAATTCAATAATATTAATGGCTGTCTTTATCCAGGCAAAATTTTTGGAAATCAGCAGTCGATTTTTCAAGAGCATCCCTTCCAATCCCGCCTTCTTTTTCTACTGTCCAACCTCACCTAAGAAAGAGGTATGGAAGCATTAGGGTGCAATAGGTGCTCACAAACTCAAACACCACCCACTCGTGTTTTCCCTCTACCTTATGCCACAACACAGTAGCAATCATCGCAGAATAATTTTGCTGCCATGCACAACAACTTTTCAGAAGCAATGGACAAACTGCTCTTCTCCAGTAGCTACACACCTAGGTTTTGTGTCTCTGGCTGCCCAACGTGGGTGTTTCTGTTGACTTAACGAAAAAAAACACGTGTTAACATGAACGTACGGAGCACTGGTATGACATAACTCCGATATTGTCATACAAAGCCACTTAAATTATGTCACTAGATCACTCGTGAATGATATTTAAAAGTTTTTTTCACTCCAGCGCTGTCCTACCAGACGGTCTCGTCCCTTCACCTGATGAAGGCCGCTTGTGTTGTGGCCGAAACGTCGTGAGAATATTATTGTGTTATTTTATTTTATCAATTTATTATTTTATTCTCATTCTACGTGACTTTACCGAAAGAACCAAAGAAGATGAATCATTGCAGTCACGAAAGCTTTAAATCGAAATATTTAAAAGTTGTTTACTAAATAATTTATTAATATTCAAACCCGCATTGGACAGCCCAGTACAAATTGCCTACTTGTGTATCTTTATGATAGCAGATATTTGTTTCTGTGGGCTGCTTCTATTTTTAACTGCTGTTTTTTCTGTTTTTAGGCGTAATCAGTGAATTGTTGTCTGTGGTTATGTATGGATTGTTTTGTCAGAACGAGACTCAGGGCACCAAGAGAAAATCGCGGCGCTTTGGCAAAGCCGAGGGAGTCTCCGAGACAGAGGGGAGCACTGGAGGTACGGTTTCTAATCCCGTCTATCCTGTTACAGGTCACAGGTTTAATTCCTGCCGCTGGTGTTGTCGGTCATGATTTTATTTAGGTTATTTGGGTTATTGCCACGTGATTATCATGTTCAAATCACTCAGTGCCTGATCTCATTAAGTTTGGTAACTAAAGTAGACTTGAGATTGGATAGTGCTTTTATGGGTGACCGCCATGCACAGAGGTCAATAGGGCTCTAGGGCACCATGATGGACAGCAGAGGGAATGCAGAAAAATCTATACTACAATATTTCTATGCTTCAACATTTATGCTCCCTGCCTTCACCAACCCACACTGAGCGGTGTAGTGAAGAATAGTCGTGTAACCTCCACGGCATGGAGAGACCCTCATCCAGCAGTAGATTGACAACAAGGCTGTACATGTTCACATGTTAATGTTGCACATTCTTCTTTCGTTCGTTTCTCAGTCTGCTTGTCTTGGTGAGGGTCGTGGCTGTTGCACGTTCTTATAATATATTCCTTTTGTAATAGTAGAGAAGAGAGTCTGATTGTTCGAGGCTGAAGTCAATGTCTTTCCCTTGCAAGTGAACGTGGGCCAACGCTCATCTCTGGTGGTGGCTCTGAGCTAGTGTTTAAATTTCACGTTTCCATAACAGCGACGAGTCTCCATAGGATGACCATTGTTGACGTCCCTCACGTGGTTTCTGGTTTTATCGACCCTAGAGCTGCGCAAACTTTTGTCGTATAGCCTGAAACACATAGCCTAGGTACCTCGCTGCAAAAAGGGTTGCTTCATTGAGTTTCATATACTCGCAATGGAAGAAAAGACTTTCAAATCACAGTCCGGTCTGTTCTCGTGACCATTGCTGGGATATTGTTCCTCAACCTTTGATTACACAGCAGTAGACGATTAACTCAAGGACTTTTGACCATGATGGAGTTTAATTCTGGGGGAATTTAAAGCAAAGCACTTCTTAGATAATACTTACGAAATTTGTTCCTTGTGTGCCCCATTTCTCTTGCACCTGCTCCCTCCAGCACGAACCTCCTTCTCTCTGACCGAGAGCGATGCTGATATCGTTGTCGAATACCGTGACGAGCATAACACGGGAGGGGATGCCGCCACCTCCACCTGGCGCCAAGGACCATGCAAAGGCCCTGATGACGATGACGAGGAGGACGATGAAGAGCTAGAGGAAGAGGATGATGATGAAGATGATGATGGTGATGAACAAAAGGACGATAATGGAGAAGTTGAATTTTCATCAGATGGAACTATTGATGCTGCAGACCGAGAAAATGACTTTGAAATTGACGATGATGACGATGATGATAGTGATGGTGACGGCTGTGGTGATAATGGTGGAGACGGTGGTGATGGATTGCCGCCATTGTTCGTCCACCTGACTTGCTCCGTCAGTGTTCGGAACCAGCACTGTTCCATGCCTGTGCGCACGCTGCCTACATGCCTTGGTGAGTTTGCGTATGTATTGAGATGTGCGGAATTGGCCGGTGCATGCGTGTGCTGCTGCGTCGATTGGTGTAATTGCACTGTGCAGAAAACGGACCGGCACACATACGTGTGTAGGCTCGTATAAAGCATATACAGCGAAACCCCTATCTAACGTTAAAATAACTTTGCATGACGAAGGATATTTCCTGAAATTAAATGCCAACTCTTTGAGGTAATTCCTGTTCTGCTACCCATGCTGTCTGGAATTCCCTTTCTTGTCCTAACTTCTTATTACCCCTACTTTAAGTATAGGCTTAAGACCTCTTCTTTGCTTTAAATAAGTAATATTTAAAAAAAAACTTTTTAAAAAACACGCTTTAATCAAATGTACCTTACGAGTAATGGCAAAACTCCACGACTCCAGGAAGTGGCCCTGAAGCTTGCCCTAACGCAAGGGACTGTGGTGATTTACAGCCAACGTCAGTTGAGCGTGGACAATTAGACCCAAGCCGAAACATAACATATAAAAAAATGTTTAAAAAGTTATTTTTTTATTCTTAATGATAGAATGTAGTATTGTTATCAGTTTAACATAAGTATACCAAGTTTGCAGTCGATACCACATTGGGAAGTGGGTAAAAATTGAGTTACAAGATTTGAGGATACAACACACAAGAGTGAGTTAAATAAAAGCGTGCAAAATGGAAACGTCTCCAATAACAACTCTCTCCTGTTTCTACACCTGCTCTCCTACCCCATCCGAATGATCTCCCTTTCCCCTTGTCTGTCTGCTTTCTAGTTGCAGAGCTTAAACTGAAATATTTTCTCATAAGATAGCTCCTTGAAGTGACACATTGACTTTGTAATGAGGGTAAGACCTAATGCCAGATGGCGGCAGCGATGAAAACTACAAGAGCAGATCTCGGTGGGCAAGTGCATTCATTGTGGCATCTGGCAGAAGGAAGGGAGCGGTGACTAGACATTTTACCCTTTGCTGTCTTGTGGTTTCTGTTGTCACAGGGGAGGTGTTGGGATGGCTGGAAGGTGTGGATCTGAGGAAGTTTAGTCTCAAGGACTTGACGGTCACATTGGACATAATCATCCTCACCCTGCCACTTGAGATTGAGGAGTCACCACTTGGGATATCGCATAACAGGTCGGTCTGTTATTTAACGCATTCACACGCACATAAGATAGCATCATTTCCAATATGTACTCACGCATTGACTGAATGCAAGTAAGCATTGATGATTTTCTATTTGTATGTGTTGGTGGTGAATGTTTCATGTGACTTCTGCAGCCAATAGGGGGCACTACATTTACCAAAATGCAAAGAAGACAATTAATTAATAAAATTGCGAGTTCTGAATTGTTGCTTTGCATACACATGCAACCACCCACACACATACACACATACGCTTGCATTGCATGTTCATCTGCTGCCCGGCAGTGCAAATAAGGAACAGGGTTGAGAGGTTTTTTTTATATTTCGTTTACTTAATTTTTTTCACATTTCGCTCCAGGTACTCATCTGAGAACAGCGCCTTCATTCACCGCTCGCCAGCACAGGGCAGCTCCTACCGGTCGGACGAGGAGAACATTCTGCACGGCCCGCTGCTCCCCTCGGCCATTGCCGAGCTACGGTTAGGCCACCTGCCCGCGCGCCAATGCTTGCAACTGCACTGCCTCGCTCTGCTGCCCTCTTCATATTTTGTTCACCGTGTTTCTGATCATGATGCCGTCATTTCTTGTCATCATTGTCCTTGTCTTTGGCAGTAAACGTGGTGGTGGTGGTGTTGGCGGTGGTGGCATTAGTTGCAACGCCAGTAATACCAGAAACAGAGGCAGCAGAAGCAATGGCAGCAGTAATAACCCTATCTTTACGATCACCCTCAGCAGTAGCAATAACAGTAGCAGAAACATCATCAGCATCATCCTCATCGGCAGTAGCAATAACAGCAGCAGAAATATCATTATCAGTAGCAGCTCCTTTGCCATCGTCATCACCACCAGTATAATTATCGCCAGGAGCAGCAAGGCACATAATAGCAATTTTGGAGCCACAGCAAGCAATGCTAAAGCCTGACTTCGAGTCCTTGGACTGGGCACCTCTGTTTCTCACACGCTTATCTCCCACCTTGTGCTTTTGTCATTGACGACAGTGAGGGAATACCGACCCCCTTGTCCAACCTGACGGAGACACACAGGCAAGCCGTCTTGGACACAGTAGAGGAGGTAACTTTGAGTGCAAGAACACGGAGTCTTTTACAAACGCCTCGTCTACCAACAGTGTAATTTTCATTCTGTTAATCCCCACATGATCACGAGGAATGTAACAATTCACTCACCTCTCAATTCATTGATCTGTTACAAATCGGCGCCATGATTATATTGAAGTATTCACCATTGTGGTGAACGTGCAGCGCATGTAGTGGCTGCAGGGTTTACTTGAGGCAATTGTATGCAACACCTTTGCATTGCAAACAAACAATTCCTGCACGCCACGGTTCAATGCTTGTATGGTGAGTGGAAAAATCTGTTTTATTTAATGGATTGATGACTATGTTCATGCCTATTCAGCATTATTGGGTTTTCACCACCATATCAGTCACCACAGCAATAAATCGGCATCTTCATCGCTTTACCACCACCTGCATCATCACCATTACTACTACCACTTTCAGCATCATCAACACCACCACCATTTCGATCACAACTGCCATCGTTTTGTTAATTATATTAACCATCACCACCACTTTTCATAATACAGGTGTTTTTGGGTTAGATCGCGTAAATATATCAATGTGGTTAAACCCACCACCACCCGACAGCCAATTAGGGAGGGTTGTCACGTAAACAGAACGTGCCAATTCATCACTAGTACAGCACACCGGTGTGTTGGAGAGCCAAGCCACAACATTTATAATCTGAGTACGACGTTTCACCAGTAATTACAACTAGCTTTATCAGGCGACAGTCAAATTTGGCTGTCGGGCGACAGTCAAATTTGGCTGTTGTGGCTTGGTTCTCCAACACACCGATGTCCTGTACTAGTGATGAATTGGCATGTTCTGTTTACGCGACAACCCTCACTAATTGGCTGTGTCGGGTGGTGGCGGGTTTAACCACATTTACGCGATCTGACCCATAAAACCTGTATTATGGATGATATTGGTCACGAAAGCCTACGTGTTAAACTGACCCACCTTTGTATTCACATGATCACTATCATAATTGTTATCGTTACCACTATTCCAGTCACCGCCACCATCATGAACATTAATATTGTTATGAGACCCGCGACCATTGACACCCTAGAGTGGAAGATGGCAGCCTTCACACGGCCCACTCTGTTAAGTGAGAAATCCCGACGAACGCTATCGTTGCGGCGACCAAACATCGATCATCGATTTTCCAGTCTCCACAGCAACAACACAAGCCACCCCCTCGCAGCGATACAACTCCGCTGCTTCTGACGCGGTTATCTGGCCTAGACCACCCTGGTGTGAGATTGTAGTTGTTGCTCTGCATCTACATCAGCCATACGAAAGAAGAAGATTGACAACGCCTCCCCGCCCTGCTTGTTGCTCCTCCTCCCGCTGCTGCCGCCCAACGCAGGTGCGCTGGTTGCTTCGCGACGAGGTGGTGTCGGCTCTGCGCGTGTCTCGCTCCACGTCGCGCCGCTCCCTCGCCTCAGTGGCCGCCCATGTGTCGCGCTCACGGGACCGCCCCTCCTGCCTCACGGAGCACGTGGCGCTGCAGTTTGTGTTCGGCCCCGACCAGTCCATGAGTCGCTTCATGCGGGTGAGAGAGTGAGAAGAGAGGAGTGATTGGATATGCCACGGCAGTGTCAGGGAACCATTGGCCTGCGGGCCGGAGTCAGCTCACGACTTCCAAGTCTGCCTTTAGACCATAAAGCAAGATTGCTTCTGCCCCAATCACAAATGCTGCAACCATGTTCTACTACTATCTGAGGATATAGATACGGTTTCTTTACATATGCCTATAACAGTGTTCGTCCTGTTGGATATAAGTTCTGGCACTTCTTTCATGGGCATCCTGTGATGGTACATATATGTTGTACAGTACAGATGTTACGATCAATGTCCTGTTCTGCCACAGGTCAGTCTTCGGCTGGTCGTCATTGTAAAAAGCTGCTTAGCTCTAAAGGGACGAGTTGAAAAATCGTCTGTCATTTCATACAGCCCACTGGCACCAACCACTTTGAAATGGTCCACAAATTTGATGTATCACCGCATGCATCTTAGGTGTACGGGAGGGGATTATATTTCAACCCGCTTATAAATTTACACATTTAGTTAGTTCTTTCACTTTTGCAAAGGTGAGCCCAATTTTGTTTTCACATTATTGGCTTAAGGAAGTTGTGAGTTAATGTGTTGGACACCAAAGCTATTTTGAAAGTCTTTATTCAGTCTCTGTAAGAAAAATATTCCCTACTCGTGCACTCGAGAGATAGAGCGAGACTGCTCAAGGAGACTTGGAATTAAAATAGTTTTTATTGAGACTGGGTTTCAGATATGGACCCTTGATTAAGCCTCTGCCCAAGAAGACCTGTTAGGTTTGATGAGAGTTTTTGTTATGTCCCTGTTTCAAAACGCATGTTTCTATGTGTCTCTGAATATCTCTTCGTGTCTCCATCTATCCCCTCGTCTTTCTGTTTTTCTTCATGTTTCCTTGTGTTTCAAGCATTTATTTCTTGTGTCCCTACATCTCCACATGTCTGCATGTTTCCCACACTGATATCACATATCTGTATATTTCAACTTGTCCCCGCATTTCTGTATTGCCCAGATGTCTCCACATGGCTCGCCATACCCCAGATCTTAATTTGTCTCCTGGCTCCATGTCCCCACATTTCTCCTCATCTCCACGTGCGTCTTCATGTTAGCACATCTCAGTTGTTTCTCTGTCACCGTGTGCGTCTGTGTTTGCAAAAGTCTCTTCATGCTTCTTCTACGTGTCTCCATATGTTTCTGCATGTGCTCGCGTTTTTCTATACAGGGTGCTTCAAAAAATGTTAACACTTATATGGGACTATCATTTTTAATGAAAAAAGAATGGATAATGCACTAACATGATGATAATTGTGTGTTAATAGCTTCAATAAGTAACATTTAAAAATACTTTTTTTTAAACACGCTTTAATGAAATGGACTGTACTGGTAATGGCAGAACTCCACGACTCCAGGAAGTGGCCCCGAGGCTTGCCATAACGTAAGAGACTGTGGTGATTTACAGCCAACGTCAGTTGAGCGTGGACAATTAGACCCAAGCCGAAACATAACATGTTAAAAAGATGGTTTAAAAATATTTTTTTTATTTTTAATGATAGAATATAGTATTGTTATCAGTGACATAAGTATACCAAATTTGCAGTCGATATCACATTGGGAAGTAGGTTGAAATTGAGTTACAAGATTTGAGGATATGACAATAACATACACAGTGAGTTAAATAAAAGCGTGTAAAAAGTCAGTCTCCACTTGTTCGCCATCATTGTCAACACGTGGCCTGGAATTTTCTCTAAGTGGTCTCCAGAGCCCGGAGGTACATTTGCTGTAGTATTGTTCCAAATTCTTAGAAAGAAGTGTTTAAAAAATGTAAACACCCTGTGTGTATCGCTTATCTTCATGTGTATGTGTGTTTGTCTCCAGGAGCTGGAGTCAATGGACATGGGACAGAAATATGAGCTTCTTCGATCTGGAGAATTTCACTTTGTGGCCCTACGGGAAACACGGGACACAGAGCCCTCACTCAACACGGATATCGGCAACACTACCAGCGTTGAAGCCCCTTCAGCCACCGCTAGTGGTGGGGGGGGTGGTGGTGTTGATGGTGGTGATGCTGGTGGTGTTCATGATGCTGCCAGTGTTGATGGTGTTGCAGTTGATAGTAGGGCTCGTGATGGTACTGATGCCATAGCAGCTGCTGCTGCTATCAATGTTAGTGCTGTTGATTATATTTCCGTTGAGGCTGTTGTTGACGGTAGCATCGTTGACGGTAGCGTCGTTGATGGTAGCGTCGTTGACCCTGCTGTTGATGGTGCAGCTAACGATGACACTGCTGCGACTGCTTCTGTTGACACCACCACCACTGTCACCACCATCATCATCGAAGGCAGTAGCTCAAATGATGGCATTACCTCTCCCACGCCCGCCATAGACGTCCATATTGAAGATGGTGAAGAAAGTGTCGTCATGAATGACGCGCCGAATTCACCAGAGGGTGAAGAAACTCTCTCTGCGGAACCTGCTGCCTCTGACACCGGTAATGAATACAAACATAGGCACCAGCTGTGTCCCCTTGCTGTTTGCATCTTGGTGTGAAAGGGCAATGGTGGTGATCATGGTGACGATGGTGAAGGCAGTGATCTGATGTTGGTTTCAATTGTGATGTGCGTGAACATGATTGACAGCAGTAGTGGTGGGTAATCCTGCTGATGTTCCAGCTAAATAGTCCACTGCTCACTGGCTGGAGATCTTTCCTCTTCTCTCCCTTTGATAGTTACTTTATGTATAGTGTTTAAAAGATGCTGTCGAATTTAAATTGACAGCACCACAAATGATGGAAATGCAGCTGAAATTAAATTTTGCTGCTCCATGATGTTGATTTATCAGCTGAGTTTGACCCTCTGATCGGGATTTAAACTCAAGACCCACTTGTGGTCCGAGTCCTTGAACTTTACAGTCTTTGAGTTCAAAGCAAACCCTTGTAACACCGTTTTGAGACTAAAGAAAGCTGTCTCTGGCGCCTACCAATCAGTTTTAAAGACAATGCATATATTAGAGGTTTTTTTGCATTCTGACCACAAGTATTGTTGTTAATGCAGACATGATTCCTCGTAAAAGGTTTCAGTTTGGTGTTTTAACATCTTAACACCTGTTTGTTGCCAGAAAAAAGGGAAAAATCTATTCTCATTAAATTGGTAGCAGCACTTTGTAGGAAGCCGGTAGCAATTGTCTTGGGAGAGACTGCCCTCTGAGTTGGGCCACATTTTGAGTCGTGTATCTACATAAGTTGGTAATGTGCTACTGTGCTGCACTACAAACGCCCCATGGTGTTGTGATATTCTTGCCAGTAACACCAGGCAGCATTTGTTTGAGGCTAAGACTTTGAACAGATGAAACTGAAAATAATGCCGCTTCAAAGAGTACAGAAAGCCTATAGGCCGATGGCTATAATTTTTTTTTAAAGAAAATGCCTGTCTCCTAACTTAGGATTTATGAATGCTTGTAATGTATTTGTTTATTTTCCTATTTTAGGCCGACAATGCATTGTGGAGGGTGACACTGAGAGGGGCCAGCGAGGGAGACTCGAGGACCCCGTGAGGCGTCCTCCGCTCATGCCTGACTTCTGGCTCATCCTGCGCATTCAGCCAGACCGAGTCACTGTCTTCACGCACTCCAGGTCGGCTTACCCGTGAGGAAGAGATGTAATTGTGGTGGTGATAGTGTTTGTGACACAGGTGGTAGTTCCAATGGTGTATTATGTGATGGTATAATATCTTCATCGAACCAGCCAGGTGGCTCAACGGTCGAGTGAGTTGCTCCGAATTGGAATTTTGTGAGTTCAGATGAAATAAGTACCTTTTTGTCAGGGAGTCAACAGTGATTGTTCTACAGAGAGACTTGCCCCCTGGCCATAGGAATGAGGAATTGTCACTACTGGTTTAGAGCGGTAAATGGTAGATGAGCGTCACCACCTCCGAAGCTCATTTGAGCAGGAAATCACTTGAGTTGTAATGTGTGGTCGGAGTAGTTGAGATGGTCGTGTTACTGATGCTGCTGCTTTCACTCCTGCAACTGCTTCTGCTCCTGTTGCTACTATAACCACTACTATTTCTCCTGCTAGTACTATTGAACATTTGCTTTTATGTTTATATTTTAATGAACTCTAGATAGTATATATGTTATTCTGTCAACGGATACAATGTTATATGTTTAAGTATTAATGTGATGGTGCGTGGCAGATTTGTACCAGCAAAGCGCCCACGTGTTTAAGCAAAAATAAAACTTTCTTGACTTGACATTGCACAGTTGCTATTATGATTGCTGTTACTGCTACTACGATACTCATGTTACTACGATATTCATGTTATGGCTGTAGTTGCTGCTGCTCCTGCTGCAACAACTACTGCTGCTTCTATTATTGCTATTCCTAATACTGCTGCTGCTCGACTGACCTTGATTGTTATTTCCATCAGGAGTCTCGTCGTCTCATCGGGCTCTATGGCTCATACCTCGCCCTTATCGTCATCATCATCATCAGCAGCATCATCAGCATCTTCATCATCGTTGTCATTGTCAGACAATGAGCCCGAATTCCTTTCAGTCCACCGATTGGTCGTGAAGAAAATCGCTGAGATTTGTCGTGTGGTGAACCAGGTGAGGTACCTCCTACTCTAGCTGTCTTTTTATGCGATTCATATTGGGCGTTCATTAAGTTTTTTCGTGTATGTATGTATGTGGCTGTGTGTGTCTGTCATAGTTGCTCGCTCACAGCACTTTCCCCAAAACGTCTGTTAGGCTATAAGGGGGGGACCTTTGTATCTGTGTGTATACAAAAAAGGGAGCAGTCGTGTAATTGTTAGCACTCTGTGCTATGAACCTGGTGCATCCAGTGATTCCCCCTGATGACCAATAACTGAAAAATATTTGAACCGGACCTGGGCCTCCCTTAGGTCAATTCAGCCTTAACTCAGTGCCTGGTGTGGTGTGTAAACATCAGTCCGGGGGAGAAAAATGTTACCGGATGTGCTGTTGGCCACCCACCCCCACTTTCTCATGTGCTGTGCTGGATTACATAGGTGCTCGCTAATATTGCCCCAACAAGTCTGTTAGAGACTATAGGTGGGATCTTTGTCTTTGCATACATATAAATGTCTATATGTACATGTGTATATCTGCATGCATATTGTTTGTATGCTATTGGGTTTATAGTTGGTTGATTCAATAAGTAGTGCGGACTTTTGACACTAACGTTTTAGGCAAAAAAAACTTGGAATGCGGAGATATAAACCTGGCAATCATATGCAATACGTTTTCCCATGCTTTGCCACTATATGTCTATGTTGCAAGTGATTAAATACAGTGGTGACCTTGTACATTTGTACATAACAACAATGTGATGAGAATGTATCGTTGAATGTGGTTCCACTTGGGTGACAGCTATAAGAATCGTAGCAATGTTTGCATGGCGGTGGCATTGTTGCATTGAGTATTTTAAAAATATTCTCTTCATGTAGGAATCTGGCCGATTAAAGCATTACAATGCAAATTCTGTTTTATGTTCTGTTATCATGTTTGATGTGCAGTTGCGCAAGGGAGCCGCCATGTTCATTGATCACGTCATGTCTTCTGTCTAGCTGCCTTATCTGGAAATATATAGTGTGAGAACCAGGGGCGTGCTCCATGTTTACTTGCCAATCGTTACCAAAATTGTACAAATGTAGTTTACGGAATTAACGGTGTGTAATCGGTGTGTACTCACTTATCTTAAACACTTCACACGTTTCCACAGAGCCTTCTCCTTCAGGACCTTCATGACACGCGCTGCTGTAACTCTCTGCTCGTGGCCGAAAGCGAGGAGGACATATGGAAGCCAGAGTCGGCGTACAGTTCCTACCGGCACAAACACTACATCACTGAAGGTCGCTCGCTGCCACCCACGACTCTGTGCATACTTGTGCCAATCTGTATTGGTGTGTGTCTATCTCTTTGAGTGTCTCCGAGTGTATCCATCTGTCTGTGTGATGAACGTGTTTTGGCAGAGGGCAAAAAAAATAGGCAGAGTGTCCTGCCAGGCAAAAATGACCTCCCATCAATATGCCAGTTGTCCTGTCTATTTATCTCCTGTGTGTATGTGTTTGTGTATGTGTGTGAGTGTGTATTTATTTGACTATATTTCTGGATTGTTCTCTCTCTCTGTGTCTCTATCTCTGCATGTCTGGCTGACTTGGTCTCTTTCTGTCTTTTTCTATTGCCAAGTCTTTATAAAGTTCTATCTTTGTGTGTCTGTCTCTCTTTGTCCCTGTCTTTCCGTTTCTCCATGCTTCTTACTGTCTTAGTTGATCTTATCTCCTCCATCTTTCACGCTCTACTTTTCTCTGTGATTGTCTTTGGTTGTCTCTCTAGACTTAGCAGTTGTTGACATATGTCTGGGTATAAACTGCCAGGCCATGTGTATGTTCTTCAAATGTTTCCCTGTCTCACCCCTGTGTCTTTTGATTCCTAGATTATGGAGCTGATGATGGCTATCAGAGTAAAGACTACCTGGCTGCCTCCATGCTCTTCATGCCCGGTCACTTTGCGTGTGACATCATGTGGACCACCATCATCCCCGTGCATCCACGCTTACGCATGGCCCCCAGCTTGGCTGGCAGCAAAGGTGACAGATTCTGACAGCATTAACATGTCACTGAAACTGACACTGATACTAACAATAGCATTATAAACTACCTGACGCTGACAACAACATGGGCACTAACATTAACATTGTGACACTAACAATGACAGTGACGAAGCCTGATCAGCTGCAAAGTAATACACTAAAGACACTGACACTCTTTTTCTGTCTTATGGAAATATTAACGTTTACAAGGATAGATTAAATGAAGATAGTCAGGAAAAGCATCAGATGTGGAATTAACTTTTGTCATCCTACTGGGAGGTGAATATATAAGGGGTGACTGTTGACAATTTGTTCTTTTTGCCTCCACAGTTACAGTTTGGATTTTTTAAATAATATCCACTTGTGCATCCGATATCTTCATCGCCCATCGGAAGTCCTGATGCGGTTTATTAGCGCGTTCATTGTCTCCGGGATAGTGCGAAGCCAGGAGGTTCAGTGTAAGATCTTCAATTACAGTAAATCCTTGGATTGCGAGTAACTTGGTCTGCGAGTGTTTTGCTAGACGGGCAATTTTTAAAAAAATATATGAATTTGATAAACGAGCGAGGTCTTGCAATACGAGTTGTACGTATACGCTTTGTCTGCCGAGCGTCATGTGATCACAACTGATATACGAGTGCTTTGATATACGAGTGCTTTGGATTACAAACACGTTTCCGGAACATCTGACACTGTCATACTGGCATTACACACTGATATTGTGAAATTTACTTTGTAACACTAAAATTCGTGTACAAATATTTATATGAACATTCTGACACAATGAGGCATTATTACTGACGCATCGTACTTTACCTATAGCCTTCATAATCCTCTTATATCTGTGCCCTTGCATGCGGAGAGTAAATATGGCACACAATGACTCTAATATTGTGATACCGACACAGTTGCACTGACACCGACACTGGCACTATATATCCTGTTACATTGGCACTGTGATCGTGACACTGTAACACTGACAAATACCCACTGACACTGACACTGTGGCATTGACCCTGTGACTCTTAACGATGACGCTGACAGATCTTTTCCGGCACACGTTGACGGCGACAATGACACTTTGACACTAACATTGACTCAGCATACATGTGACACGCAAGTCAAGTCAAAGTGTGTCTGCTCATCTCTGGGGGTCCTGAGCCAGTGGTGGAAACTCCACATGCCTATGCCAGGTGCATGTGAGGCTCTCCATAGAAGAGCACCAGTGTCCACAATGCAAGTGTCAGAGATACTGGACCATTATTTTTGAGGTCCTGGATTTGAGCCCTGGATACTGGTGTTTCTACCTTGCGCTCATTCTCACCGTCACCCGAACAGCAGTGCTGTCACCTGGTTACAAACGTCACTCACAAGGGATAATGATCCTCTTAATCGGTTCTCACCTGGTTAAATAGAGGACGTCAATCGTGAGAGGTAAACAACCTTCGTGAGTTCTCACTTCTTAAAGGAGTTAATTTCAGTGATTTATTGAAGTGTGAAGGAGGAAACTCGAATGTCTTGAAGGCCCATCATGCATATGAAGAATATGAGAGGAGATTCTTTCATTTTTTTTGCTCTTGTTTTTCCTGCAGGCATGCAGTCACTGCGATCGGCACTTGCCGCTTTCTCTGTGGGGAATCGCAAGAACATGTATGTTTATCAAGAGAGGTCAACAGGAGCGGTCTGCTATCTCAGGTGCGATTTGTGTGGGTAATTATCGTTAACATCATCTTCATTCGCGCTATCGGCATACGTTTCGTCATCAAAACTAAACTCTGTGGTGATAGTGCGTTGGCAATGGTGCGCAAATAACGATGAAGCCCAAATAACGAAAAAGCACGCGTACCAAATAACTCGCCACATTCGTCAAAAACGCTGCCTTAATAGGAGAAGTAGATAAAAGGGCAACGTGCTTGGCAATGACGCTTCTTCAGAGCCTTCTTCATGAGCTATAAAGACGGGTCATTTGCCGAAATGTCACCTATGATATTATTTTACTTTCAAAGCCACCACAGGTGTTATTCACGAAGGTGAGTTTTATGTTCTTGGCTGTCATAATCATTTACAGCGGTCGCATAATCATCACCGGAAGCAGGATTAACATCAGTTTCATAATAATAATTTTAATTAGAATCGGCAGCATCAGCATCTAAGGAATCATTCTGATAATTAATTATGAGCTTCATTATTCTCATCATATTCAGCAGCATCAGTCACCCTTGTCATCTGTGGCATCGGCTTCATCATCTTTCTCATACGCAGCAGTCGCATCATCTCAATCATCAGCATCAAATTACCAAGGTTATGAAGTGTGTGTGTAACAATTAGAATAATTCGTAAGACTCTTTCATGTCGAGCCAATTGCATAAATGAGTACTTAGTTAGCTTTTGTGCTTATGTATGTGTGTGTGTGTATGTTGAACTTTTTTGGCGCAGCACGTCGCCAACCATGCTAATCGTGCCAGTATCCAGTGGGGAACAATGCCACTGCCTATCGGCTTTTAATATCACTCGTCACAAAAGTACTAGAAATTGTAGAAAAACAGTGTCATCGTATTTGAATTTAGCACCCATAAAAATATCCAGATGCAAACATGAGTAGGTTTACTTAAAATATTAGAATGCTTTTCTTCAGACCGTTGTTAGGTGTAAGAATCGGGCATGTCGTATGTTTGAGCCAAGCTTCAGTTTTCTCGCCCTTATGTGTTTATGCACGTGTTTTAGTTTAAACGTGTGTGGTGGGATGAGATGGTATTTGAATATATATCAGCACTGGGTAGACAGTCTAGCCACAGGGGTCGGCAACCTGCGGCTCCAGAGCTGCATGGGGCTCTTTAAGGAATGCTTCATGACGTTATGTATTAAGGACCATGTCTCGTATTCACATGCATTGCAACTCTTGAAATGTTGAGTTTTCCGAATTAAAATGAAATGGCTCTCTTTGTTATTTTGGTCGCCGACCCACTGATCTAGCATGTTGCTCGTCACATCACACGTGATTACTTACCCTCGTAAGTAATCGTTGTCTCTTAGGTTTAAATAGGGGATGCTTTCTCTTTCATCTATGCATCTGATTGTGTGCGACTGTGGGGAGTGGAAGTGTCGTGGTTAGCGCATTGCGTTACGAACCCGGTGACCCGAGTTTGATTCCTACTCACGGCCAACACCAGTAACGATTATCTGAACTAGTCCTGGGCCTCCACTAGGTCGACTAAGCCTCAAATGAGTACCTGGTGCGATGTGTAAACATCAACACTGGGGAGACAAAGGCGGCCGGGCGTGGCGTTGGCCACCCACCCCCCCTAATGTGCCGTGCCGGCCTTCATAGGTGCTCGCTACCAGCACTTGCACCAACAGTGTTCAGGCTATATACGGCAGATCTTTTTTATATATGCTGTGCATATCTGTGTAAGCATATACAGTAAAACCTTGGATTGCGAGCATAATTCGTTCCGGAAACGTGTTTGTAATCCAAAGCACTCGTATATCAGTTGTGATCACGTGACGCTTGGCAGACAAAGCGTATACGGTACTACTCGTATTGCAAGACCTCGCTCGTTTATCAAATTAATATTTACTTTAAAATGTTGCTCGTCTTGCAAAACACTCGCAGACCAAGTTACTCGCAATCCAAGGTTTTACTGTATATGCTATTTGTATACTTGTCTGTGCGTGTTTGCGTGTGCATGCGCCTCTGTGCACTTATGCATGTTTCATACCTGCCATTAACTCAAAGCCTTTTCCAATAAAATCTATTCACCTAATCCCCTAAAAATTTAACAGGGCCAATTTGGCCAAGAAAATCAACGCTCTTCCTTAACTAATCTTTTGTTTTGCTGTTCATTGCAACTAACCCTTTAACAAAGTGAAAGTCTTTGAGATACAATTAAATATTCTTTATTTAACTATTTAAGGACCCATTGTTCTTAGTGACATGCTAACAAATGTATCTTTATTAATGCGTGCACATGTGCTTATGTACTCATATGCGTGTACATTTCGTGTTCGTGCATGTTCGTGTGCATATGTGTCTACGCTGTGATTCCAGCTACCCAAGTTCACATGTTTATGAATAACGTAATTGTTAAGTTGTATTTCAAGTGGTCCTAGGCCCCTCCCACACGTTAACTTGGCTCTAAATGTGTATCAGGTGTGGTACTGGCCACATTTCTTCCTTGCGTGCTATGCCAACCTGAATAGGTGTTTTTTTAAGAGCACTTGCTCCAACAGTTTTTATGGCTGTATGGGGTGATCTTTTGTTTATGTGTGTGTGTGTATTTCTATGTGGAGGAGAGTAGTGTCGTGGTTAGTGCATTGTCTTGCGAGCTCGGTAACCCGAGTTCGATTCCTGCCTGCAGCCAACATTAGTGAGGTATATCTTAACTGGTTATGGGCCTCCCCTGGGTTGTCTCAGCCTTAAATTAGTACCTGGTGTGATTTGAAAAAACTCATCAGCATTGGGGAGACAGGCGGCCGGGCATGGTTCTGGACACCCACCCCTCGTGTATCATGCCGGCCTTAATAGGTGCTCGCTTAACATCACTTGCGCCCCCCCCTCCCCACAGTCGGTTAAGGCTTTGAGAGGGGAGTGGGGGGATTTTTGTCTTTGTGTTTGAGTGTACGAATGTGCATGAGCTTGCAATATTACAAATTGGACTACATACAGGATTGGACAGACTTTGCCAGTGCACGTTTCATATTGAACAACGACACAATTTTTATAATGGACTATGGTTGGGGTGCGTGGGGAGGTCGGGGGGGTGTGTTCCATTTCTGACACGATGACATCATTTCCCTTACTCCATTAGGGAAATGATGTCCTGTTAAACCAAAGTGACCTTAATCATAAGAATGGCAACATTAATAATGGTAATAATTCCTTATTTACCCACGGAAGACCTTGAATTTTTTTAAGTACAACTGTTTTTTTTGCGAAGCCAAAAGATGAGAGGTTTTAAAGTCATTGAAGGGATATGTGTGCTCTCAATTAATGAGCTATATTAATGCTGCTTTGGCAGTGCTGTATGATTAAAGTGTTCACATCTTAAAAGGGAAAACTAACTTAGCACGTAGGAATACGTTTTAGTAGCAGCATCGTATCATAATGTGCAGCAACATCAGAAAGTTTATATTTTCTTTGATTTGCGTACCTTTGAGTTGTCTTTGTAATCGTACATATGTATCTATGTAAATTGAGTTATATTTGTATGCATTGACACATCTCCGGGGATTAATTTAAGGGACGTCCCAGAACCAGTTTAGATACCACTTACCACTCTTGCTATCACATTAGGAATTGTGTGTATGTGTGTGCACTTGCATGTTTAATGGTGTGTGCATGTGTGTGTGAATATATTGTTCATTTGTGTCTTGCCACAGGCTTATTGAGGAGTCCGCTGCCACCAGAACTTCCTTTGATTCCAACAAGGAGGGGATTCCATCAGCAGCATCACTTCAATCCCCCGTCATAGCGTCCCCCTTCATGTCTCTCACACGCAGCCAGGAGCCTACAGCCACAACAGATGAGCCCGTGGTGAGCCCTGGCCCCCGTAGAGCGGGTTTAATCATCGGAGACTCGGCTCCAGGAGATCAGGTTTTAAAATCCGTTATGATTGAGACTTGAAACCAGGATACTGGTTTTCAGAATCCGTCTTAATTGAGACTATGTTCCAGGAGACCAAGTTTGGGGATTGTAATTTATTGAGGCCAGGTTTAAATACAAGGGCGGTGACATGGCCTAGCATTGGCCACTCGTTGTAAAGGTTCACGATTCAAATTCAGGAGCGACTCCCTGATTAATACTGCGTGAATATTAACTGTAAAAATACACGCCGTGTACTTCACGGTGGATGTTAAATATCCTGTGACGTTATTTGCAAGAGTAGGCCATTATCTGCCAGTGTCGCGGTCCAAGTTTGCCAAATTTAAAAAGGTACCCGCAAATTACTCAATTTGGATATACATAGCAGTCATTGTTCCCTCACTGCCAAAACTTGGCAGAACGCACCTGAAAAAGAGTCATGATTCTCAGTGAGGCTTTACTGGATAAACAAACAAAAATAGTCTTGAGTTTTGACTTGGGCTTGGTTTTATTCGAAGTGGATTGCGACCCTCAAAGAAATGGCGCCGCCCCCGTGGTCGCCCCCGTGAGATGTGGATCAAACAAATCACTCGACATCGGCAAGAGCGGTTTATCCGAATGCTGTCACAAGCGGTCACACGTTTTGTGCTACGGTCCTTCGGTGACTATGCATGATGAATGAATATGAGACAGGGTTTTGGCTTCGGGAGTCTTGCATAAGACTCGCGCAGAATGGTTTTTGAAAAAAGATAACAATCTCAATTATGATCACATTTCAGGATCAATGTTTTGATCGAGGCTCCGCTATAGGAATCTGTTTTTCAGGATTTGTTTTGATAGGGACGCTTCTCTCTTTGTCACCCAGACGCCGCGTGGGTGGTGGGACAGGCAGGTGTCCATAGAATCTGTGAGCTCACGGACGGCAGAATCCTCCACCCGTGCCATCGGTCACTCGGAGAAGAACATCCGCCTCAACGTGCATGGGGTCGTCCCGGCCGGTAGGCGCTGTCTCGGCGACGTGGCCATATTCCATGGCTTGAACTCAGAATATTAGAGGTGTTGGTTCATTGTCTCTGACTTGACCGTATTGAACCTGACACAGCCATTATGATTATTTTGAGAGAAATGCCTAAACTCAGCTCTTGAGGACTCCCATGAGCATGGCTGGCAACATACGGTGGGAAAGAAGTTCTATATGCATACGAAGTCGGCGGTAGTGGCTTACGGTTAGGGACACAGCAATTATGAACCTTCTTTGAGAAGGTGACAGAAAAACACTCAACGTAAGGCGCGAACCCAATATCTCAGTGGTGCTGGCACAGTGTCCTTAATGACATTTATGGACCTGATCTGGCCACTGTGAAACACTTGAGAGAGGCCGTTAAACCTGGCAATTGAACCCAGGATACACTTGTATAATTATACTTATAATTTACAACCCTTTGTCAATCCACTGCTGAATAAATGACTTGCTATGTCATGTCAGATGTGGGTGTTGTTTGACCATACTTCACCAAACTGGTCGGTACATGTACGTACTGTATTTTGTATTTTCTCATCTCTTCTGTATATTTTGTCTTGTACGTATTGCTTTTTACATCATTACATGCCCTCGTGTATTTATGTTGTATCATTCTGTGTCCTCTTTTGTACTCTCTTTTTGTATTGTCAGGTCTGTATTCTTTTTTTTCTTTAGTTTGTCTGCGATCTATTTTATTTTTTCCATCTTGCTCCATCTCCGTTACATTGCCCGTCTACCCGTGATGTGTCTGTCTGTGTTCACCCCTTTTGCCAGTGCCAGCATTCATCAACCTGCACTGACCAGCATGGTGACATGCCCTCAAATTCTCCCTACACTATCCCTCGCAGCGTAGGGAGGCCCTAATCCAGCAGGGGATAGACTAAAGGGCTGCACATGTACCCGCAGTACTGTATTCCAAACCATACATCACCGAGTTATCGGTTGCCAGATATTCATTGCAATACTTCGTCATGGCCAGTAGGCAGAGTAAAGAGCCACCGTGGGGGCCAGTTTACCACCTGGATTACCAATACTCAACTTTCCAAAAAGTAACATTTCTTATTTGTGAACCATATCTATGTTTGTGTGAATTTACATATGTGTGTATCTATCTCCCTGTATTTATTGGATTGGAGGTGACAGGGCAGCTTCTAAAGGCTCTGCTGTACCATGCATGTGCATTTATCTATATGTGCCTTTCTCTATGTCTGCATATGTGTGTGTCTGTGTATGTATCTGTGTCTATGGCTGCGTGTGTGTGTCTGTATCTGTGTGTCTGTCTATGTCGTGGGGAGGCAGTAGTGTTGCGGTTAGTGCCCTGTGCTACGAACCTGGGGACCTGGGTTCGATTCCCACTCACAGCCAACACCAGTGACGATTATATGAACCGGTCCTGGGCCTCCCCGAGGTCGACTCGGCCTCATGAGTACCTGGTGTGATGTGTAAACATCGCCACTAAGGAGACAAAGGCGGCCGGGCGTGGGGTTGGACAACCCTCTCCCTCGTGTGCTGTGCCGGCTTGCATAGGGGTGCTCGCTAACAGCACTTGCCCCAACAGTCTGTTAAGGCTATATGGGAATCTTTGTCTTTTGTCTACGTCTGCGTGTGTGTTTCTGCGTGTGTGTATCTGTGTGTGTCCTATGTCTGCGTGTGTAGGAGTGGAGGTGACAGGTGAGCTGCTCAAAGCTCTGCTGCGCCGTCTCCACGAGGCGACACTCGATGTCATCACCGTGATGCTCGTGCGCAACTGCATGCTCACGCCCGCCGACGTGCAGGTGCTGTTGATGAGCCCAGAAGTGCGGCGGTGCAAAGGGTCCCATCCGGCTTATGAGCTGTAATTACGGAGGGCAGGTCCATGTCTAACTGATGAGTCCCAAACCTGGTGGGTTCGTGAGCCATGTCCGGCCGATGAGAACCAAATACAAGACATTGGCTTATTGATGATAGTCATCCACAGGGGAAGCAGTTCCTCATGTCCTACTTATGATCCCATGTTCTACAAAACTAGAGGGTTGTGTCTTAATGAGCCTTTGCTATATGGAATGAGATTAAGTGGCTTGAAATATGTTTAATGACTTCAGAGGCTAGCCATGTTGTTCTGATGAGCCCTAATAAAGTGTAAGGCCTACTGAGAGGATAGGCCATTATATGTTGCATAACAGTATCGATAAGAGGCTGGTGGTGTCCTGCTGGTGAGTCCCTATCATGGGCGGCCAGAATCTCTCAACTTGCTCACTAGCCCTAATGAGAGCTGTGTCCTGTGAGATGGAATGATTCATTAAAAATATGCATAAGAAACTAGCTGCTTTGTGATCTCAAACTTAGTCTTAAATTAATGCCTAGTGCTGTAGTTAAATATCGACACTAGGCCGACAAAGGTGGGCAGTTATTTTACCGGTCACACAGCTCTCTTGTGCGCTGTGCTGGCCTTCGTCGGTACTCGCTAGCAGCACTTTCCTCAACAGTCTGTGAAAGGCTATAGGGGATCGTAATCTATATATTGTCTTTGTGTACGGTGTGTGTGTATGTATATATACAGTTTGTGTGTTTATATGTCTATGTGTGGGTTTCTAGGTATTTCATCTCTCTTACTGCGTTTATACATGGCTTCGGCAAAAGACTATTGAAGCAAACTTGGCTTTTCGCCATTAAACCTGGTGTTACCAGCACATGTAATGAAAATAATATCTTGGAAAAATAGTTGTTTTAATTAAATAACAAATGTTCACTTAATAAAACCCACTTGCAAGGGGCATGAATAGGATTGCGTGTCAAACCACAGGCATCATTTATTAATTGGCGAGCACGGCTATTTCTGTGGCCTTAATTAGAGTTGGCGGGACTGATGAATTATAAAACACACATTGCAAAAGGGTTGTCTGACTGGTTGAATTTTAAAATAATGAAAGAATGCTTTGTTTAAATGTACGTGTGTGTGTGTACTGGATATGTTCTAGGATTGATAATGGGAATGGGGTTTTCATCGTCATTATAGTGTGCTTAAGACTTTTAAGGTGTTATTCGTTGTGGAGGGTGGTGGCGATATTAATGGTGGTTGGATTGTGGTGGTGGTGATGGTCAAGTGAAAGACACCCAGACCGAGGATTCGAACCCAGGGCTTCAAAGCTCATTGCTCACTGCTCAGTGTGCCTCTTGACACGGTGGTGGCCATTATGGTCGTCCTATAGACGGGACTCTGCCACAGAAATGTGGAATTTCCTTCACTGGATCAGGGCTGCTAATAGAGATGTGAACACTTCCCAATACACGTCTGAACAGGGAGATATTTTACACACTTGAAGTAATTTGCACTATTGCGCACTTATTAAATGTTATGCTTTAAGGACTCAACATTCCTTTGCAAACCCGTCAAATACTATGCAAAGGGTTAAACAAGAAAAATGGATGGTAGGAAATGGAGCGTTAAGAGGTGATAAATATATGGATGAGACTTCGCTGCAGTGTGGAGTCTGTTTTGGTGATTAAAAAAAAGATGTGGTTGTATGCTCAAGGGGCCATAATGGCTGTGTTGGACACACGAAGCCAGTACCACTGTGTCTTGGGTTTGAGCCCTGGCATTGGCTGTCTCTCACAAGGAGTTCATCATTGCCTTTTCAGTTACTGTGGCAGCCCCATACCTAGGTTCCTGGGTTCGAATCCAGTTCCAGCAGTCCACAATTATACCAGGTTATTATGAGTTTGATCTGTGTGTATGTTGAACTTCTCGCGCACCATACGTAGCCAACTGTGCTAATCGGAGGTGCAGATATCTCGGCCCGTTTCCCCATTAACTGTACAATCGCTGAACTAACAATTGTCTCCCCCATGCCTTCCAATGTATCGCTCTTTTCTTATCCTGTTGCTCCTCCCTTTTTCTCCCTTTTCTTATCTCCTTTTACCTCGATTTCCCACCCATCACCTCCCTTAAACTCGCAAGCCCTCACATTTCACCTCTCCCCCACCTCCAATCACCTCCCTTTACTTCCCCTCACCTCCTCTCCATTCCCACCACTTTTGCCTGCCTCTATTTGCTTCTCTTTGCATTCTTCACATCTCGTTCCCCCGTTTCATTTATTTTCTTCTTCATCATCAGCATCTCATATTGCCTCCCCATGCGACTCACCTCCCCTCACATCCCTTCACTTCATCTCCCACTAACTCCCATCACATCTGCTCACTTCTCATCAGCTTCCTTCATGTCTATGTACCTCTCTCGTCTTTACTCCCCCCTGATTCCTCGACTCTTGTCTTTCTATACCTCTCGTCACCACCCTCCTTTTTCACCTCTACTCACCTCCCATCATTTCCCTTCACCTCCGCTCACCATCCCTCACATCTCTTCACTTTCCCCTCCCTTCACCTTTCCTTTTCCCTCTCCTTGCTTCACCTATCCCTCGCTTCCCCCCCCCCCCGCACCTTCATTGTATACCTGCCCTTGCTTTCCCTCGTACGTAGTTCCTCCAGCCACACGGGCAGGCACCGTCGGAAACCGTGCTGGTGTTGATGCCGCCAATGTGGGGCCCGCGCTTTCCGGCCGTCCTGCACTACCTCCGCCAGAACCTGCACACCTTCCTCCTCTCGCCCAAGTACATCGACACGGATCCTGAAAACCACTTCCAGGTAAGGGGTCGGTGGCGGTTCAGGGTGGGTTGGGGGGGAAGGAAACCTTTGGAGAGTGCATCCCTTTTTTTCTCCATGTCGTGTAACTCCACGTGTCTCCTCCTACCTGTGCCTCTTCACCTCCCCATAGCTCCCTTCAGCTTCCTCTGTTTTCCCTTCACCACCCCCGAATGGTTATATAATGGACAATGAATCAATGCAAGGAGATAATGAATCTCACGGGCACTGACTGGCCTGGTTAAAGGACACTGAATTCATGGTACAAGCTCAATTGTTAAGTTAAATACAACAGATAATATATCTACTTGGAATTCAGAGTTCTCGACTCACAATTAGTAGATTGTAAGTTCAAAGGCTGCTCTGGGGTCGAATCAGCCTATCACCATTATCATCCCTCCAGGGTTGGGGAAAAATAGTACCACTTTGTTCAACGTCTTAAAACCGTGGTTGTCTTGGAGCGTCTGGACCCTGCTGTAAAAATGTGAATTTCCTCCACTAGCCCAGCAGAGGTGCACTTTTGAAAGAGACAGACACCCAGACAGAAGGAAGCCTGAACCCTTAGATCTTCGAGTTTGCTGGCTAACATGGCTAATATGAGCCTAACCTCCTGAAAGGGAAAGAGAAAGAGACTCTCTCTGGTTTAATCTTTTTAAAACCACAAATCACGTGCCACAGTTTGAGAGAGACTGACTGAGAGATACTCAGCTCCTGAGCCTGGAACCCATAAATGAGCCCCCCCAGAGGGAGACAGAGAAAGTGAGAGACAGACCTGCATCAGGGCTCAAACTCAGGGAAGGGGGAGGTTTGTTGATTCTGGCTTGTGAATGCTGTGTTTCTACTCCAGCATTCCTCTGACAAGAGATATTCAAAGGGAGAAATTTACCTGTACAACAAGCCTGGCGGTCTGGGAACAGGAGGAAAAGGTAAGGAACCACTGAGCCTCACTCACTCAGTCTTGAGTAACATAAAGCCAATATGAAACCAAATTGAAACCGTGTTACATTTCACTTTGTTGCGTTTAAAATGCTGCACAGCGTGCCATGTTAAGCACTGCAACTTGCTTCGGTTTAGCAATGCATTTATACATTACTGAGCCATTGGGGTCAACCGCGATCCACGTGTTTTAATTATTCATTGGTAAAAGCAGGAAATGCATGGATGCCCAGCCCCAAGGGGCTCAACTTAATCTAAAGGAAATGCATCCGTTTGGCCTATGAGTAAAAAAAAGGAGACTTTTATTTGCGCGAGGAACACGCAAATAAAAACGTATGAGTAAAATAACCAGGACAAATTATTTTTTCTGTTTTCTTCAACATCTCTGGATTAATATGTGACAAAAAACCACCATGTTTAATATTTACCTTCATGCTGCCACATGACAATCCATGTAATTTAATCTGGCCAATCACGGCGCCGTCTTATGTGTAACAAGAAAAAAACATCGGAATAGGTTTTACCCTTTTAACTGGCACAAAAACTGACACCTTTATTCAAGGCATCATGTTTGCAATAACCACAACACAAGCAGTCAAAATGCAAACAAAAAAGACAACTCTGATAATAAGAAGAAAAACAACACTTTGAGCAAAGTTGCTGTGAGTTTGCATGCTCGCATGCGTCTTTATTTTTCTAGTGTAGCATTCTCAGAGCATTGTTGTGTGCAGCGTTATTGCATGAACGTTGCACTATATAACTTGCGGTTAATGATCTCACCTCCACACAAACTGACCACGTCCATCATCGTGCTCTGCTGATTGGTGCTGTATCAACAGCGGCGGCCCAAGACCATCCGTCCTTTGTAGTGTATTTAAGGCTTTATCGATGTGAGGGCTCAATATTTTGTCAAGAAGGCCAGTCTGAATGATCAAGTTCCTTTTTTTTTATGCTCCGCAATGGCTTTCCATTAACAAGTCAAAGAGAAAAGCTCAAAATCGTATAATAAATAAATAAAAATCCCTACTTTTTGTTTTGATAAGTTCAGTATCTTACTGTGTTTTTTTTTAAATGGAATTGCTTCTTCTTTACAAACCATGGTGGTTGGTATTCTGTGATTTCCTTGCTATTTTTAAAGCTTTTTTGTCCACTGTAGCGTCCTACTCAGAAGTGTTTCTAATTGTATTGAGTTTGACGCATGAAACGTTTCCTTCTCATTTACTGTCACCTAAAGACATGAACATATGTCAAGGACATATTAAACATTTTTCCTGCTTGTGGATACTATTTTGTCTATTTGTGGCGGGATCAATAATGATCTTTCCTGACTTTAACGTCATTTTCTCCAGGCACCAGATCTTATGCTGCTTTTCCACTTGCCACAGTGCCAGTCAGTGTCCTGTTGTTTTCTGACATTATCAACGTCTGTCGTCTGCTTTTCCTCACGAGTAGGATTCGTTTTTAAGGATTCATTTAAACGATCTTCATTTTCCAAACCACTTTTTTTTATCAATTTAACAGCATGTTTTCAAACAAAAATTAACATTGGTAATTGGCTTTAAGTGATACATTTTAAAAAAACCCTTAATATTATTTTGTATTATATATTATTTTGTATTATATATTATTTATACAATGTAATTAATAATGTGTGTTCACAAAGCTGCCCATACATACCTGAGTCAATGTTGATAAAAACGGCCTCATAGGAATTCAACAGTGGTCATCCTATGGATGGACTGTGCCCCTACCATGGAAATGCTTTGGGTATCTGCACAGGACGGAGGTGCTTTGGTTACATTGTAATGCAACTCGGAGCCCAGTGACCCAAGGGAAGACCTATAGCCATGTGGGGGGGATACTATAAACGTGGTCCTTGAAATACCTGTTGACTGTGCAAGACAGGGAATAACTAAATCCTCGTGGTGGGACTGAGTGCTCCTTGAAGGCTATGGCGACTGTGTAAGAAGATTGAAAGCCACAGTTCTAGTAATGAGACTGAGGGTGGTGCTTGAAGGGCATGTCCATGTAGCAAATAGAAAACCATTATCATCACGCGTTACATTTATTTTTTGGGAAAAGTAGGTCTTTATTTTTTCAGACAAGTTATTTCATTATCCATTTATAAAAATCTAAATAACATTTGTGCTTAATTTGCAATTTTTTTTTAAGAAAAAGCAAATCTTTATTTTGGTCTCTCTGAAAAAATCTTTAACATGATTAAGGAATTATTTATTTCTGTGTGTAGAGAGGTCCGTAAATCTAAACTTAGCAGAGTGCCTCCTGCTCGGAAATTGATGCTTTGTCAATCGATTTTTCTCTTTTTATTTTTTTTTATTTCGACCGCTGAGACGTTGCAGGTTTGGGGTGGATTTGTTACAGCGAATCAAGCGGCATTCGACGTGACCAAACAATGTTACCCCAGCCTCCTCATCCTGCCACTCTCTTCCATCGCTCACCAAACATTTAACCCTTTATTAGACCGAGACTTGCCTGCACAGGACACTGGGTTGCAGCATTTTGAGTATTAATTCACACCAGATTTTAAAATCGCAGTCTTCATTGAGGTTCAGTTCTAGAAGACTGGGTTTCAGGATTTCAGACCCTTCATCGAAACTGTATTTTAGGATCTTTATCTTTGCCGAGACTTAAGTTATTATTGAAGATTGGGATTATAGCCTCTTGGAGCCTAGTCTCAATTACAACTCATTACACTACCTTGCACTAATAGATAAAATTACGACCGAGGACACACCATTTCTCCTATGAGTATTGGCACCGAAACTTCATCACCCTGGTGGTCTGTTCTAATTTCCTCCCGCCTGCTGCTTGCTGGTTTTTTTGTAAAACTTTTTTTTATCGTTTATATATTTTTCTCCTAATTGTTCCTATTTTGTTGTTACGTGATGAATACATTTCCATTCGGAACTCTCACAGAATGCTAACGTCTTCCCGAAGATGATACTGAACCACTCAAGCCCCTTCAATTGCCTTTTATACCCATGTCACGAGCTGTGTCATAGAAGCATTCGTTGCACGGACATCGAGCTGAACATTTTAGTCCTCTGCTTTAATTTGCTTAATGTCTGCAATAAAACACAAATTTAACTTTTTTTTGTTCTGCACATTCGTTAGTGATCGGGCTGAGAGCATTCACTCTCTGCACTTGAGAACCGCTTGTAATTACTGCTGGCTGAATTATAGACCTCAGTGGTGCCATGTCGAAGGCTGTTGGTAACGCTGACAAAGCCATTTTGATGTGAAGTGGTGGAAAATCTAAATTTTACCAATGATTTTTCTGCTATCTCGGTATTTCAAGACAGCCATGTATCTTTGATCATTATTACAGCAAAAATATTTAGCATTTTCAGCAGAGACAGCAGCAGAATCATCATTGCCATCATTCGCATCACCACCAACAACAACAACCGCCATTCGCCACTAAGTGGCGGTGACGTCACCACGACGCTTGTGCCAGGCCATGTGCACCTTGAGGCCACGTGAAGTGTCGAACGCCCACTGGCAGGAGGTCACGGGGCAGACCCAGGTGCCACGGGTCGACTGACTGAGATGACTGGCTGATGCACCACCTGTGCCCCCTACTGTGCCAACCTGCTGTGCTTTAGCCACCCGGCGCTCCGCTCGTTGTTGTGAGCGTCGCTCCTCCGCCCTCCGTTGTTGTTGGAGGGCGACTGCCTCCAACTGCCCAGTAGCGTCCTTCACGAGCCTCCTACACAGAGGCCGATTTTGACACCACTGGTACCAGTCATCGGCAAGTCCACTCAGCTCCACGTCCTCCTGTACCACATCACTCCATCTCTTCTCTAGCCCGTGCTGCGCCCGTTTAGCCCCCTCGATCCGGCCGAACAATAGCTGTTTCGGCATGCGGTGGCTGGGCATGCGGGCTACATGACCCAGCCAACGCAGCCTTGCCTGCCGGAGGAGCTCACCGATGGGACCTTGCCCACCACCACCACTATCAGGAGCGATAGTAACAGTATAAGGGTTTATGGAAAGACAGTTGGAGAGAGTAGGAGATGAGATAGATATATCACAGAGAGAGAGGGCGAGTACGAGACTGGAAGGATTGAAGAGGGGAGAGCTATAATATGGTTGAGAAAGGAGAGGAGAGAGGGGTATAGTGGTGTGTCATTCTAACAGCATTTGACAGGAAACACAGAATACATAAATCAGATGATGCACACGAACACATGCACACAGATACGTAAATCCACAGATATAGAAATGCACTCTCATGCACACACAAACACACTTTTTCATTCACCCACACACGCCTTTTCATTCACCCACACACTCTCCAATTCACTCACAATTGTACAATCCCTTTCACTCCTACACACTCCCATTCATTCATACATTATCCTGTTCGCTCATACATACACATAAACTCTCTCCCAGTCACATTCTTCCATTCCCTTAGACACACAGACATCTTCCCATGCATTCGTGCATATACACATACACGATTTCCTATTCACTCTGGTACAAAGACAAAGATCCCCCCTATGGCATTAACAGGCTGTTGGGGCGAGTACTGTTAATGATCACGTGCTCTCATACAAAGAAAGACACATACAAAGACAACTGCCATTTGTCACTAATTGGTGGTGACACCACTGCAGTGCTTGTGCCAAGCTAGATGCATCTTGAGGTGCGCACACGCACACACTCTCACACACGTACATGCCCTCGCACTCACTGAAATACTTTCCCATTCGCTGACACACACGTACACACACATCCATTCACCCTCACTCATACTCGTACGCATATGCATGCACACGCACAGAGAGGCTTTTAGTAATATTGATTGGTAATGATGGAGTGCCGTGTTATGAATGAACGCAGCAAAATTAATATCACGTCCAGTTAAATTAAGGCGCTGAGGGCAGGAAGGCAAAGCCTAGCTTAGAAGTTTCAAACCCCCCTCTGATTTTAACCCCTGAGACAGCGGCATTATCCTTATTAATACTCGTGTCAAAATGTCTCCCTGCTTTCGAGTGCTTTGAGCGACATGCCTCTCTTTGTATGTATGTTTGAACTTCTTTCCCACCGCGCGTTGCCAACCGTGCTGATCGGAGGTTGGCAGTCATGAGCTGGCAGAGTTTCCATATTCCCGTGGCGGGTTCCAGTTGATCCATACTACAATCACTGTTGATGAAGCATATTCTGTTGACCTCACATGGACAACTTGTTTATAATGGTAACAACGCTGGGTGTGGTGATAATGGCAGTAGTATTAATATTGTTCTTTATTTATCCGTATTCTACATTGCATTTTATTTAGCCATTTGAGAGGCCATTTTATCCATGTTTCATGACTGACATTCTTTAAATATCTATATGGGAGCCCATGAACTGTAACTCATTGCAATAAATTTCACTGTAATTGCCATCCTTAATTTAACCAGGTGAGAATTTAAAAAATGCATCCTCATACAATGACATTCCTTTATTTAACCATTAAGAGTCCATTGACATGCATTATTTTGTCAATGACATCCTTTATTTAAACACGTCAGTGCCCACGGAAATCCATTGCCTCTCAGTAATTGGTAACTTTATTTAATCTGGCTGTGGTCTATTGAGAGATTTATTAATTTTACACGAACGTACCTACCAGAGACCTAAAGAGCAAAACAGTATGCCACATTGCAAATGCCCACGACTCAAAGATCCCGAGGAAAATAGCGATATAATTCTCAGTTCTTTGTGGTGGGCACTGCTGAAACTAAAGCATGCCTTTTGACAATTCTGCATGAGTGCAGTGGGAGAAACGAGCCCAAAAAGGCTTGCGTGACTGCGTTGTGTATCGCATGCATTGTGTTAAAATATCCGATCCATCATAACCAGCTTAAATGCGCTCCTCCCCTCCGTGTGTGTGGAGATTAATGATGGCACAAATGCGTATGTGTGGCGGCTGTCTGCTCTCATTGACATAAATCTGTGAGCGTGTATATGTGTTTGTATGAGGCAGAGTGTGTGCAGTGTTGTGCGTGGGGAGCGGTAGTGTAAAAGTTCGCACACGCTGCGCTACGACCATGGCGATCCGGTTTCGATTCCTGCTCACGGCAAATATTTGAACCAGTTCTCGGCCTCCTCTAGGTCTACTCAGCCTTACATATGTACCTTGTGCGGTGTGTAAACAGCAGCACGGTGGAGACAGGCAGCTGGGTGTGGTATTGGCCACCCACCCCACTGTGGTCCGTACTTGCTAACAGCACTTGCCCCAATGATATATCAAAGGCTATATATGGCATATTTGTATCATGTGCTTCTGAGTGTGTCTTATTTATATGAATGAGAGTGTAGTAATGGTGATGAATATGTAATAATAACCCTAGGACAATATTATTGCATTGCATACTCTGTAAGGAGTGGCCTGCATTGCATTATAAGTCATTTAAAATGTTTACATATGTGTGTGTGTATATGTGCTGTACGAACTCGGCGAATGGAGTTCTATTTATGCTTACGGCCAACTTCAGTGACACATATATAACTGGCCCGAGGCCTCCCATAGGTCATTTAATCCTTAAATTAATACCTGGTGCCGTTTGTAAACATTAGCTTAGAGGATACAATTGCGGCCAGGCGTGGTGCTGGCAACGCCACCCACGAAATGTACTGTGCTGGCCTTACTAGGTACTCGCTTACAGCACTTGCCCCAACAGTCTGTTAAGGCTATACGTGAGATCTCTGTGTCGTGTCTGTGGGATTGCATGTTTATTTGGGTGGGGCAGTGGTGCATTTATTAGTGCACTCCACTACGAATAAAGATCTGGGTAAAATTTCTGGTCACGTAACATTAATGGGCAATTATTGTCTGAATTTATCCTGGGCCTGGTCCCTAGGTTAACCAAGCCTTAAATTAGTACTTGGTGCAGAGTGGAAACACCATCGCCAAGCGGACAAAGGTAGCTGGGAGTGAAGCTCGCTATGCCTCCCTGTGTGCTTTTGCCGGCTTCCGTAGCTAACCACACCTCCAATTTAGCAGTTGGCTACGTACGGTGCGAAAGAAGTTCAACAAACCTACATTTTGGAAGGCTATACAGGGCTCTTTTATCTTTTTTGTGTCTGCGCACATTTGTATATATGTGTGTGTAGCAAGCGGTAGTGTAGCAGTTAGCTGTGCTACGAAGCTGGCGACCGGAGTTCGATTCCCACTCACGGACAATATCAGTGACGATTATCTGAACCGGTCCTGGGCCTCCCCTAAGTCGACTCGGCCTCAAATGAGTACCTGGTGCGATGCGTAAAAACATTGCCACGAACAACACTTCCCCCAACAGTCTAAGGCTATACGGGGATCTTTGTTTTGTGCATACATCTGTGTAAGTTTTTGTGTATGAGTGGGTGTATATGACGGTGTTTTGTTTATGTATGTGTTTGTATGCTTGTGTTTTTGTATTTGTGTGCATGTGTAATGCTTGTCAAGTAGGACCCTTATACAGAGCACAAGCGGGAGAGTTATAATAATGCTGAGAGCTCACCCACCCTCCCCCGCTCGCCTTCAATTGAATCCAATGCACTTAGCATCGTCTTCCGGGACCACAGACCACCCAAAGTGGCTGTCAGAGGAATTAAATACAGCATCATCACAACACACACAGCCTCCTACAGCCTGCAATTCATACAAGCTATAAACCTGTCTTGTTTGAGATGAGTGGGTAAGAGAGTGAGTGAGTGTGTGAGTGAGTGAATGTGTACGCACATCTTGTTTGTGTGCGCCTATGCATGTGTGTTTTGGTTGGTGCATTTGTATGTGGGCGAGTAGATCAGTGTGTGTATGTGTATCTGTATGTGTATGGTGAGCGGCAGTGTAGCAGTTGGCGCGTTGTACTATGAACCTGCGCAACCTGAGTTCGATTTCTGCTCAAGACCAACATCAGTGACAATTATCTGAACCGGTCGTGGGCCTCCCCTAAGTAGACTCAGCCTCAAATGAGTGCCTGGTATGGTGTGTAAACATCACCACTGGGAAGACAGGCGGCCTGGCGTGGTGCTGGCCACCAACCCTGTTGTGCCCTGGCCTTCAGGCCTTCATAGGTATTCGCTAACGTCATTTGCCCCAATAGTCTTTTAAGGCTATACAGGGGATCTTTGTCTTTATTATTGGGAGCTGTGATGTTGTTGGTACCACACTGCCTTAATAAGAGTTATTATTCCAGTGTGAAAACATCAGCACTGGGGAAGAAGGTGGCCGGGTGCGGTGCTCTCCTTGCCACACTCCTGCATGCGCTCTGCAGGCTTGCAAACGGCATTTGGCCTCGCAGTCTGTAAAATATGTAGGGCATCTTGTTCTTTGTGTGTGTGTGGGGAGCGGTAGGACAGTATGTTGTGAGTCTGGTATCTGAACATTTCCTAGGCCTCCTTTATGGCCACTTTTACGAGTTACCGAATGGTCTTTCAACACCTGAGGTAGCTGGGTATGAACCTGGCCTGGCCAACACTACCGTGTCATGACACATACAGACCGATGTATATCTTCAAGTAGGTGTCAATGTCGTGCCTGTTGCATATTAGCATTTTCTGCACCTCTGATTCCATGATGAACTCATCCAATGAAGTATTTTTTTATAGGAAGATATAACCCAACATATATTTACGTGTCATATGTGTGTGTCTTTGTCGGTGAAATATGTGGGGAGCAATGGGTGCAGTAGTTAGCGCTTACACTGCCTTACAAACCTGGCAACCCGAGTTTGAGTCCCGCTTATGCTCAACATCGGTCAACTCAGCCTTGAATGACTATCTGGTGTCGTGTGTAAACATCAGCACTGGGGAGAAAAAGGTGGTTGGGCGTGGTACTGGCCAACTACCCCCCCACTTGTACCGTGCCAGGTATAATAGGTGCTCTCTGACAGCACTTGTCTTGACCTCCGTGTGCAGGCATCGCGTGTGTGGCTCTGTCTGTGTTGGCACCGCCCGCCGACACCAGTGAGAGCAGTACGGAAGAGATGAAGAGAGACCCCCTGTCGGACACCGACCTAGACGCTATGACCCAGGTCACCCTGGTCAAAGAGGGCAGCGAAGGTGAGTTCATACTGAGTCCTAGCTCGACTCGGCCTCAAATGACTACCTGGTGCGGTGTGTACACATCCGGACTAGGGAGACAAGTGTGGCCGGGTGCGGTGTTGGCTGGCCACCCACTCCTTGTGTGCCATACCAGCCTTCATAGGCGCTCGCTAACAGCACTTGCCCCAGCAGTTTGTTAAAGGCGAGAGACACGAGTTTGATTCCTGCTCATGGCCAATTCCATTGACGATTATCTGAACTGGTCCGGGGCCTCCTCTACGTCGACTCGGCCTTGAATGAGCAGTTGGTGTGGCGTGTAAACATCGCCACTGGGGAGACAAGGCCGTCAAGCGTGGTACCGGCCATGCAGCCTCTTGTGTCCCGTGCCGGCCTTCATAGGTGCTCAATAATATCACTTGCTGTATGGGGAATCTTTACTTTGGTGTGTGTGAAGTGTGTGAGGATGAGTGTGTGTGTGTAGTACCCACAGGTGCCGTGTTCCGCTTCTCGCTGTGGGAGACGGGCACCATCAGCATGGTGCAGCTGTGCGAGCGACTCCGGGCGGCCGTGCTCCACGCGGTGTGCGAGGCGGCGCTGGAGTTCGCCGTCCTCACCGCCCCCCTCTCCATCCCCGAGCCGTCCTCGTCGTCCTCGTCGTCGCCAACGTCGTCATTCATGTCATCGTCGCCAGCCGGAGCATCTTCATGTTCGGCATCATCACCAGCAGCAGCTGCAGAAACATCAACATTAACACCGCTGTCGTCATCATCAGCAGCAGCATCATCGTCAACATCATCATTATTGTCACCATCAGCAGCTGCAGTTGGAGCATCGCCATCGGTAGCATCATCAACAACACAAACGTCACCATTATTATCGTCATTGTCAACGGCAGTACCACAAGCCACTGAAGGCGATTCGGGAATGGCTTTGAATGGTACGGAACATTTGCAAGCACCTAAATTAAAGATAAATAACAGCTCTTCTCTAGCTAGCTGCACACCCATCCTGTGTGTAGTCTGAATCCAACACAAGCTTCACGCTTCCTTGATGAGAATCGCCCAAGTCAAATGTGTAATCATTGCCACTGACCGATTTTTAGAATGCTCCACTGTCGGACCATCATCAATTAAAGATCCTGTGCCATGCAATTGGCCAGATTAAAAAAAATTATAGCCAAAAGTTGGTCTAATCTGCGCAGTCAGTTTGGGTGTGTGTGGCTGGAAGGGAACTTAATTAAATTGGGGAAATGTATTTTTTTTATTGGGCTCCTGTTTATCTGAAGTGAGTAGCTGGTAATGTTAAATGTGAAGGGTTTAATTAACACGAGTAGTTGTTGTTTCTCAACTAGTCATTCTTACTTTAGTCGCTATATTTGCGGTAGTTTATGTAGATGTTGTAATGGTAGTTGTGTGATTTTTGTCGTGGTGATTGTTCTCTTATTTTTTTAGTGCCCGTTGCCATGACTTCTCCAGCCCCCGCGGCTCGCTCTCTCTCCAACCCCATCCCGGGCGGAACGCGGGGCTCTCAACCCCCGCTCTCTCCTGGAATTACAGCGGGTGTTTCTGCAATGCCAGAGCTAGCCGCAACGTCTGGAACATCGCAGGGAAAGTCTGGGAGGAGGAGCTTTTGGGAAATATTGGCGGTGAGATGGTGACTTTATGCTGTTGCTGATGTGAATAGTGCTGCCTCTCGTGAATAATAATGAATAATGATGATGAAGCTTGTTATGATGGACGCTTGTGTTGCAACCGAAACGTCGTGTTCTTTTATTATTATTGTGACTTTTCCGAAAGAACCAGAGAGTTTGGATTCCTGCAGTCACGAAAGCTTCAAATCAAGATAATAATGTATTTCTACTCATGATGTTGCTAGTGATGATAATAATGCTGCTGCTTTTAACTATGATGATACTTTTGGTGATAATAACAACAGCTACTGCTGTTGTTGATATTTATAATGGTGTTACATTGTGTAGAATGGCAGTGTAGCGGTTAGCACGCCGCGCTCCGAAACTGGCGGCTCGAGTTTTATTCCTGCTCACGGCCAACACCAGTCACGGTTATGTGAAGCAGTCCTGGGCCCCCCCCCCCCTAAGTTGACTCTGCCTCAATTGAGGACCTCATGCGATGTGTAAAAACATTGCCACGACGGAGACAAAGGCAGTCTGGCGTGGTGCTGGCCACCCAATCCCTCGTGTGCCGTTCCGGCCTTCATAGGTACTCGCTAACAGCACTTTCGCCAAACAGTATGTTAACGCTATACTGGGGGATATTTGTCTTTGTTCTTACATATATTGCTGTTGGTCATGATGATGATGGTGCGACTTTATTGATGTCTGCAGAACAAGACGGATTCTCCAAATGCCAGCTCGCCCAAGACTACAGACGACATTACCTCAAATCCACGTGACGAGGTGACCTGTAACTGTTGTTTTAGAAATTGGTCTGAGAGACACTAAACACTCTTATAGACTATGGCAGGATTGGACTTATTTTTCAGAGACACGTTTACAAGCCGACTTGTGGATTTGCTCATTGTCTCGGTTTTTCCTGTTTGTAATTATATTGAATTTATTTCGTAGCCATCCGTGCTAATCGGAGGTGTGGGGGAAGGGGGCAATAAACTAAACACAGCAGTTATAAAAAATGGTTTTCAATCTAGATTTAAATGTGCATAACTCCTAGTGGCTTCCTAATATCGGGAGGAAGAGCTTTCCAGATGGCCGCAAAAGCGCGTGATGCACTGACCGTCTTTGTTCAATGTCTAGTCAAAAGCCGCTGCTGCGAGGATGACCGGAGGTCGCATAATGGGTTATCCTCCTCGACGAAATCGCCACGGTGTTGTGGTACATTTGTGGTAAGCACTTTGTGTGTAATGAGTACGACCTCATGGGTCCATGGGGTTGGTGGCAGGTGGGTGCGGGGCGACGCCGGCGGCATAAGACTGGCACAGGTGCGCAGAGCGATGCGGCCGCGAGTCCTGCTGGTAGCGGCACTACCTGGCTCCACCAGGAGATTGCACGCAGGCAGGAGGAGGAGAAGAGGTAAGGGGGGGGGGAGGGAATTACCGAGTCTCCAGTCATGAGGCCCGGACTATCAATTCGATCACTTCTCTGGCACACTTTGCGTGGTTGGGTAATTTGCTATATTTCCGAAATGGGTGTGTGGACAAGTGGGTGAATGGTTTGGCGTATTATAGTTGAGTGCATCAATCAGTACATACATGAAGGAGTATATGAGTGAATAGGCAAATATGTTAGTAAGTGAGTGAGTGGCTGGTTAAGGGTATGGCTGAGTATTTGTTTTCGCGAGGTAATGGTTCTGTGGTGTGGTTAGTCGTATATCCTGAGCATATCATTGATGTGTGTGAGCAAGAGGGGGTGTGTGCAGGGGAGCAGCGGTAGTGTAGCGGTTAGCGTGATGCGCTACGAACTTGGCAACCCGAGTTCGATTCCTGCTCACGGTTAACACTGGTGACGATTAGCTGAACCGGTCCTGGGGCTCCCCTAGGTCGACTCAGCCTCAAATGAATACCTGGTGTGGTGTGTAAGCATCGCCCCTGCGGAGACAAAGGCGGCCGGGCGTGGTGTTTGTCACCCACCCCCTCGTGTGCCGTGCCGGCCTTCATAGGTCCTAGCTAACAGCACTTACCCCAACAGTCTGTTAAGGCGCTATGGGGGATCTTTATGTGCGTGTCGGTGTCAGTGGATAAGTGGGTAACGTGGGTAGGTGTAAGTATAGTGGTTAGTATACGGAGGTTGAAATATTGAGACCTGAGTTTGGGTCCTGCTCACAGCCAAATTCAATGACTATCTGGACCCATCCAACTTAGCCTAAATGAGTACCTGGTGCAGTGTGTAAGCATTAGCACTAAGGAGACAGAGGTGACCAGGTACAGTGTTGGTTGCCCACCCACCTCTTCATGCACCTTGCCAGCCTTCATTGGTGTTTGCAAACATCACTTTCCCCAAAAGTATGTTTTGGCTATATGGAGGATCTTTATCTTATCTTTGTTTTACAGGCAGCGCCTGGAGGAGGGTCTTGTTGGAGTGCTCCATCCAGCCTACATGGGGCCTTGCCAACGATGGCTGGAATTTATGCATCACAGAGGTGCGTGCATACACAAATTTGAAAATACTATGTCTTGATGTGAAAAAAAATGCATGTGTAATTTGTGAGAAACTAGTCTTATTGACCTTTGGTAATATACTTTTTTCTATCAAAAGTATAACAACAAAATGGTAGACTTTTTGAAAGTCTACCATTTTTGTTTAGATTTGTTTCTGTCAGTGCTATTGGCGACAGCAAGGTGGCTTCCTGTGCTTAAGTCATTGCTTTTGTGAATAAGTATTGAACTTTGTAGCAACACCGAGTGACATGTGAAGCAGTATCGCATGACACCATTGATCAACATGCAGACCCAGCAGCAGTGATAGCCAAAAACGTGGTACAGTTTGTATTTACGTGCAAATCTTATTTTACGTGTTTTTTGTGTGTGTGATAACAAAGAGGAGAAATCAAGTAGAATTAGTTAAAGAGGCAGGGGGTGATCATTTCAGATGCAGGAATGCAACCCTATTTTTCCCATAAAGTCTTATTTGTCAAATACAGTTTTGCCCAACACGGCATTTTCCAGGAACGTAACTGCTACGCTTGCCGAGGTATTACTGTCCAGTGCAGAGAAGGCAAAGATACAAGTGGTGAGAGATAGGGCTTGGTATGAGATTAAAAGTTTTCCTGGCTGGCTGGCTGACTGGCCGACTGGGAGGAACAGATGGACGGTCACGTCCAAAGGACATGCGGGTTGCCATTATATATAAAATATAAATACACACTCTCACATTGATATATGTGAATGCATTATTTAAGTACAGACATACAACATCCCTGGTCAGTACATTTTGAGGACATTTCGTGCCCATTGCTTTTTCACTTCACCAGTGGTAATCATAACCCCAATGACGTCGACATTTGGCATCACTCCGGTCCCCCAGGTGGAAATAAGACTTGGAATATAATGGAATGCCGCCTTGTATTCAGACTGAATAGTGTTCAATCAACAGGGTGAAATTAATCTCTCATTTACTTGAAAAGTATTGTTTTTTTGAATATTAGGTAAACCCTATTCTTATGTTTTTAATCTTGACTTAACGCTTTCGTGACTGCAGGAATTCATATTCTTTGGGTCTTTCGGTAAAGCCACGTAGATAGAAAAAAAAATCACGATGTTTCGATCGCAACACAAGCAATCACCATCAGGTGATCACCTGATGGATTTTTTTTACATCTACGTGGCTTATGTTTTCAGTTAAATAATTTAAACATATGGGTTAGCAAAGTACAGTTGCTCGCTCTACATAATTTTGACAGTAATTTCTCAGCCATGTGAATCTAAAATTTACAATGTCAGGTTTATGTTGTTCATCATGTTCCTGTTGAATTGGTCATGTTCATCACATGTTGGCCATTGTGTGTTTTTCATGTGCAAGTTGCCCCTTTCATGGTCGTACTGTGTTATGTTGCTTGTGTTTTATTTGTGCCGTGCATGTGTTGGTAGTGTGTGTGTGGGCTACCCATTTTATAAAGCATGTTTGTGCAACTTTTGTGTCAAGTGAATCATGCTAGCATTGTGTGAATCGTGCTAGCAATTTTTTTAACTTGTTGGAATGGTGCTTAGGATGCCTGTTGTGTTAGTGTCATTATTGACCGTGCAAACATTGCATGTATGTGTAAATTGTGTGCATGCTGCCCATTGTATAGTTTGTGTTTCGCTAGCAGGGTTATATTAGGAGCTTGTTGATTGCCTTTGAGTTGTGTAAACGCTCCTTATTGAGTTAGCACCACTTTGATCATATTAGCGCCGTGTGTGTGTGTGTGTGCGCGCAACGTGCTAGCATTGTGTTCACTTGATGTTACTGTCGTATTAATCATGTCATTTGAAGGCTGAATGGTGTGTTAATAGTGTTGCTAATCTGTTGATTGTGTTGATTGTGGTGTTGTGTTTAGGCTGCCCATCAGTGCAGCGCTGTGAGATGGAGCTGTCGTCGCGTCTCCAGGTCGACCGTTTCCTCGCAGAGACCGAAAACCTCGTGCACGGCGCAGCCGAGGACACGAGCGTGCGCGTCTACATCAGGGACAGGTGACACGATGACAACAACAGCACCGGCACAGCAATGCGGCACGACATGCTAACACGACACGTCATACTGACCACGCACTTAAAATTCACGAGTAACACGAGGCACAATAATAAAGAAAACGTTAACACCACACAGTAATGACATCGTCGTGTATGTATGCCTGTGTGTATATTTGTGCCGTGCCGGCATTCATAGGTGCTCGCTAACAGCACTTGCCCCAACAGACTGTTAAGGCTATACAGAAGATCTTTGTGTATTTCTGTATGTGTACCCGTCTGTGTACTCGGGAATAATCAATTAGCACCATTGGCTACGTCCGGTGTGAAAGAAGTTCAACATACATACGTGGACGTCTGAAACTCGCGATCACAATCACTCGGTACCCTTGCATATCACTCGCATTGCTATTGCGATCATTAAGATTATTAAGACGATTCTATCCGTGGACCCCCTGCATTGGGTTTTTAGATTTGTTGAGTTGGCAGAGATGAGGAACTGACCCTGCTGGGGGTTGTGGATTCTCATATGGTGGAACAAGTTGCCAACCCCTCTGTGTACAACTGGGTGCTGTGCCATCTGCCGAGGAGGTGTAAAGTGCCAGTCACAGCCAGACACCGAATATAGCCACGGTGAACTGCTCAATGAAGATGGAATTTCTGTGCAGACTGGTTTTACATGACATGAACACAACTGCTTTGACCGAATGACAGGTCCCAAAAGACTTGAAGGGTACCCTGGTAGTTCCTTTTTTATATAAAACTAGCGGGAAGTACCCGGCATTGCCCTGGTAAAAAAACAGACACACATCGACTTGCACACACTTACAGACATTGACCCACACACACAAACATCGATTTACACACACACGCACATATGGACTCGTACACACAGACATGGACTTTAGATACACACACATGGAGTTACACACACATATATGATAAGGAATATTGCACCATTCTTTTGTCTTTCTATAGATTGTGGGGAGCGGTGTCATGGTGGTTAGTACACTCCACTACAAAGCTGACCAACTGAGTTTGATTTCCATGCGCAGCTGACATCGGTGGCGAGTCATTATTAAAACTTGTCCTGGGACTCCTGTAGGTTTGACTTGGCTTACATTGAGTCATACATGAGGAGACTAATGAAGCCAGGGTATTGTCTTCGTCACACTAATCCATCTTGAGTCGTGCAGGCCGTAACAGGTTCTTGGTAGCAGTACTTTCCCCAGCAGATTATTAAAGATTACATGGGGTTCCTTTTTAATTGTTCTATATACCTGCCTGTATCAAAGTATATGTGTATGTACATGCATGTCTATGTGTATAGATGCATGTGTAACTATCTCGCCTGTATATGTGTCTATCCTCGTAACAATAAGTTACAGCCCATTGGCATTCCACTTTTGGATGAAGCCCTCCCCACGCCATGTCATGTATGTATGTATGAGTGTGCATGTATGTGCATACATCTGTAAATGTGTCTACACATCTGCCCATCTGTAGATCTGCCTGTGTCCATGCTTACATATGCGTGTCTGTGTGTGTTTGTGTAGTTGCGGAACAAAGTGGCACACCTATCAGCCTTTCCAAGATATGAGCGTCACCCCCGGCCTGCAAAGAAAGTTTGTGATTTTAGCGCGGAGCATCGCTCAATGGAGAAGCAGCGGCATCAGCTCTCTGGGTAACCTTCACTCGCAAACACCTACACAATAATAGACTGACTGGCATGTCTTTCTTTTGACGAGGGTTCCTCAACGTAATTTTCCAATAGGCCGTGCAATAAAACCGGTGTATCCTGGCAGTTAGATGCTATGGCATTACTGTGTGGTGAAGTCATATCGTCCGTACATGCGACCACTAATGGGTGCCTTTGCCTCCAGGTTTCTTATCTCTTGTTTATCTTGCTTCCAACTTCCTCATCTTCATATTTTACCTACAGCTGTCTTATATCTGTCTTGATTGTCTCTCTATGCTCTCACTGATATGTACTTCTTTATGTCGTAGCGAGTCGTATCTCTCTTTGGGCCATAGTTCGGTGAACCACTCCAAGAGCTTTCGCTGGCAAGATGTTGCTCGTGGGCCCCTGTTCTAGATAATATAATTGGACTGATTATTATGTTTTTCAACGGTTTTACTTAACTTGACTCCTGTGTCGTGGTCAAATCTTGGAATCAAAATTTAGTCTACTTCCTGTCCAATCAGATCCGGTGGCAATGCATGCCTGTATCAAAATCGGCATCAATTATTCAATCAATTCGCTACTTTAAAGCAATTTACATTTTGTATGGACGCCTTATTATTTGTATGTACATTTGTGTAGGTCAAAAACGCCGCGGTCCCTAAACTCTCGAATCGCCTTGCCAAAGAACCCGGCACCACGTGTCTCAGGCGCGCCAGTTGTGAATAAAACCGTTGTTTTTTAAAAGAATTTTTTTTTTTAAAGGAGTTTTTAGCATGTGCATTTATACCCAGCCAGGCAGCAGCTCCATTATTTGCGGAACTACATTGTCTTCGGACAGCCACTAAGCTTGGTTAGCAGACAAGTCTTCAACGGTCAGTCTGGTCTCTGGTGGTTTCTACAGGCAATCATACACTGACAGGCCAGTCTCTGATGGAGTCTGTCAGCAATTCACTGACAGACCAGTCTGTAATGAGATTGTAGACAATAGACAGATCGTCTTTGGTTCTTTCGGTAAAGTCACGTAGGTAAAAAATGAAATAAAAATCAAATAAAATCACGACGTTTCGGGCGCAACACAGGTGCCCGTCATCAGGTGGAAACAACCCCAGCAATAAACCCCAGCTATTGCTGGGGTTGTCATCATTTTGAAACAACCCCAGCAAATTTGTTTATTGCTGTGGTTGTTTCCACCTGATGACGGGCACTTGTGTTGCGCCCAAAACGTCGTGATTTGATTTGATTTTTATTTTTGATTTAAAGCTTTCGTGACTGCAGTAATTCATATTCTTAGCTCTTTCTGTAAAGTCACGTTGAAGGGAAACAATAAAGTAATAAAAAATATATAAAACAATAAAAATTCTCATGACGTTTCGACCATAACACAAACGGTCATCATCAGGTGTGAAAACCAACGGCAAGAAACATTTGAAAGAAGTGGCGGTTTGCATTTATTTATTTGCAAACGGTGTTTGTGTTTATTTATTTATTTGTTTTTTAAAGAACCGTTAGCACCACGGCAGCGATTTGGCAGTTTGTTTAGAAGGACTAGTCCATCTATGTTCTGAAAAGAGGAGGGGGGAGACGAAAAATTAATGTATGCTGTCTAAAAGCCACCGTAAGCGTGAACAATCAATTAAGGCCTGAAATGGTTTATCAAATCCTTCCAATGATTGCTAAGCCAGAATCCATCTTCTCGGTTGAAATTGTCTCTGTGCTTGTATATGTGGATAGCCTCATGAACGAATCTCCCATGGTAGCCAGATGGCTTGCAAAGAACCTCTGTCTTGGAGAAGTCAGTGTCATGTGAGACTACTGAATTATAACAGTGATCTGCCACGGCCGAGGTGTTGGTCCTACCGTGTTTAATGTCTGCTTTGTGTTCACGAATGCGGTCCGAGACATGGCGTTTGGTTTCTCCAATGTAACTACTACCACAGAGGCAACTTAGTTTGTAGACACCAGGGTACTGTATGTCCGGAATCACATCTTTTACAGACGGAACCAGATCACGGATTTTATGTAATGTGTTGAAATGGACCTGGATCTTGTGTTTATTCAAGATTTTGGAGATCTTTTTTGTGATCCCCGCAATGTAGGGTAAAGTGATGGTTTTGAAAGGCTCCTCAAGAGAGTCCTTCTTCATGGTTTGAGTGATAGCTTTGCGGATTGTATAGTCGGAGTAACCATTAGCCTTAAGAGCTTTGTGTACGTGCTTGAGTTCACTGCCTATGTGTTCCTGGTCGGATATGCATTGGGCTCTATGGTACAGAGTCTTGATAAGAGAATTCTTCTGTGATGGATGGTGGTGGGAATCCGGTTTCAGATAAGCATCCGTATGGGTAGCTTTCCTGTAGACAGAGTGGCTCATTGAACCATCAGGTCTCTTTTTTATTAGGACATCCAAAAAAGGTAGCTTGCCATATTTTTCGACTTCCATGGTAAATCTGATGGCTGGGTGTATGGAATTGATGTGGTCGAAGAATTGGTCTAGAGCAGGCCGGCCATGTGGCCAGATGACAAAAGTGTCATCCACGTACCTCTTCCATAAGGTTGGGTGCAGAGTGGCAGTCTGGATGGCGTCAGTCTCAAATTTCTCCATGAAAATGTTAGCTATAACCGGAGATAGGGGGGAGCCCATTGGGGTGCCCTCAGTTTGTTTGTAGAAAGTTCCATTCCAAGTGAAGTATGTATTGGTTAAGCAGTGTCTCACCAGGGGGGTACCTCAGTGTTTAGTCCTTGATGAACCAAGTCTTCAATGATTGCGATGGTGTCAGGTACAGGAATTTTGGTGAATAAGGAAACTACATCAAAACTGACAAGCAGGTCGTCTGGGGATAGGGAAATACCCTTGATTGTCGATACCAGGTGAGTGGAATTTTGTACCGCAGAGGTGGTTTTTCCAGTGAAAGGACGCAGGATTTCAGACAAAAAACGAGCCAGTTTGCAGGTGGGGGAGTTGATAGTAGAGACGATGGGACGAAGGGGTGTATCTACTTTATGTATTTTTGGTAAGACTTGGTTCATCAAGGACTAAACACTGAGGTACCCCCCCTGGTGAGACACTGCTTAACCAATACATACTTCACTTGGAATGGAACTTTCTACAAACAAACTGAGGGCACCCCAATGGGCTCCCCCCTATCTCCGGTTATAGCTAACATTTTCATGGAGAAATTTGAGACTGACGCCATCCAGACTGCCACTCTGCGCCCAACCTTATGGAAGAGGTACGTGGATGACACTTTTGTCATCTGGCCACATGGCCGGCCTGCTCTAGACCAATTCTTCGACCACATCAATTCCATACACCCAGCCATCAGATTTACCATGGAAGTCGAAAAAGATGGCAGCTACCTTTTTTGGATGTCCTAATAAAAAAGAGACCTGATGGGTCTCTTGTTTTATATATATTTTATTATTTTATTGTTTCCCTTCAACGTGACTTTACCGAAAGAGCTAAGAATATGATTTTCATTGTTTATTTTACCTACGTGACTTTACCGAAAGAACCAAAGAGTATGGATCCTTACAGTCATGAGAACTTCAAGTTTAGAATAGGTCTCTAATGGGGTCTCTCAATGATAATAGACCAATAGACCGGTGTGTGCGCGTGTGTTTTTATTTGTTTAGCACCTTTCCTGGAAGAATGGTCTGCCTCTTCCCTTCCTTCTATAAAACGTAAGCTCTGGGTTTCAGGATCATAGTTTCAGTTGAGACCCGGTCTCAAGATTGGAGTCTCAATTGAGATGCATTTTCAGGAGATCAGATCTCAGGAGTCAGATCCTTCATTGACCTTCGGGTTTTAGCATCGGTCTCAAAATGAGATTCGGCTGCTGGAGACCATGTCTTAGGGTTGGAGTTTTGATTGAAACTCGGCTCCAGGAGCCCTAGTTTCAGCATCAGTCTTGATTGGGACCAGTTCTCAGCATAAAAGTCTCGAATGAGGCTCTCTCTTTTCCACTTTCCTTTCTATCCCTTCGCCTCTCCTTTTAATAAGAGCTGCCAGGAGTGACTGGCTAGCCGTGAGCAGTCATAATATGAACGTACACACGGGACACTCAGTATTATTGCCCACTTTAAAATAAAAATATATTTCAAAAAACTACTCTCAGCCCCACAGTAATATCTCTGCACACGTATAGATATATATTTTTTTCTTTATTTGAATCACTTCTGTAATAACCAAAGGACATGTTTTAATTTTAAAGTGCTGTTTTGGCAAGTCTTAGCCTTATTCGTGTTGTGTGTATGAATATATGAGTGAGTGTGTGAGGTCTGCGGTAGTATGGTGGTTAGCCACACTGCACCACAAACCAGGCAGCCTAAGTTCAATTCCCGCCACCATGTCGCCTCAGCCATACAATGAGTACCTGATGTGGTGTGTAAACGTCAGTGCTGGGGAGACATTGTGTTGGCCATGCCACCCCCTCGTGTGCCGTAATAGCCTTGCTTAATAGGTGGTTGCTAATAGTAGTTGGTTTTGTGTTTTGTTGGTTAAACCGGAGACCTTTGTCTTTTTGTTCATGTGTCTGTATCCATATGTACATATATATTGTTGTGGTTATGTGTGTGTGATGGGGCACACGGGTTAGTGCACTGCGCTATGAACCCGGCAACCCCAGTTCGATTTCCCGCTCGCGGTCAACAACCGTGACAATTATCTGAACCGGTCCTAGGCCTTCCTTAGTTCCATGCGGCCTCAAATGAGTACCTGATGCGAAGTGTGAACATTGCCACTGGGGAGACGAAGGCGGTCAGGCGTGGTGCTGACCACCCACACCCTCGTATACCTTGCCGGCCTTCATAGGTGCTTGCTTAACAGCACGTACCCAAAAGTGTGTTAAGGTTATACAGGGGATCTTTGTCTTTGTTATCATGTGTGTAGGAATGATTATAAAGCATTGGCCAGATGAGCCCGACAATAAAAATAGGAGGCTGCTGGAATTATGTTCTAGCCCATGGACTTCATTTTCAACACACTGTTCCATTGCTGGCTCATCCACACATTGTGAGTGCATAATTAAAGAAAATAATGAAGGGAAACGTGTTGGCGGTAGGTTCACAAGATCAAATAAATGTATTTTACTACTTAGTCACTAACACTACCATATAACAGAACAAATATATAATAGGCTGATATTTTTGGATATTGACCTTTCATATTGGACATTGTACTACAATAAAAACTGACTTTGTAGTTGATCACACTAAATAATGAGGTGTTCTAAAAAAAAAACTGGGACATTTTAATTTACAGCTTTGAATTTACTTATGCACACTTTTCCATTTAGTAGAGGTTGATTGGCATTCACATATTAACTGATTTAAATTTAAAGGTAAATTTCCACGTGTGACCGAAGGACTACAACCCGTGTAACAGTGTCTGGTGAGTATTAGTGACATGCCTATTATGTTAAATGAGTGGCTATCTCGAGTGAAAGCATCTCTTGCAAATCATTAGCATTTTAAGGGTAGAAAATAAGCCTCTGGGGAGAAGGATATTTCCTTCTCCCCCAAGACCCCGCAAAGCAATGTCATGTGGTCAGGAGGAGCTGGCCCTTTGGGAGCCGTTGTGCGTCAGATGTTGGAAGACATAGCCATCTGCAGAGAGAGGGGCTGGCTGATATACATCTGTCAAGGGTAGTGCATTTGTGTGCAGTCTGTGTGACATAGCATCATCACAATTGCTTGTACCACAGGGTGAGTTTCACACGTTTCAAAGGGTGTCCCAGTCGTCCCCCTTTATAGGGATGGGGGGAGGGGGTGACCACACTGATTGTATCAACTAAAATGGCTTCTCTTTGCTTAGCATGCTAACAATGGTTGTCTGAAATATTATTTAACATTTTATTGTCCCGCACCTCCAATTAGCACTGTTGGTTACGTATGCTGCGAATGTAGTTCTACATACATTGTCAGCCACACTGAGGAGTAACTTGCAGACTTCCGATTGCATCATTCAAGTTGAACTGGTCCTGCTTGGTTGCCAGATTCCATTGGGTCTGCTGTGCAGTTTATGGAATTTCAACAGGAAATACGTTGATTCAATGACCTTAATCAAGGCACTCACACCATAAACAAAATTTTGTGTCGGTTGAGTCGGAGGGTGGGGGGGCTGAAGGCGAGGAGAAAATTCAATGCACAAAATTTAATAAGGAAAATTACGTAAAAATGTGGTCTCAAATCAATACAGGCGGCCCTCGCTTCGTGCTCAAGGTGCATTCCCGGAGAAGTGAGCGACAATCTAATTGGCGCTAAAAGGGATCATCATGCCATGGTATATATGAGGATACGTTCCCGGCAGCGTTATTTTCTTTCATATGAGAAACATGAGGTCTTCTATTGGGGTATCGGTACTAATAATACAGATGGTAAACATTTCGTAAATTAAAATGATGATTTATTGTAATAATATTTGTAAGTATTATGTCCTGTACTCTTGAGTACATTCTACTGTGCTCCTCTTGCATGGCATGGGTGGGGGGAGCTGCTGTGCCCCCAATCCGAGTCATTCTCTGAGAAGAGCTCCAGGACCTCTGTGATCTTAGTGATGCCCTCGGTATGAATTTCTGCGGTGAAGTTTATTTTTAGGTCGAGCCAGAGATTCTCATCCTGGCCTTGTGCTTTCTCACCTCGCTCAACACATCGATCTTTAAAAATGTAATTGTCACCTACGAGTCGTGATAATCAAATCGTGGGTGGGGGGGGGGGGGGGGGTGGCTCGGCTTGCATCGCTCTCATTGGCTGAGCTAATGATAGAGGCCAGATCCCTTTCCTCGGCCGGCGCTACTGCGTGTTCTCACTCGTAAACGCATTATTATATACCTTTTTATCTGCTTAATTTTTTTTGTTAAAATTAAATTTCCAGAACGAATCGTTGTTCTACGGGGTCATGGTTAAGTGAGGTCTGCCTGTATGCATCTTCGTTTGAGATTAAATAAGACCTTGCACATCTCCAAAAATATATAGAAATGTGCAAAATTGTGCTCGCACATGGATTATTAGGGTGCTCTGCAATGCTGTGGTTGACTGTTATAATATTAACTAATAATACAGTAAAACCTTTCCAAGCCAGACTAATTGAGTGGGGAGGGCCTTTGTAGTGATGGTGGATGTCTGACATGCCGCAAATAATTAAACGATTGCAAAATGCTAATTATGAATTACATTTAAATGTAATTAACACCTAACCACTGAATATTTTAACAACTATTCGCATTAATAACCATTAACTAAACATTTACAATTTAACAAAAACGACACGGTGTAATTAATTGAATCTCGAGTCGCCATCAACCGGTGGACGGCTTCGGCAGAGATTTTCTGCTGGGGTTGGAGGGGGTCGACACTCTTCCTGCAGTAAGTACTGAGCACCATATAGAAAACTTCATGTATCAACATTTACGGTAACCTTGTTTTTTCCAATGTGTCACAAGTAGTTTACGAACAAAAAATTGTGCACCATATACATTTTTAATTGACTAAAAAACCATTCGCCATGTATATTTATTTTTAAGGTAACAATAACTAAATCTTGATTTAAAGCTTTCGTGACTGCAGTAATTCATATTCTTAGCTCTTTCGGTAAAGTCACGTTGAAGGGAAACAATAAAATAATAAAATATATATAAAACAATAAAAATTCTCACGACGTTTCGACCATAACACAAACGGTCATCATCAGGTGTGAAAACCAATGGCAAGAAACATTTGAAAGAAGTGTTTTTGCCGTTGGTTTTGACACCTGATGATGACCGTTTCTGTTATGGTCGAAACGTCGTGAGAAATTTTTTGTTATATATATTTCATTATTTTATTGTTTCCCTTCAACGTTACTTTACCAAAAGAGCTAAGAATATGAATAACTAAATCATTTACCAAATTTTTGAAAGACAAGCGAGCACCGGGTGTCCGCGAGCGGGGCACATGTTCACCGATTGCAGCAGCCGACCGTGTGGGCCACTGGTTGCCATCTCATGCTCGCTCATTTTAACACATTTTCTAAATAAGTTGTAACGTCACTATTTACAATACCAAGAAAACTGTAATAAACATAATGCCAGACTTTTGCTCACCGTTTAATTTCGCACGTAAATAGTGTTCCGGCTGGAATTTTTTTTATTTCGGTGATTTTAACATATACATTTTTAGCTGGCCTTTCATACAGACAACAAATTCCAGCTTAACTCAGTCCAGCTTTGAACGGTTTTCCTGTTATGTTATTTCTCTAGGAAAGCCTCACTGGAACTCAAGATTGTTTTTCAGGAAGATCTGCATGAAGAAGTGTGACCAGTTCTTATTTAATTAGTGATCTGTTTCATGTACAAAGAGTACCCAGAAAAAACATACACATAAGTGGAAATAAGTCCTCGCAACCTACTTGCTGTTCTTGCTCTGCACAGCCCACAAGAGCCTCCAGCGTTTTGAAGCGCTTGACACAATTGGAGGGGAGAAATCATCCGACCAGGGAGGCGCAGTGCATTCTGGGAAGTCGGGGCAGACGATCGCTCCCCGTCAGAGGTTTATTGTTTTCAGCTTGGACGATAGAAAGGTTTGCGTTTTTCGAGTGCCTATTAAGGTCACATGCACACACTGCACATACACAAACATCTACACACATACTCTCGAGAAAATAAACATGAACATACCTGCATACATATATTCATATGCACACACATACTCGTATACACAATTACACTTACACATTGCACACAAGATAATCCTACACATTTATTTGTATCTCTGCCGCATATTTACCCTTAACTCCGATTGATATCCGACTCTTATCCTTACTGCATCCCTAATCTTCTACCTCTTCCCCTGTCCCTATCACCGTAACAGTTGTCCCTGCACACCTACAACTGGTCATCGGAGCTGGGTGCCGGCGTCATGCGTGGCACCTCCCGCCTCGTGCACTGGCTCAACGCTCGCTCACACCTCCTGATGTGTCTGCTCAGCCAGAAGATGGGCCTCTTCCACCACTACTACTACGGCGACCTCCCTCCTCCCCCCAGCGACCCCGGCAAGCAGATGGTCAGTCGTGTCTTACTGCGCCTACCTTGATAAGCTCTGCTGCACTTGCAATCCTGGTATAATCAAGGGTGACTGAAACTCAGGCTTGAATTCAGGAACTTAATTATGCAGTGTCTCTGATATGGTCATCACACTGGCAGATCTAATAAACGCACCGGCATGTGTATGATTGTGCTGGCGCATGTATGATAGAACTCGCATGTGTACTATTCTGGTGGCTTGTGCGCCTAACCCCCTCTCTCCAGGAGCCGAACCCTTTCCTACAGCCTCCGTGCGAGGCGGATGCCCTCATCAGGAGTTCAGCCCCCCCTCCTCCCAAGGATCCCACATGGGCCTCACCCATGGGTCCTGGCAGAGGTGAGACAAGCGTCCTAGGATGTACCTGTGGCAGGTTTGACACTTGAGTGTGGGGGTGTGTGTGTGTGGGGAGCGGTGGCATATTGAGTCGTTCCCTGCGCAACAAACTCCGCAACCTGGGTTCGATTCCCAGCCATATTTAATGTAATTAGCACATGTTATCTGAACTTATTCTGGGCCTCCCCCGTGTTGACAAGAGCCTTAAATTAGTACCTGTTGCGGTGATTAAACGTCAGCACTGGGGAGACAATGACAGAAATACATGGTGCTGATCACCCTCACCCTTTGTGTGTCGTAGCGGCGTTCATAAACGCTCGCTAACAACACTTGTCCCAACAGTCTGTTCAAAGATACTGGTATCTTTGTCTCTTTATATATATGAATGCATGTTGCCTAATACATGTCCCTGGGCTTCCTGTTGTCAGAGGTGTCGACTTGGTCAAAAGTCATTATTGGTATAATCATGCCCTCGAGAGTAGTCCCAGTGTTTGCAAAGTATAAACAGTGATTGTTCGGTGGAATGTACCAGTCCTCATCATGACAATATTGAATTTACACCATTGACCCGCGACCACCAACGAAGATGAGCACCACCCTACCCTTGTTTGAGCAGGGAGACTTAGACTTTGGCGTTTATATAATTGCCAGATTACAATCTTCTATTGCCCAATGTTTATCATAGAGCATCTGTTACGTTGCACAAAAATCCCACAGATATCAACATGGATTTGATTTGAAATCAACTGAAATTATTGTAAAATATAATTATTCACTTATAAGCTCTGTCAAAGGTTGTCTAACGTGTATATTTGTGTACGTGCCTGTGTGTTATGTAGGTTCTGTTTGTTTATACTATTTATATGAATGTATCAATTGCAAACTCAACAATGGTCATCGTAGAAACTGCCCCTGTTTGTACACCTAAAACCCTCTAACCCCCCCAATCCTTCATTGTCTGTAGGTCTCCTGGTCTCTGGTTCTACTACTACTGCTGCTGCTGGTGGTGGTGGTGGCGGCGGTGTTGCTGGTAGCGGTGGTGGTGGCGGCGGCTTGGCTGTAGGGGCCGCACCAGCATCGTTGGAGCTGCTGCAGCTGGACGAGGCGCTGCGCGACGTGGTGGCGCCAAGGCCCATGCGCCTGGCTCCGTACGGGGCCAGCGGCGATGCCGTGACGAGGCACGGGGAGCAGTACCGCGAAATCCGCGCACACGAGCGCAGGGGTGAGACGGAAAGACACGTCGTGGGGCGAGAGCGCGTGCGTTACGAGAAACTCGAGTCAAGGGTGGAAGTAAGATCGAGTCGTGTGTCGAAAGGAGGTTGACTCAAGATTCATTAACGATGTTGAGTCTGGAGAGATCAAGTACAGGGACTTGAAAGTTTTAAATATACGGCCTGTGGAGGATGAGTAATGGGGTATGTAGAGGTTGAATATGGGTTCCAGGGGAGGCTGACTTGAGGGTCTGAGGAGGCCATGGTCTGGTGAGGCCAAATTGAGGTTCTAGTAAGATCCTAAATATAGAGTGGTTCAAATAATCGTGTTTAAGTGAAGTCAATAATAGAGACTTGGCAAGTCAAATATCAGGGTCTAGGGGAGGTCCGGTTTGTCTGAGGTCATGTCTCGGGCCTTGGGGAGGTAGAATATATAGTCGAGGGAATATTGAACATGTGGTCTTGGAGAGGTTTTAATGTATGGTCTGTGGAAGTGGAATATAGTTCCTATTCCCACTGGATGTCGAAGACAGGGGGGTTAAAGATCATAGGTTGTTGTGTTATTTTACGTGCCTGACTTATTCTCCTCTTTTGTCATCGCTTGCACTCTGTTTCCCTCATTCTGCACTCTGTGCAACTCCCACATGAACATGTCTTCCTTCTGGCTCTTGTCTCTGTCCGTCACTCTAGAGATTGAAGCGCAGTGTAAAATTGAGAACCTGTTCATCACGTGGCAGCAGAGGTCGGCCCAGTCCAACATGCCCATCACGGTAACTCTGAGTACACATGTTCCATGTCTGTGCATGATTGTGTGTACAGGGATGGGAAAAAAGTATTTGATCCCCTGCTGATTTTGTACGTTTGCCCACCGATAAAGAAATGATCAGTCTATAATTTTAATGGTAGGTTTGTTTGAACAATGAGAGACAGAATAACAAGAAGAAAATCCAGAAAAACGCATGTCAAAAATGTTATAAATTGATTTGCATTTTAATGAGGGAAATAAGTATTTGACCCCCTTTCAATCAGATTTCTGGCTCCCAGGTGTCTTTTATATAGGTAACGAGCTGAGATTAGGAGCACACTCTTAAAGGGAGTGCTCCTAATCTCAGCTTGTTACCTGTATAAAAGACACCTGTCCACAGAAGCAATCAATCAATCAGATTCCAAACTTTCCACCATGGCCAAGATCAAAGAGCTCTCCAAGGATGTCAGGGACAAGATTGTAGACCTACACAAGGCTGGAATGGGCTACAAGACCATTGCGAAGCAGCTTGGTGAGAAGGTGACAACAGTTGGTGCGATTATTTGCAAATGGAAGAAACACAAAAGAACTGTCAATCTCCCTCGGCCTGGGGCTCTATGCAAGATCTCACCTCGTGGAGTTGCAATGATCATGAGAACGGTGAGGAATTAGCCCAGAAATACACGGGAGGATCTTGTCAATGATCTCAAGGCAGCTGGGACCATAGTCACCAAGAAAACAATTGGTAATACACTACGCCGTGAAGGACTGAAATTCTGAAGCGCCCGCAAGGTCCCCTGCTTTCTGCTCAAGAAAGCACATATACATGCCCGTCTGAAGTTTGGCAATGAACATCTGAATGATTCAGAGGACAACTGGGTGAAAGTGTTGTGGTTAGATGAGACCAAAATGGAGCTCTTTGGCATCAACTCAACTCGCCGTGTTTGGAGGAGGAGGAATGCTGCCTATGACCCCAAGAACACCATCCCCACCGTCAAACATGGAGGTGGAAACATTATGCTTTGGGGGTGTTTTTCTGCTAAGGGGACAGGACAACTTCACCGCCTCAAAGGGACGATGGACGGGGCCATGTACCGTCAAATCTTGGGTGAGAACCTCCTTCCCTCAGCCAGGGCATTGAAAATGGGTCGTGGATGGGTATTCTAGCATGACAATGACCCAAAACACACGGCCAAGGCAACAAAGGAGTGGCTCAAGAAGAAGCACATTAAGGTCCTGGAGTGGCCTAGCCAGTCTCCAGACCTTAATCCCATAGAAAATCTGTGGAGGGAGCTGAAGGTTCGAGTTGCCAAACGTCAGCCTCGAAACCTTAATGACTTGGAGAAGATCTGCAAAGAGGAGTGGGACAAAATCCCTCCTGAGATGTGTGCAAACCTGGAGGTCAACAACAAGAAACGTCTGACCTCTGTGATTGCCAACAAGGGTTTTACTAAGTCATGTTTTGCAGAGGGGTCAAATATTTATTTCCCTCATTAAAATGCAAATCAATTAATAACATTTTTTACATGCGTTTTTCTGGATTTTTTGTTGTTATTCTGTCTATCACTTTTCAAATAAACCTACCATAAAAAGTATAGACTGGTCATTTCTTTGTCAGTGGGCAAACGTACAAAATCAGCAGGGAATCAAATACTTTTTTCCCTCACTGTATGTACGTATATCTCTGTACGTATAGGGAGCGGTAGCGCTACGGTTAGCACGCTGCGCTTTGAAACCCGAAGACCCGAATTCGATTTCTGCATATGACCAATGGCAGCGAATATTTTGATCGGTCCTAGGTTGACTCTGCTTTAAATGTACCCGTGCACTGTGTTAACATCAGCACTAGGAAGACAAATGTGGCTGGGCACGGTGTTGGCCACTCCCCTCGTGTGTCAGCCTTCATAGGTCCTCGCTAAAACCACTTTCCCCAACAGTCTCTTAAATGCTGTACAGGGGATTTTTCTCTTGGTGTCTGCATCTGGCAGTCATCTCAGTTAAACTCATAACACCTATGTGTATCCCATGACCTCCTGCCAGTGTGCTTTCCACAATGTACATGGCCTCAGTCCACCTAGCATGGCACAAGTGTCAGGGTTACATCACTGCCGCATGGTGGATAATGGTGGCTCTTGTGTGTGTGTAAAGGGAGTGAAAATTCCATTTCCCCCTGATTGGGGTCGATACACTGTAGGACAACCCCTGTTGACTTCCCACAAAGTGGTACTCATTTGAACCAAGTTTACAATGACCTTGGATTTGAATTTAAACCTTAAGGTTGTGAGGCGACCAATAGTCTAACCACAGTAGGGTGTACATTTTTAAACGATAGGTCAACTCGGCGTTGATTGAGTGTCTGGTGCAGTGTTTTCATTACGTAATTGCTTTAAAGACAAAGGTGGCTGGTCGTGTTCCTGATCACACCACTCCCCTCATTTGCTGCACCAGTCTTAACATGTGCGCACTAATAACACTTGCCTTTGCAGCCTACAGGGTTAAACAGAGGATCTTTGTCTTTTGTGTGCGGGTGCAGGTGTCCGAGTTGGATCTGCTTAGGCAGTCTTCACGGCTTGTCCACTACTGCGCTACTCCGCTTGTTTTCGACCCAGCCACTCACTTGACCGATGCTGTGAGTTGCAGCAGTAAATTAATAGATCCTACGGGTGGTTAGTCTGTGAGCGCCCCTGAATGCTTCAGTGATTGTGCACCACCTAACCACCACCAATCGGCATCAAAGCTGTTCTCGTGACCAGTGCCAAATTCTCATGGGGGTTGAGATTACAGGGAAATTAGATGAGGGCTCCCTTGTGAAATGAGCAATCTTATATCACGCGTCTTCATTGGTGGCTTTGAGCTCAGTGATGGCAATTCCACATTTCCATGGTGCGGGCATTCGAATGTTGACCTCAGATCATGACATTTAATCGAATTTTGACTCTGAATCATGACAATTTATCCAATCGCAAGAGTTTTTTTTAGATGCCTACAGATTAGATTATAACCGACTTTTAAATTAGATTGATAAGTTAAATATAAGTTATTGGAAATTACTTTCTGGGCAAGATTTAAATTGTTAATTGTGTTATTATAAATGAGCGACTAGATGCTTGCATACATTCATGTATATTATGGGGAAGATTATATTCTAGAAGAGCCTTGTGCTCTGCAACTATGATTAAAAATAAAAAAATCCTAAATGGATTACATCTTACAATAGATTACATCCCAAAGAAGATCATATTAATATTACATATTCTTAAAGCGCTTAAATCTAAGGGGAATTTTAAATACAAACCTAGGTTGGATTCTTAAATAGATTCAGTTGTGTTTTCTAGGGGAAGTTATAATTCCCGTGTAAATTTTATTAAAACAAAAAATGTCTTCAAGACGGCATTAACTTGAGAGATTAGATTCTAATCTACTCCATCCTACGCTTTGACTAGTAATAATAAACAACTTTCAACATGCACAATTTCGCTCGCGGATCACAAAGATCGAGCACGACTTGGAAGCATGGAGCCCAGCTCTGAGTTTGTTGAAATTTCGCTGGAACAGGTTAGGGGTTTTAAGTGCGTTTTGAAAGAAAATATGTTATTCCCAGATTTCACGTGAAGTTTAGGAACACTTAGTCTCTTCCCCAGTTGGCTGGGTGAAAAATGGGCTAGGTTTTGCCCAATCCTGGAAAGCCAGCTGAACAAACTTAACATACAAATGAAGAAGTAGTTGGCAATTGGGATCTACTTAAATGAAGGTGGGATTCGAGTCTCAGGCAGCGGGAGAAGTCGCCAAGAAGCCCCTGTCGGCAGTCGCACTCCGTGATTTTAGGGAACAACGAGCAGGTCGGGTTTACACGGCGGTTCTCCGAGGCAAGAAACTGCAATGATGGAAAATACAGTTTTGTGGGAGAACAGAACACGGGGCACAATGTAAGAGAATAGCAACGTTGTACATGCGGTCCTCGGCTTGAGTCGGGTTCGACTGACGCCGATCTGCAACTTAACAGTGCGACGCCGATGCAGGCGCCGGTTCTGCGCTTGCAACCAGACATCCAGTATGCCGCCCGGTTAGTCTGCCTTCCATCGTGCTCCGGTGATAAACCTCTGTGCATTCTTAGTGATTTTTAAGCATTTCTGTAATTATTTCATCCTTAATAATGGGTGATAAAAGGAACGATCAGTTGCTCTAGTGACGGTGTTGATAAGAAACCTATTTCCTCAAAATAAAGCAGGGATGACGAAGAATCAAGGTAAGAACTTTCTGAACACTTATTGTACTTTGTATATTATTGGTAGTTGATTAAATATGCTTTTTTAATCATATCTGTAAAAATGTGCATATCGGACCCTTGGTCAAAAACGTAACCCCCCTATTATATAATTTTTTCTCTGGGAAAATTGGTCTCGACTTGCGTCGTTTCGATTTGGAGCACATTTTCTATTAACGTAACCTAACGTAGGTCCGAGCACCCGACCGTATTTGGTTTGATTCGATTCATGGGCTATACTTTGGATCGTAAAGTAAACTACTGTAGTCTGTGCAACTTCAATGGCAGAAGAATAGCAAGACTACACACACTATCTCCTGAAGCCCTCTCTTGTGAGTAACAGACCTTGACATTGGCATTCAGGTCCTGAACATATTTCCACACGCAAGAATAGGATATGGGACATTTAATTCTAAATATATTCTAAGGCAGATTAATTTATTAATTAGTTAATTTTGCACAGGAAGTTCGATTCTTAAATATGTTATTAAGTACATTGTATTGTATAGAGCAGGTGTCCCCAACCCCCGGGCCGCGGACCGGTACCGGTCCGTGGCCTGTTAGGAACCGGGCCGCACAGCAGCAGGAGGTGAGCGGTGAGTCCGCGCGTGGCCCGCCCCATTATTTTATTATTTACCACTTCCCTCCGCGCCTCTTTCCCACACTGCGCACTTGTCTCAGTCACAGTTTTGGTAAGCCCACAAGCTAACAACCCTAGTAGCCAAAATGAGTTTAAAAAAAAAAACGTCGCTGGAGAGCTTCTTTGAAAAGGGGGAAAGACCCAAATGATGAACCCCCACCCCCCCCCCCCGGTCCGTGGAAATTTTTATTAAAATCATGAATTGAGTAGATTGGACAATACTAGAGCCTCGAAGATCAGAATCGTAGACAGACTTCTTAGAGATGTTATTTTCGAGAGATTTTTGAAGATGTATATTAAGCTGGACCCTTAAATGTTTTTGGAGGGAAAATTTTATTTTATTTAAGATTCAATTCTAACTTGTTCTTTAATTCTAGATTTGAAGCTTTCGTGACTGCAAGGATCCATACTCTTTGGTTCTATTCGGTAAAGTCGCGTAGGTAAAAAATAATTTTGTTAACGTCTAGTTTTGTTATATGTGGGACTGGGTTCTTCTTCGATAGGTGGTTGAATTTAGAAATCAGGTTAGCTTTGCATTTGACTGAAAGTGAATTGGCAGAAGAAGCAGTCGTGTTGTCTACGTGGTTCCAATCAGAAGGTGACGTTTTTGTGTTAACGTTAAATGAGCTTGTAGGAGATTCCTGTTAACAAAATTATTTTTTACCTACGTGACTTTACCGAATAGAACCAAAGAGTATTCTTTAATCTTTGTTAGATGCTTAAGTGGATTCTAGTTGATGGTGAAAATTATTATTTTGAAGTGTTAAATTCTAAACTCTTTGAAAATCATGAATAGATCCTTTTATAAGGAAGATGAGGTTAGATCCTAATGGAATGTTTAACTTTAAGGGAGATTAACTTTTACTTAAATGTAGATAATAGCGGAGGTTACCGTGATCAACAGAACAGTTAATCTGGCGGAGTTATGTTCAAATTAAATATTCATCTTTTCGAGCGATATAGTCTCAGCTGCCGGCTCTGCTTAGCAGTAGACTAATTGATCGCCTGTCACCTCTGGAGGGCTGGCACGATACTCGTACTTTGTATGTACGAATGTATGTTTAACTTCTTTCGCACCATACGTAGCCAACCGTGCTAATCAGAGGTGCAGGGGGTGGGGGACAACAAACCAAACACAAAAAGCAATTCTCAAGATGTGACTTTTCAATCTAGATTTTAAAGTGCATAGCTCCGAGTGGCTTCCTAATATTGGAAGCAAGAGTGTTCCAGACGGCCGCAGAAGTGCATCTGAAAGCGCACGATGGCTGTCCAAAAATAGAACGCCAAATCTATCTTCCACCCATTGTCTCCGATTTCTCCCTCTTACCCCTCCAGGCTGCTGCCAACAGTGTTCCTCCAATGGTACCGCATTGCTCCCCGCCCAGTGGCACCAGCGACATCGCTACCCCCACCTCTACCACTGGCTCTACCACTACTACTGCCCACAGCCTTACTCCTGGCCCTGCTGCTCCTGCTGCTGCTGCTGCTTCTGGTGGCGGTGGCGGGGAGGCCTGGCTGCTAGAGCTGTGCACGGCTTTCATTCAGCAGTACGTGCAGTACCTCCAGAGCCTCGGATTCATCCTCGTACACCTGCGTCCCTCAACACCTGCACGCAGGTGAGAGAGGCAGTGGCGGAGCCAGTGGAAACCGTGGCAGCGGTAGTAAAAAAAGCGGCTGTAAAGTCAGTAACTTCATTACCAGCAGTTGTATCAGCAGCAACAAGTGCTTGTAGCATCAGAAATGTCATAATCAAGAGTTGCAGTAGCGTTTGTAACACTATAGCAGTCTAATCGGCAATCTTAGTATTAGCAGCTGCAATAGTTGGAGCCAGGCCATGGTGGCTCGTCATGCCTTGTGGGAGGCAAAAGTTGGTGGATCGCACAAATGTCACAAAACTTTTGTCCTGTGTGCATTGAGGTACCATACCCTGGCTCGCCGGGTGAAGGCAATTCGCCAAATAAATTGAATACATCGACTCTGTCAGCATGGGATGGTGTTTCCTCCTTGCATGCTTTGATTTTCTCTGGGTGCTCCAGTTTCCTCCCACGTGTAAACACTCATGAATTGGCCAATAACACCTTAACATATAGAGGACTACCGAACTTGGGCAATTGTTGGCACCAGCTCACCGCGTGGCTGCCTTTCCCAGCTTGTTTGCGGTTCCTCGCACCTCCTTGAGTCCTTCTCTCTACAAGAGTGAGTGAATACTGTGCGCGTTACAAATAAAAATTATTATAGTAACTTAATTGTCAACAGCAGCGCTAGAATTAATAGCAACAATCACATCAATAACTTCATCATCAGCATCTTAATGAAAAGAGACACCCAAACCCACGGCTCGAATCCAGGATTTTTTGTCTGCAGGTCATCGGTCTCCACACGTCCACGCTCGTCTGCTTTCTCCGTGAACATAGGGACATCAGACGGGAAGCCCCGTTCACAGAGACCCTGGCCTGAGAGCAGCACCAAGGTGAGAGTGGCGGTTTGGGAACGGTGGCACAGTGGTTATCGCACTGCGCTATGAACCCAGCCAGCCGGATTCCATTCCTGGCCACTGCTAATATCAGTTGAGAGTAATATGCGAAACGGTCCTGGGCCTCCCCAAGGTGACTCAGCCTTCAATAAGTGTCTAGTGCTGTGTATAAACAGCATTCAGGAGACAAAGGCAGCCAGGCGCGGTGCCTACCACACCACCCCCTCGTGCCATGCAGACCTTAATATGTGCTCACAAACAACACTTATTACAACAGTCTTAAATGCTTTATGGGGATTTTTGTATTTTTGCTAAAGCGTGTTAGTGTGTTTTCGTGCGTGTCAGATTAGGTGGCGTCTGATTTACAATTCCCAGGATCAGATCTGCATATATGTTGGGTAATTTTGTGAGGGGTTGGGGTAACCTTGTAGGGATTACGAGGCCTCCAAGGTTAAAGGAAGGGGCTCTTGAAAGACACTGTTTGATGGAGACTGCCCTTGGGCAAAAATAGGAGACTGAGGAATAGCACTCACAACAACCTGATCCCTATTTAATTTAATATCACAGCAAGGAGTGTGGGTGGTGTGTCTCTCAGTCACCTCAGGTTATCCATAACATCTGAGTTTCCCCCCCCCCCCCCGATATCCTACCAAAAAGCCTTGGCCACTTCCCGTGTCCTCAAAGTTCACTTAGTTGTGCGAGGTGATGTCACTGCCACTTTGTGGTGAATAGCGGCTGTTGTAGTGTATGCGAGTGTGTGTCTGTGTGTGAGTGGGGAGTATGAGTGCAGTGCTTCATGCGCTGTGCTACGAACCCGACGACCCACGTTTGATTTCTGCTCGGAGATAACACCAGTGACGATTATCTGAACCAGTCCTGGGCCTTCCCGAGTTCCACTCGGCCTCAGATGAGTACCTGGTTCAGTGTATAGGACATCGCCACTAGGGAGACAAAGGCATTCGGGCGTGGTGCTGACCACCCACCCCCTCGTGTGCCATGCTGGCCTTCATAAGTGCTTGCTACTAGCACTTGCCCCAACAGTCTATACAGAGGATCTTTGTCTTTTTTGTGTTTATTTGTATGCCTCTGCATGGAGAGCAGCGGCATAGCAGATAGCGCATTGCACTCCAAACCTGCCTGACCTGGGTTTCATTCCCAACCGCAGCTAACATGATATCTTAACTTGTCCTGGGCCTCTCCTAGGTTGACTTTGCTTTAAAAAAAAGTACCTGATGGGAGTGTATAAGCATCGTCACTGGAGAAACAAAATCCACACAGACATGGTCCTGGCAAACACCACTTATACATGGTGTTGGAATTCACAAGTACTCACAACCAGCCCTTGACCCAACAGTCTTATGTTTAGGCTATATGAGGAAAGCTTTTGTCTTTCCTTATGTATATCTGCGTGTGTGTGCGCGAGTGTGTCTCAGGCTGCAGGTGGTGGAGTGTCGTCACTCATGTATCACCTCCAGCGAGCCCTGCCTGGTGGCCTCGTGCTGATGGAACTCGGGTTTCAGGTGATGAGATTTTATGTGAAGGCTACAAACATATAACGCGTGCACACAGTGTAGGGTAAAATACCATCACAAATCAATTTAAACAACAAAATACTTGGGATCAATGTCATTTGAAATACAAAATATAACACACTTGAAGAAATTGTATTTCTGAATACAAAAACGAATGTTGAATATTTATCTTGTTATGTGGAAAATACCAACAATCTGGACCACTGGACAGGTTCCGCATGATTGGAAGGGGGACCGCACAGACTGTAACAACTACAGGGACATCTTACTCCTCAGTGTGCTGGGAAAGGTCCTGGCAAAGATTATTCAACTTAACCTTGTCAGGCACGCTGAGGAGAGGCTTGCAGAGCCCCAGTGCGATTTCAGGAAAGGGCAGTCCTGCACAGATGCCATATTTTCTGTCCGTCTGCTACAGCTGTCTGCACCACTGGGCGGGTTTCTCAGGATTAGAAGGATGCCCTAGTGGTCACCTCCCTTTAATAAGGGGGGCCGCACAGACTGTAACAACTACAGGGGCACATCTCCCTCCTCAGTATACCAGGAAGGGTCCTGGCAAGGGTTAACATCACCTTGCCAGGCACGCTGAGGAGAGGCTTGCGGAGCCCCAGTGTGATTTCAGGCCAAGGCGGTCCTGCACAGGCGCCATATTATCTGTCTGTCTGCTACAGCAGAGGTGTAGAGAATTACAATAGAACCTACATCTCTGATGTATTGACCTGGTCAAGGCCTATGATACTATCAGTAGGCCTGGGCTCTGCATTATTCTTCGTGCTCCTCTGCTCACGATCATTCAGGACCTTCATGATGGTGAGCGGGCCCGGGTAAAACTACGTGGCCAGGAGTCTGAGCCATTCCCTGTTCACCTTGGGGCGCGACAAGGATGTCCTCTGGCTCCCACATTATTTAACATATTTTTCGACCACGTAGTTTGTGAAGCCTTCGATGGTTGTACTGGAGGAATTTCCATCTGGTACAGATACAATGGGAGGCTGATCGATGCCTAGGTGTGGTCAAGGTATGGCTCCCTATTGCTCAACCATGTTAAGTATGCCGATAATATGGTAATTGCTGCTTACTCAGAGGAGTTGGAGGCGCTGCTGCTGAACCTGGAGCTTGCCACGAAGAGGTGGGGCCTTACCATCAGCCCCACCAAAACTAAGCACCTGCCTGGGTATTTTGTTCCATCGGACACTCCACCCACAAAACTCAAAATTGGTGATGGGGCAGTTGTGGAGAGAGTGGAGAGTTTCCCATACCTGGGCAGTGTGCTCATGACCGGCTCCGGTTTAACAGCAGAGGTCTCGCTCCGAATTAGTTGGGCGACATTAGCTACCTGGTCTGTCGCTCCGCACGAAGCTTCAGGTCTTCTCGGCCACGGTCATTCCCTTCCTTCTCTACTCTTGCGAAACATGGACCCCCCTAATGGAACATCTTCGCTGGTTAGAAACATTCAGGCTGGCCTGCCTACGATCCATCCTGGGTTTAACCAGGCTGGATTATGTGAGGAGCTCACAAATCCTTTAAAGATCTGGACAAAGTCCCATCTGAGAGCTCCTCTGGCAGGCAAGGCTGCGTTGACTGGGTCATGTAGCCCACATGCCCAGCCGCCACCGCATGCCTAAACAGCTTTTGTTCGGCCGGATAGAGGTGGCTAAACGGGCACGGCACGGGCTAGAAAAGAGATGGAGTGATGTGGTACAGGAGGATGTGGAGCTGAGTGGACTTGCCGATGACTGGTACCAGCGGTGTCAAGATCGGCCTCTGCGGAGGAGGCTCGTGAAGGACGCTACTGGGCAGTTGGAGGCAACCGCCCTCCAACAACAACAGAGGGCGGAGAAGTGACACTCACAACAACGAGCAGCGCGCCTGGTGGCTAAAGCACAGCAAGGTGGCACAGTAGGGGGCATAGGTGTTCCATCAGCCATTCATCTCAGTCGACCCGTGGCACCTGGGTCTGCCCCGTGACCTCCTGCCAGCGGGCATTCGACACTTCACGTGGCCTCAACGTGCACATAGCCTGGCACAATCGTCGTGGTGATGTCACCGCCACTTAGTGGCAAATGGCGTTTGTTTTATATAGCCTGGGTGAGCGGCAGTGTAGTGGTTAGTGCCCTGCGCTACAATTCTAGCGACCCGAGTTTGATTCTTGCTCACGACCAACACCAACGACGATTATCTGAACCAGTCCTGGGCCTCCCCGACGTTGACTCCGTTGAGTACCTGGTACGATGTGTAAACATCGCCACTGGGGAGACTAAGTTGGCCGGGATTGGTGCTCGCCACCCACCCCCTCGTGTATGTCCGTCTCCGATTATCTCTTATGCTATCATAGCTGCATCTGTTCATCTGGCTCGGTCTCAACTATTTCTCACTCTTTCTCCTGGTCATTCCCTGTCATTTTGTCATTGTGTCTCTGTGTCTGCCTGTGCTTGACAGGTTAGTAATGAGTGTCCTGGTGGAACTGCTGTTGAGAGTTTCTCTGAGAGGACGAATGATGGCTTAAGGGAGACTGCTTATGGACAATCAGACGGTATTAGGGGGACTGACTTTTTAGATAGCTTTGAAGAAGGCTTTAAGAGAGAGTGAGGCACTGCCTGTGGAGTGTGAGAGCGATACAGATTTAGACCGGTTACTGAGAGATTAAGACCATATCCTTGCATGTGTGTCTATATCCACGTTTGTGGCGATGTCTTGATTGTTTGTATTGGTGTCTTTGTAAGTCTGTCTGTATTAGCGTGTATTCGTGTGGGTTGGTTAACGTCTGTGTCTGTGCTTGCAGTCGGCTTTGCCTGTGTGTGTGTGTATGCATGTGTGTATGCATGTGTACGTGTGTGTGCGAGTGTTTCTGTTTAGCGAGTGTTCACGCCCAGCATGATGAATGTCGCACTTCATTTCTAATAATGTCAAGTGTCACTTAGCCTCACTACTTTAATTAAAGTGGAGAGAGGGCAGGGCACACACGCACTCGCAAGCACACGCATACACACTTGCACTGCATCCTCCTATGTGCATATAAATACAGACGTACATAGCACGTATGGGCAGTCACGTGCACATTTATATTTACATAACCTATACTTATTTATACTAAACCAACACATACATTATATATACTATCACATGCATACATATATCCATGTACAGGAAAACCTCACCAAACACGGAATTATTGAACACGTATTTCGACTTTACACAGTTGACCAAATGAGGTCTGTTTTCCGAAAAAAGGGGGTGATGTTTTGGCTATACGTGGTTTGACGTTGCTAAGGCATGCGATAGGTGAGAGTGCTTCATCTGTTGGAAGGTACGATGGTGTGAATGAATTGACTGAGATTGATTTATTTCCCATGTCTGGCTTTTTGTGTGCTAATGTAACACACTCAACACGCTCGCACAACACGCGAATGTTAACACAGATTGTCGCATGCATATAGCCGTCCACTCATTGAGGACGTCAGTCATACGAACGCCTAGACATGCGAATCGTGAACGTTCAAGTGACAGTGTTAGGGGCGAGTGCTTGGCTAGCGATTCAATATCAGGGGTGAGCGCTGAAGTGAGTAATGGAGAATGAGGCTTTGCATAGAGGTGAAATTGAAGGAGTGTACACAATACATAAGAAATGGAGTGGCTCAATGGTGGAAATCATGTAGAATTAGTTAAACAAAGAGGGAGGGGGTGATAATTTTGGACCCAGGAACACAACCATATATTTTCCTGTAAGGTCTGTTATTTGTCAAGAGCTGTTTTGCCAAACACAGCATTTTCCAGGAACGTAATTCCCGCGTTTGGCAATGTTTTCCTATATATACATGCGATCGCACACACAATATATACGTGTAAGTATACTGATATACGGGAAACGATGATGCAGTAATGTACGCACCGCCATTATGAACCCAGCAACCTAAGTTCGATTCCATGTTGTGGTGCGGAGTTACATTCTTAACCATTCCTGTGATGTCCCTCGCCACAGAGCACTTAGCTCTGTGGTTAAGTATGGTCATACAACCCCGTGAACAACAGCATGGGGAGCCATTCATCAGTGGATTGACAATGACTTTTTTTTAAATCATGGTTGTACCAATATTTATTTTCTTTGTCACTCACAGTACTCACTCAAGCTCACTTATTTACTCACAAAAATTACTCTTTCACACACCCACTTATCCACTCACTGTCTCGCTCGCTCACATAAAGCTCACCCGCACATTAACATACAAAGACTCATTCGCCCACCTACTCCCTCACTCGCCACCATCCCACACTGACAATCCTCACTCACAAACTTGCCCCTTCCGATTGACTCGCACATTTACCAAACTTGCTCACTCAACCCACTCGCACGCTCACCGATTCACTCATTCACTTACCCATCCATGCCCCTCCACCCTAACCCAACCCACGGCTATAAATAATAAACAGCCATCCCTCACTGTGAGCTCCGTACCTCCCAGCTTATTCATGATTAATTTACGCCTTCTCGCTGTGCGCGGGCTCTTTCGGCCAAACGAAATCTTGCACACAAATTGGGCTTCTTTATAAATCAAGATAAAGTCAAGGACTCTCCCCGTGAAAATGAGCACAGTGCTGATCTCTGTTTGGTGGCTATGAGAAAGGTGCAAATTTAACGTTCTCCTGGCAGGAGCCAGTCTCTCCTTAGGTCGACTGCAGTTGACTTCCCTTAAAGCGGTGAGACTAATTTTATTGAGGCTGGGCGATATTGCTGCTGGTGAAGATTGTTGCAGCTGCAACGACTGATAATCACAATGGTGGTGCTGATGATCGCCATGTTGCTGCTGCTGGTATTGATGATGCGTAACAATTTTTTTTCTCTCTTTGTTCCTGCGTAGTAAGTGTTATTTCTTAATTGCTTATGCCTCAAAAATACAGAAAATAGATATTATTCCCCACAAACTTTGCTTTTGTGACCAGGACAGTGATCTTTTTAAATTTACCTATTTTCAATGAGAAAACGGGCAAATTTGTGTATTTTCGTTCAAATAAAGTCAGAAAAAAACAACATGAATCAAAATTAACATGTGTTTATACTAAAGTAATACAAACATTACTACAAAAGATTTAGACACCATTATCACAGGCAGGACTGGCCACAGTGGACCGAGTTCTCTGTGGGGAGGAACAACGTCAAGTGGGAGCCACTGGTGGACCCCCGGAAGGTGCTGATGCCACCACTGTACATCAAATTGGGCCTTATGAAACAATTTGTCACAGCTGTAGATAAGGAATCAGCAGCCTTCAAGTACCTTCAAGACTTCTTCCCTTAGCTCTCTGAGGCAAAGGTCAAAGCCGGTGTCTTCGTCGGACCAAAGATAAAGAAGATCCTGGAGTGCAATTAATTCCCCAAGAAGCTCACTAGTAAGGAGAAAGTGGCTTGGAACAGCTTTGTCACAGTGGTTCGTGGCTTCCTGGGCAATCACAAGGTCAATCTATGTGGAGCTGGTTGAGACTCTGGTGAAGAACTACGGCACAATGGGCTGTAGGATGTCCCTCAAAGTCCTTAATGCTCATCTCGATAAATTCAAGGAGAACATGGGAGCGTACTCGGAGGAGCAAGGTGAGTGCTTCCACCAGGATATAGTTGACTTTGAACGCCGCTACCAAGGACAATATAAGGAGAACATGATGGGAGACAACTTTTGGGGGCTGATTTGTGAAAGTGATTTACAGTATAATCGTAAATCTCGAAAAACTACTCACTTCTAAATCTTTTGTAGTAATTTTTGTATTACTTTAGTATAAATGCATGTTAATTTTGATTCATATGTTTTTTTTCTGACTTCATGTGAAGACAAATTCGCCCGTTTGCTCATTGAAAATAGGTAAATATCACTGTCCTGGTCACAAAAGCAAAGTTTTGTGGGGAATAATAGACATTTTCTATACTTTTTAGGCATAAGCAATTACGAACTAACACTTACTACCCAGGAACAAAAATGGTGTTACATAGTGTAATCTTTCTAATGATGATGGCCTGAATTGACTCCTTCCCCCTCCTCCAATTGGAATTTTACCTGGCAACCATCCGATTGTGAGTTGGCCACAAACTCAATAATGAAACACCCGAGAATCGTAATACCAGACTGAGGCACAAGCTCTTGAGAGTTCTTTTAGCTTAAAAAAGTAGGGTCCCCCTCTGAGTGCCGCTGCAGTCAGGGCACCGAATGTACAATCCTGGTTATTGGTTGAGTGATGCCATAATTGTCATGTATCGCAACATCAGTATCATCCTAAGTAGCATCATCAGGATCTTCATCATCTCTTTGGCATCAGTGAAATGAGTCACTTTGTGGCACGTCAACATTGACCGGAATTTGAGGTGACTGACCACTGACATGGGTTTGTTGGAATTCCCATCACTGGCTCACTGCCACCAATGGAGATGGGTAACGACCATTATTAGACTTACGTGAACTTGTTGCAGATGGGTCCTGCATTGGAATGTTTGGTTAGTTTATTTTCATCGAGTCTTTCGCTTCATGTGAGGAAACTGGAGTACAGAACCTGGAGAAAGCCCACACACACCTAGGTCCACACAGGCGAATTCTTGAACCCACTTACTGCACTCATCTCACATCTCCTTTGCACCCAAGCAGGTTTGAGAGTTTCATAAATCTCGTGATCCACCCACCCACCCTCATTTTCAATGTACTGGATTACAGGCATGCACTGCCACACTTGGTTCAAAGATTGGACGAAGGATAAGGTCTTTAATCTGTTGGGGGGTTTTTTTTGTTTTTTTTTTCTCCACAGAGACATTTCTTCACGGTGAAGCAATTCGCTCTCGAATGTTCTCGATTCCCAGTCGGGCAGTCTCTCAACCCACAGGTGACAACGCAGTCGCACATCCAGATCACTCGTAACACCACAGCCCCCTGTCCGCTATCAGAATACAACTTAGGCTCGGCTCCTCCGTAACATTGGATTTCAATATCAGCCTTGATTGAGACCGAGTCTCAGAATCGGGGGTATTAATTGAGACCTCGGAAGAACTGTTTTTTTTTTTAAACCAACAAAAAAATTATTTTTACTCAACTCGGTGTTGTTGCTAACTTGTGCAGGATAAATGTTTTGTACTGCATGATGTGATTTTGTTATGTTGTTGCTGATGTATTTGTGTGTGAGTATATTGTCATGTTTGCTGTTCTCCCCCCCCCGATAGGGTTTCATAGGATTGAAAGCGCGTATGAAACATTATGTGGAAGGGAGCACAATATCAGAATCTGCGGTATGTCACCTGCTGGCAGTGGGTTATGGCAGAATATATATACCAATACATCATATTCATATTTTTTATCATCTATATCAGCATAATTTTCAGCAGCATCGTATACATTAACATCCTAATATTAATCGAAATAGCATACTCATGAACGTAAAAATAACCATTCAGATCATTTGCAGTATTGTCAACAACAGTATAACCAAATCATCTTCATCACCCAGTGTCAACAGCAGTGACATCGGCAAACTAAACTACATCATCAACAGCATCACAGCAATATCAACATCAGGAAATCACTATCATCATCTGTAACATTGATGTTATAAACAACATTCATTATCATATAGGCATCATGATATTTAACAGTTATTATGCACAACCTTTAAATTCATATTTGTAACTTATCTTTCTGCCTTCTTCATTTTCGCCATTTCTGCAATGCTTCCTCTCATGGAATTCCTCCAATATTTTATCAAACTTTTTTGAAAACCTTCCAATCTTTTAGAATATCACAGCCCTCTAAATTCGCAGATGGTAGAGCCAAGGCCCCTCAACGTGCTTCCCCTCCACTGCCAGCTCATTTGGACACCGTTTTCTCCCCCAATCATTGAGGGAAAATTAACCAGCGCCAATTCATTATTGGGCCACGAAGGGTGATGGAAAAGTAGATGACATGACACAGGAGTGGGGCTACATAAAGCAGTGAATATTATGTTTAAAGAACATGAATATTTGGAAACATTTCACCAAACTTCTTGGTGACAGATTAATTCTGCCACTTTCAATTATGTACCGTGGAGGAAAATAATTCTGCAGAGAAACGTGGAGAAAAATCGGAGACAAGTCGAAAAATTCTGGAGAAAATCCAGAAAACAGTCTCCAGACCTTCCACATTTATACAGTTGAAGAATCACGTGTGGGGACAGTGGATTTCGAGTGGCAATTCAGTAAAATCAGCTGTCAGTGAGCGGTTTGTGAAGTAATGCCATGAGGTCTTCCAGGCAGGGAAGCCATGGAACATCGCTGGACCAAAGTGCATTGCACTTGTAAGTGGACCATGTAGATGCACAGAAGAGTTTCATCAAGGTCGTTCATTGCTTTCTATATCAGGACACAGACTTTTCCATCGCCACATGTTTATCTAGAGACAACTCGCGCTCCCAGCCCCTGTAAAGTGCTGATATATTTTTTGTCCAGGCGCAAGACTGTTCTTATAAAGATGACGCAAGAACATAAACACAGGGCAAGTCTTTACACCATTGGAACCTCCAGTAGCAAAATATCATAATTGGTTTTTTACCCTTTTATCTGGCAACAAAAATTACACCTTTTTTTACAAGGAGTCATGTTTGCATTGACCAGAATACCAGCGGTCGGAATGCCAACAAAAAACATAACTCTGATAATGTATGCACTGTCCTTGAAATTGATTGGTCCACACCCGATACAGCTTTCCTTAGAGCCCAGTCTCACATGGTGTTTGACCAGATGACGCCAAAAGGCGCACCTTTTGGCCTTTTGGTGTCATCTGGTAAAAAAAACAATTATCAACAGGGCAAGTCGTCCACGATTGTAGTTTATCAATAACTTTCAGTCGCTATGAACTGATAAAGCCAGCCTCCAGGTACATGCGTCTTCAGAATCTGAGACAAACTTAGGCACTTTTGTTTCGGATGTACGCACACTAAATTAATCAGGCTAAAAAATATTTAAAGGAATTTGCACCCCAAACGCCTAGTTATTTTCTTATGGACACGTGCTTGGGCTGTGTCATGAACTTCCAGCTTTGCAAACGATGGAAAACAACATAGTGAACGTGAAATGTGCTTTAGTGATGTGACCACATTACCCTTGTCTTAAAGTATTTGGGAGAGACATCGCTAGGCGGTACAGTCAAGTCGAGTGTGTCTCTCTGTTTATTCTTCTCAACAAAGAAACATCAGAACATGTGTGAGACAGACTGGGGCACATTGACTAGGTGTATGGCTACTAAAGAAAAGACCTGTTTCTGATAGCAACTTCCTCTGAGATTCGTAGGGTTCTGTTGTTAACTTTTTGTTCAGGATTTACTCCCAGGGTTCAATAAAATGGGTGTATGGGCTCTCTAGGTTGTGATTCTTCTGCTGTTTCCTTTTATGCAACTGAAACCTGTGCTGTCCCTGTGCTTTGCTGTTACTCAAGTTATATCCGCGCTGTCGTCTGCCTCCTGTTGCCTACCGCTGTCTTCGGCATTTTTTTCCTTGCTGTTGTCAACGTCACGTTCGCTGTTGATGTTCCTGGACGATTAACAATGGTGCTAATCTGCTTCATTGAAATGGTGGTGGTGGTGCTGATGTTGGTGACCATTACTGTGCTGGTGTTGGTGCTGATGGGGTTTACCAACAGTCATGATGTGAATGGGCTTGATTGTGATGGTGTAAATGCAATAACCTCGAATATTGTGGTGAATGATCGTGGTTTGGTGGTGTTGATAGAGACGATGGGAAAATGGTGTTGCAATTATATTTGTGGTTATGTTAATCTCCGTTCAGTTCAATGCTCGGGACACATGTGCAAACATACTTTTTACACCCATTTAACACGATGTTAAAAACACACGCACACTTTAATATGTGAATGGACGCACACATATACGCAAACACATTTACACACTGTTGATACATTCGCACTGTTGACAGTCGTATAAAGCAGTAGGCCTTGTACTGTCAATGATGTTCTCTAATGCGTGTGTTTTGTGTGTGTGCGCGTGTGTGTCAAACGTTTCCCCACCACCGGTCTTGCCTGGCTTGTTACTGTTGTTTTTTTGACTGCTCTTGTGGTATTGTTGTTTAAACGTTGTTTTTGTTGCTTTGCTTTAATTTTGTCTTGTTTGGTTAATTGTTGCTGGCAAAATTGTCACTTTTCAATTATTTCAATTGTTTGCTCATTGAATGTCAATCGTCTCTTATTACTGTATGCGCTGTGTGGTTGACTGCCGTTCATTCTTTAATTTCTCTGTTCCACTATCAATCCTTCTTGCGTTGGTTTGGTTTGTATTTGGCTGTCATTGCTTATCTTGCTTGCCCTGTGTTTCACTGTCGCTCGTTACCTTGCTTGCCCTGTGTTTCACTGTCGCTCGTTACCTTGCTGCCCTGTGTTTCGCTATCGCCTGTTACTTTGCTACCCGGTTTCACTGTCGCCCGTTACCTTGCTGCCCTGTGTTGGGCTGTTATTCGTTCCCTCGTTTTTACCACCGCCGTTGGTGCGACAGCTGTCGATGCTGTTCACGGAGGAGTGCGAGCGCGTTCGCGATCTGATGCACGTGCACTCGTTCAGCCATGACTTCCACCTGCGCGTCGCTCACCACTACCTGCTCGGCCGCCAGCTCACTTTCCCGCGCGCGTACGCCCTGGGAGCTTTCCTGCACCGGTTCGCACGCGCCCATCGCAGCGCCCCCAAGTACGGGCGGAACCACCTGCTCACAGGTGAGGGCGGCAACCAGGAAGACGGGAGGCACCTGGTGAGAAAAGGGAGAGGCAAGGAGAGATAGGCGGGGTGACGTGTGGGGGAAACACTGGGGCACACACTAGGGGAGAGTTACGGGTTGGTATGGGTGAGAGGGGGTCATGGTGAGGTAAAGGGTAGAGGGAAGGTGAAGAGAGCGATATGGAGAAAGAGCAAACACGTGAAAAGGCTGGGGGGTGGTTACAGAGAGGCATTGAGAGGCACAGACAAAACACGGGAAGGCGCATAGAAGCATATGGAGGGCATGTGATGGCAAGGCAGACATGGGGATTGACACAGGGATTGACGAAGATGGTGATAATTATTCTGTTTATCCTGTGATAAATCCAACTCCACTCTTGCCGCCACTGCTCATATTGATTCAGCTGCTGCTGATGATGATTACGATACTACTATATTCACTGCCTCATACCTCATGACCCCCATGTCCCCCTCCACCCCTCATTTCCTGCATGCAGGTGAGCTGGAGCTTAGCGTGGGGGGCACGCCCGCCCCCCAGCTGTACGCCTACATGGTGGAGCATGCTCACACCTACGGCTTGAAGCCACTCACCATGGAGAGCGGCCCTGGGCCTTGTTCCCCGGGAGGCCTGGCCCTCGAGTTCGCCCTCGTCGCTCTCTCCACCAGGTGCTGGGGACAGGAGGAGGAGGAGGAAGGGAGGTGGTGGTGGCCCAGTTGTCTGGTGCCTGGTCTCAGTGCTGAGTGTGTGTGTGGATATATAAAGAGAGCGGTGTTCTTCATTGCAAGGCCCGCGGGCCACTGGCGGGCCCCTGGTGGCCTTTTAGGGCGGTCCCTGACGTGCGGCACCCCGACAATACACATGTTTAAATGGCTTCATCATAATGCTGTCAAACCAAATGGTTTCAAATGTGTAGAGGCCCTCACACTGATGAAGACGTGTTGGTGAAAGTGGCCCCTCTCTGAAAATTAGTGAAGAACACTGATATAGAGTGAGGCTGTGGTGGTATGAGTGGTCGGGATGTGCATAATCAGAATATGTATGTATAATGGAAAAATCCTATGAGCTATGAAGCTCTTTTTCACAGATGATCAGTCGGGGCAGCACAGAAAGTGACAACAACAATCAATGCAATAACACAAGAGTAGGGCAAAGTATCGGAAAGGTAAGCAAATCACGAAATAAAAAAATAGATTAAGTATATGAATTCAAATTGTATAAGTACATCAATTTCCAAACTTGGGCAAGGCAGCAAAACAACAGCAAAAAAAGTCCCAGACCACACCAAGACAAAAACAGTCCATCACGATAGATTGCACATGAAAACCGAACAGTCGACTGCATTCTGCTGGTTGAGAGACTGGATGCCTGCCCGGGAGTCAAGAGCGTTCAAGGAGGAATTTCTTCACTGAAGAAATGTCAATGTCGAAATAAACGACAAGAAATGAAAGGACCCCACTTGTCCGGTCTTTCAGCCGGGGTGTGACAGTGCATGATGCCTGCAATCCATTATATTTAAAAACCCGAAACCCATTTTGGTGTCATGTGACGAAATGACAGCACAACAAGTGGGTTGTGAACCCATTTGTTGCGGTCTCTTTGAGCTTAATCCTTTGCGTTTTCTCCATCTCCAATTTCCTCCTAAAGCAAAAATCATCAGTCTCTGCAGCGTGATGAAGGGGGGAGTTGCCCATGACTGATTCAGATATCACCATTGATATTCGCCTTGGCACCCCTACACCCTGATTAGCACGGTTGGCTGCATACAGTGCTAAAGAAGTTCAACATACATTTACAGTGTTTATTGTGTTTCTTTGTCTTTGTACCATCATATGTGTTTCCATGTTTATATGCCATGTGATCAGGTCGGGCTCCTATAAGGATGCTGATGGCGTTCGTCATTTTGATGACTTTGATGTCTCGCTGATCGTGAGGCATGACACCTCGAACCTGTACACTCAATATGAGCAGGAGCAGCAGCAGCAGCCTGAGCCACAGCAGCAGCAGCATTCCGATCTGAAGTATTGAATGGGCAGATGCACTCAACTCACCAGTTCACTCAACCATCTGCTCATTCGCTCAACCACTCGCTCGCCTACTCACCCGCACACTGTCAGTTACCATGTCATTCACTCAACCACTGACTCGCCTACTCACCTGCACACTGTCAGTTACCACGTCACTCACTCAACCACTGACTCATTCACTCAACCACTCGCTCGCCTACTCACCCGCACACTGTCAGTTACCACGTCACTCACTCAACCACTGACTCATTCACTCAACCACTCGCTCGTCTACTCACCCGCACACTGTCAGTTACCACGTCACTCACTCAACCACTGACTCATTCACTCAACCACTCGCTCACCTACTCACCCGCACACTGTCAGTTACCACGTCACTCACTCAACCACTGACTCATTCACTCAATCATTCCCTCGCCTACTCACCAGCACACTCTCGGTTACTTTTTCCTGAAACTTTGCCATGTTTATATTTTTCATTTCAAGGCCACAATGTTAAAGATGAATGTGTTGGAGTTTTGTTGTTAACTCTGCTTGTGCGCACCACTGCCAACACGCAGCAGAAGCAACATCACCAAATGTGTTTTAATGACTCAACCACTCATTTCTACTCATTCACTCTCCCACTATAACACCCCCCCCCCCCCCCGGGCCTGCTGCTGTCTCAGGCTGCTCTACTGCCTGGTCATGACGAGCTGCCGCGAGTTGTTCCCGCGCCTCACGGCCGACATGAGTCGTTTCCGCAAGCTCCCCCGCTCCTACCGCCCTGAGCAGCAGCAGCAGCTGAAGGACCAGCAGCAACAAAAACTCGATGGACAGCAGCAGCATGCGAAAATGAAACAATTGCAACAGCTGCAGCAGGAACAGCAGGAGCAACAAGTGCCTCAACAGTTGACACAACAACAGCTGCATGACGATGATGATGACGATGATCGTCAGCAGCAGCAGCAGGAGAACATGAAGGAGCAACAGCAGCAGAGGTCAGAGGCGTGCCCCCTTCTGCTACAGCAGCTGTTGAGGCGCACGGATGGAGCAGCAGAGGTGACAGCAGGGCCCCGCGAGCAGCACGCGCAGAGGAACAGCAGGGAACTGCCAGTGAGTGTAATGGGGAGCAGTGACATTTTGGTTCGCCCACTGTGCTATGCAATTAGGGTTCGCAAACAGCATTTGTTACCGTCGTTAATGAGGCTAAATGGGGTATTGTGTGTGTGTGTGTACACCACCGTCATAGTCGCCAATGTCAACATCAACAGCATGGTCACCTTCACCACTACCACCACCTCCGTCACCATCAACAAAACTACCACGGCCAGCAACACCATTCAAAGTCTGTTTCCCTCCCCTCCCCTCCCACGTGCTGTGCAGTTGCCACTGCCCTCCTCCACATCCCCATCCTCTTCCTCCACCTCGTCTTCCCCGCCGCACCTCCCGCTCTTCCCACTCCTCGCCAGCGAGAAGGAGTCGGCGCTCGCGCGCATCCGCTCGGTGGTCGCCCTCGCACGCTCCCAGTGCCGCCGGGACTCGCTGTGGCAGAGGCTGCTTCTGGCGGCCGATTCCACTTCGGAAACCCACGCGGCCCCGGCACCGATGGCATCTCCCTCGGCAGCAACGTTGACATCGGCGTCTTCGTCGCTGGCCAAGTGAGAACGCCGTGGCTGGGGTGGGGGGTGGAGGCGTGGGTTTGGAGGTTGTAGTTTTGCTGCTGCGATGGCGGGATGTTAACTACCTCACCTGGTATGCAGGAGGTTGTGGGCTCGATACCCACCCTGACGGTTGCTGTATATTTGGAGTATGCATTCTCTCCCTGTGATCGTGTGGTAATTTTTCTGGGTCTTATATTTTCTTTCCTCCACGTTTAGAAACGTGTATTTAGATTATTTGGCTGATATCAATTTCCACATGATAAGCCAGGTTGCTTCTGAAAAAGAGATAGCTCAGTATGTTTTAACTGGTAAAAGAAAAATAATTTAGTTCATAGTTTGAATAAGACAGGGCTTGACTGAACTATTTTACTGCTTCCTTAGACCACGGACTTTTTAAATGCCTCGAGCACACGCAAAGGCCATAGAGGCAACTGCTGTTTGCGAGCCCTGGTTAACGCCAACGTGACGCATCAGTAGGTAGTGTGAGCCAGTGTCATTCGCAGCTACATTTTACTCCCCAGTGCTGATGTTCACACACTGCGCTAGATACTCAATTTAACATAGGGAAGGCCCACGTCAGGTTCAGGAAGCACTTTCCACTTGTTATCAGAGGCCTGAAATTTATCCCAGGTCCCTGGAGTCGGTGCCATGCATGAACCATTCCACGTACCCACACACACAGATAATCACATACACACACAAGTACATACAAAGACAATGATCCTCCATATAGCATTTAACAGGTTGTTGGAGCAAATGCGGTTTGCGAGTACCTAATTAAGGCTAAGAGTGCACGACGGAGTGGGTAACCCATACCACACCCGGCCGCCTTTGTCTGCTCAATACTGATGTTTATACACCACGCCAGGTACTCCCATAAGGCTCAGTTGACCTCGGGGATGCCCAAGACCAGTTCAGATATTTGTCACCAGTGTTGTCCGTGATCGGAATTAACCTCGAGTCGCCGGGTTCGTAATGCAGTGTGTTGACCGCTACACTACCACTTCCCATATACAGACACATAAACACATAGTTACATGAAAACTCGCACAAATACGCACGCGATCATACATACACACTCATGGAAGGAGAGGAGACGGAGTGTTCTATGTTCCATAACACAAGTACCCTGGTAGTTTTGTAGCCTTTTGTCGTCGAACATTCTAACCATATCAAAAATATTAAATAGTCTAGGAGGCAGGGGGGGGGTGCCTCTGTCACAATCTGAGCTCCATGGGGAAAGGCTCTAGCTCCTGTCATGTCGCGTTACCCAGGCTTGCCTACCATCGTGTAAGTCTCTAATGATCATGAGCAGGGGGTCAGAGACCCTGGAGGCATAGAATGACCTAACGCCTGGCCTCCTGATGGTACAGCAGGCCTTGACCAATGAGGTAAAGATGCAGGTCCTAACATAATTTATATTAAAAAAATATATATACACACAGACTGACCTCTTGCCCCGTGTGTGTGTTTGTGTGTGGCAGCAGTGGGGGTGGAGCGCTGGGTGGAGCGGGGGATGGTGGGGGAGCCGGGAGCGGGAGTGGCGGTGGGGGGTCGGCGGCGGCGGCGGTGGGGGGGGGAGACCTCTCGCTGCCGCTGAGAGCCCTGGCCCCTCTGAGCCAGGCAGAGCTCAGGGAGCTCGTGGAGGCCGTGAGCTGCAGGCCGCTCAAGCAGCTCGACACACGACTCGTACGCACAGTGACACGCTCGGTGGCACACGCGCACACAGCGACTCGCTCGGCCGTGACAAGCTCACTGACGCACTCGGTGGCACACAGTGACACGCTCATTGACACACTCAATAATATCCATCCATACTCAGTGACGCAGTCGGTGGTGACATGCTCAGTGATACCATCGGTGGCGCATACAGTGGAACAGTGACACAATCAACGGCACTTAATAAAATAAACTGGCACACTTGGTGACGGTTATTGCTCGTTGGTAACATTCTTCTCGGTGACACAATCATTGATATACGGTAACAGTCAGTGACTGTGTGGGTCATTAACACTCGGTTGACACGTTCACCGTGATAGTAACACATCAACCCTGATAGTGACACACTACCCCTGATAGTGACGTGTTAACACTTTGACCCTGACCTTGCACCATTGTTTACGTGTGTTTTGTCCCAGGAGTTCTTTGAGACCCTGGCTCCATCCTGGTACCAGGGTCTCATCCGCTTGCTCCAGGGCAGGTTCTCTCACAGCTGTCGCCTCTTCAACAATGCTGACGGCAGCGTTCAGTACCTGGTACATCCCCCAGATACACACACACATGCAAAAAAGACAAAGATCCCCGTATAGCCTTTAACAGACTGTTGGGTCAAGTGCTGTTAGCAAGCACCTATGAAGGCCAACGTGGCACACAAAAGGGGGTGATCAGCCAGCACCACGCCCGGCCACTTTTGTCTCCCCAGTGGCGATGTTTACACATCACACCAGGTACTCGTTTAAGGCTGAGTCGACAGAAGGGAGGCCCAGGACCGGTTCAGATAATCATCACCGTTTGTGGTGGCTTTGAGCGAGAATCATACTCAAGTCGCCGGATTCATAGTGCAGCACGCTAACCACAATTACTACCGTATCCACACATGCACACAGTCACACGGCACAAATACTCCCCCTACAAATACACATACGCTTCTACACACCTCCATACATATATTTATGCAATCGTATACTTAAATACTTACCGACCTAGCTAGAATCTGACCTTCACACACACGCACCTACCCACAGGAATGATAAAAGTAAATATAATTAAGGGACTGCATATGACAACGGTGTACAAGGGCAAGTCAACAAAATCTCTCCACGTTCCTGATTTTGGCCGCCTGATAACAGGACATTCCATATTAAAATATAAATAAAATATATCATGCTAACATTCGCTCTGTCCCCTACTCCGATAAAGTGACATTAGCCAAACATTTAGTTGTATTTTTTTCTGTTATAAGACGGTGCTCATGATAAAGATGATACGAAAAAACATTTTTAACCTGCTTTTCCACCACCCACCGGCATATATATCCACACACCCATCCTAAATCCGTACCATCTACCCCTTCTCACAACATAGCTGCCCCCATTCATGCCTGGTCTCTTGGAGTCAAATCTCAATCAACTCTGATCCTGAAACTCGGTCTCCTGGATCCGAGTCTCAATCAAGACTTGGAGTGGTGACATGTGGCATGGCCTAGCAGTTTGACGTGGTGACATGGCCTAACCGTAGCGCATTCACTGCTTTTGCAGAGGGGCGTGGGTCAAACGCTGCATCGCGCGCTTTCAGATGCGCTTCTGCGGTCGTCTGGAATGCTCTTCTTTCCGATATTAAGAAGCCACTGGGAGCTATCATCTAGATTGAAACATTTCTTTAAGTATATTCTTAGCTCTTTCGGTAAAGTCACGTTGAAGGGAAACAATAAAATAATAAAATATATATTAAACAATAAAAAAATTCTCACGACGTTTCGACCATAACACAAACGGTCGTCATCAGGTGTGTCGGTTTGCATAAATTTATTTATTTTTAAACGGTTTATTTATTTATAAAAACCGTCAGCGCCACGCGCAGCGATTTGTCAGTTTATTTAGAAGGACGAGTCCATCTATGTTCTGAAAAGAGGAGGGGGGAGACGAAAAATTAATGTATGCTGTCTGAAAGCCACTGTAAGCGTGAACAATCAATTAAGACCTGAAATGGTTTATCAAATCTTTCCAATGATTGCTAAGCAAGAATCCATCTTCTCGGTTGAAATTGTCTCTGTGCTTGTATATGTGGATAGCCTCATGAACGAATCTCTCATGGTAGCCAGATGGCTTACAAAGAACCTCTGTCTTGGAAAAGTCAATGTCATGTGAGCCTACTGAATTATAACAATGATCTGCCACGGCCGAGGTGTTGGTCCTACCGTGTTTAAGGTCTGCTTTGTGTTCACGAATGCGGTCCGAGACATGGCGTTTGGTTTCTCCAATGTAACTACTACCACAGAGGCAACTTAGTTTGTAGACACCAGGGTACTTTTTGTTTAGTATGTCCTTCAACTGCACCTCCGATTAGCACAGTTGCCTATGTACGGTTCGAAATAAATTCTACATACATACTGTATATATGATGCTAATCCTGGTCTCCTATCCTGTATTTCAGGCGGTATTGAATCAGAAGTTCCCCGACTGCTGTCTGCTCGTTCATGTTGATCTTCACAACAACCACACAGTGAGTCAAGTTCGTATGTATATACAGTACGTGTCTGTCTGCATGTGCATAATACATGTAGGTGTGTTAGTTTACATGTCGGTGGTTAATCATAATTATAATGGTAATCATTATCCTTGCCAGGTCTGTAAAATAAGCACCGTTTTGTGGGAAACAAGCATTTTGTTGTCCCGTGCAGGGACTGGCTGCCACTCTTATCATTCATCTTAATTTGTGTGGTCCGCTGCTGGATCATTCATTCGTCACCATTTTGTAAGCACCACTTGGACGAAGGCCTCCCCAAACCGTCACCATTCCTCCCGATCATGCAATGCAGCATTCCATTTTTTTAGCTGCTGCGCACGAGAGCCGTATGTATGCACTTTGCACTTCTTTCGCACCGTACGTAGCCAATCGTGCTAATCGGTGCTGATCTCATCATTCGTCTCCACGGTGGACGTTCTGCCAGGCGTCTTCTCTCCTTTCGCTGCGATTCTGTCATTGGTTTCAGCATCCAACCATGAACTCTTTTTTTAGCACCATGTCCTGCCTTAAACCCATTTTGCTGTGAAGCCAGAATGATGTCTCTAACTTTCTTTTCTTCTCTCATCCTCCTGTCTCTGTCCAAATCCAAGCAATGCACCTCTCCATATTTATTTTTGCACTTTTCTGCTTTTGCTCCATCTTCTATGTCAGCGTGCATTATTCTGACCAATATTTCACGGCAGGGTAATATACACAGATTAAAAATATTCTTCTGTAGGCGCATCGGTATGTTGCTTCTCATTGTCAGGTTTAGTTGTCCAAAATCGCTCCCAAAATGCTCTCACTCGCCACTTTATTTAATTATTTCCGCCCTACACAATTGCCCTCGGTATGTATACACTCTGATGTCTTTTCCAATCGTGTCTCTCCAATAGATATCTCAATTCGTTAACCGAGCTCGTTGTTTATGACTTGTTTTGCTCATCCATCCCATGAGTCCACCTTCGTGGTCTACTTTATTAAGTTATTTGATCATTTGCTCTAATTATTTTCCATTGGTTGTTTTATTTGGTAGTAAATACAATTACTTCAATGGCACCCACTGTAGGAACGTGAAATTTCCGTTGCTTGCTCAGAGCCACAGAAAAAGATGAGTAATACTGTGTTGCTCATTTCGGTGGCGAGACATTTTGACTTTGGCGAGTATACATTTGAACAAACATTTATTTGTGAGAATATGTAAAGATTTTTTTTATGTCATACAGTTGTGTTTATGTGTGTGGGGAGTGGTAGTGGAGCGGTTAACACACTGCACTTCAAATGTGGTGACTTAAGATTCATTCTCACTCGCAACCAACACCAGTAACGATTATCTGAACTGGTCCTTGGCCTCCCCTAAGTCGACTCAGCCTCAAATGGGTACCTGGTGTGGTGTATAAATATCGCCACTAGGGAAACGAAGGCAACCAGGCGTGGTTAATGCCACCCACCATTTCATGTGCCTTCTGTATACCAGACAAGGTAGTTAACATCTCACCAACACGGCACCCTGCCGGCCATCATAGGTGCTCCCTAAGATTACTTACTCCAAAAGTCAGTTAAGAATATGTGGGGGATGTTTGTCTCTGTGTTAAGGTACTAGAGGGCTTTGATTCGGTAGTAATATGCATAATAATGGCGATGGTGAGATGGAAGTTGAGATTATATTTACATTATCAGGGAACATTTTCGATTGATTGCATAAACCACCTTAAATGAATAGAGAGGTAAACTTTATACTCTTTGGTTCTTTCGGTAAAGTCACGTAGTTAGAAATAAAATAATAGTTATTTCGGTCACTACGTGACTTTACCGAAAGAATCAGCGTATGGATTTCTGCAGTCACGGAATCTTCAAGTAAAAGTAAAGGTAAACTTTAGTTTCAGGAAATGTCTGTTAAGGTGGGAATAACGTCTATTTTTAAGTCCAGCTCTTTGACTAGTGAAATAATACAAACTCGAAGAGTTCTTGTCCATTGAATACAGGAGTGTGCGGACGATACTCTGAATTTTAATGGCAGGATGGGGTTAAGCAACTTCGAAGTTGGGAATGGAATGTAACAAGAATATATTGTAGATGTAATCAAGAAGAGGAGTTTCTGAGGGGTAGGTCAGGTGTTCATTGAAAAGGAGGGCAGGATATCGAGACGGACATTGGAGTGGCACCTGCCAGGTTGGTGACCAAGGTTAAGACCTTGAAGGTAAATGATAACAATAGGAATAGCTAAAGCCGCCACCAGGTTGTGTTGATGAGACTAAGAACAGACCTAATGTCAGTTGTTGACTCTGCAGCACTTGAGGGGTTTGAATGTGAATGTGTCTTTGTATAAATTATCACAAGTAAATGCCCGTGTGTGTTTGAATCGGCCTAAAAAATTTGTACCTGGTGTGGTGTGTAAACATCGCCACCGGGGAGACAAAGGCAGCCGGGCATGGTGTTGGCCACCCATCCCCTCGTGTATCGTGCTGGGCTTCATAGGTGCTCGCTAACAGCATTTGCCCCAACAGTCTGTTAAAGGCTATACGGGGGATCTTTGTCTTTGTATGTGTTCGCATTTCACAGTAAATCATCAGTGCCACTGTTTCCTCGAAGCATTCGATATTGTTTATTTATTTTACAAAATAAATACAGATTAGACCAGTCAAACAAGGAGTGCTGCAGGCATTTTATTAAAGTGAGGAAGGGTGGGAGGTGGGGAAAAGAGAGAAAGATTGAGATGGCTCAACATCCTTTATTTAACCATCGCATGTGATCGTCTTTGCCGTTGGCAATTTAATCGGGCAGGGGTGTCTCGCAAGTTCAAGTTCACATCCCATTTCGGAGTATACTTAGTCTGTGAAATTCGATGATCAACAACATAATCATGATCGTCATGTCCGTGGGTGGGGTAGACAAAATGTGAGGGACCGCTTTGTTGGAAGTCAACAGTGGTTTTTGCCCTGTTGATAAGCTTCGCAGGGCCTCGTCATAGTAATATGACATTTCCACGACCAGCTCTCAGGCCCACCAATAGAGGTGAGCACCCCTTCGTGTAATGATGCATCTGCGCAGGCAGACAAACACACGTGTATGTTTTGCAGTGTCTATTAGAGCTGTGCGAGTCACGATTCTTAGCCTGGAATCGCGTTCCAATTCTTGGAAACCAAATTGGATCCTTGACGGGGATCTGTGGAATAGTGGACTGCTATGGGCTCTGCGGACCCTGGCGTGGCGTTCAGTTGGGCCTGACCAGCCTCGTGGAATCGACAGTGAAACGTATTACATTTCATACGATTCAGTGGCAATCCGGGTCTATACTGCACAGCTGGAGAATGTAGCTTCATTCATTTAACACATTGGCTTTCGCAACCAATATTATTCATTATGAATATAAATGTGGCATTATTAACCCACCACCCGACAGCCAAATCGTAAGGTTTGTTACATAAACAAAAGTTGCCAATTAGTTACTACTTCAGAACACCGGTATGTTGAAGAGTAAACGCCCAACATTTACAATTTGAGTACAACGTTTTGCTGGTCATTACAACCAACTTCCATTAGGCGATTTTGTCAGAATTGTGATGAAGTCTTCTTCCGGTCTTAATTAAGCTTTGGCTTTGCGACATTCATAGTAGAATCGCAACATAATCCCATTCTATTGCATGACTATTCAATGACGATGTAAGTCAAATGAGTGGACATTTTCACATGGGAATCGCCCATTGAAACGTTACTGGAGGAACCATTTTTCTTCAGAGTGGAATTGTAGGGGTCAAATAAGATTTATGTAGAAACCGCACAGCTGTCGTATACAGAGAGAGAGAAGGGGGGGAAGGGATAGAAGGATAGAGGGTTGGTTGCTGTCATCTTAATTAATTGAGCTTCATCATTCCCACACCCTCCACTCGCCCCCTCCCCACCCACCCCTCCACCCTTAACAAGCAGTAATCATCGACCCAGATGCCATGAAATGTTGCCGCACAGTCCGTATTGATCAGGCTGTCTCATCTGAAAATGTAGCAACCAGGACTGGAACCTTCATCCTTTGCCTGCGTTGGCATCGTTCCGGAGCACGAGTAGCGACAAACGCGAACAAAATCTCTTGAGAAGGAACTGTCCCAGAAATCAATGCCACAGGCTCATTTCAGTAAGATTTTATTGTAATAGGTGTTTCTTCTTCAATCAGTATGTATAAGCCCAGCAATAGGCACCGCTCCGTGATGCTTTGTGAAGAGCGGTGTTGCCGTGTGCCGGTAATCCGATGAAGTGCAAATTAAGTTGAACCCTCAGAGGTGGGCTCGGCCAAATGGAGTGATAAACAGAGTTACAATGTTGTTGGGTTTTGTTTGTTCTGTGCAGCCACTTGGGCGGCTTATTCTTGGATTCAAACACTAAACCTCAGCATAGCCAGCTTAGTGACTACGACATGCCATTATGAACCTCCTGAGAGAGGGACCCAGACTTAATACTAAAACCGAGCACCTCATTAATGCTGGCTCTGTGTCTTCCACCATTTATTCCCCATTCATCATTGAAGCATTAATTAAAATACCCGTGTTTCCATGTGTCTTCCCTATGCCTGCACTGTCTAAATGTACACCTGTGTTTATGTCTGTTGTATCTGTTTCTCAGTGTGTGGCTCTGTGCCTGTATCTGTGTCTAGCGTTTTGGCATTGAACCGGACCTGGATCTTGTGTTTGTTTAGAATTTTGGAAATCTTTTTAGTAACGCCTGCTATATATGGTAGTGTGATGGTTTTGACCAGAGTATCAAGTGGTTGTTTCTGTATGGAGGGAGAAACAGCTTGGCGGATGGTACGGTCAGAGTATCCATTCCTTTTGAGGGCCAGTTGTACATGTTTTAATTCACTGGTCAGGTGGTGGTGGTCCGAAATGCAATGAGCCCTATGGCATAAAGTTTTGATGAGATAATTCTTTTCTTGGATGTTCTGTTTGAGAGGAGACCTGATGGCTCATTGGGGCATTCTGTCTACAGGAAACCCACCCACACAGATTCCTACTTGAAGCCTGATTCCCACCACCACCCAGCCCAAAATAATTATCTGACCGTACCATCCGCCAAGCTGTTTCTCCCTCCATACAGAAACAACCACTTGATACTCCGGTCAAAACCATCACACTACCATATTTAGCAGGCGTTACTAAAAAGATTTCCAAAATTCTAAACAAACACAAGATCCACGTCCGGTTAAATACAGTACATAAAATTCGTGATCTGATCCCATCCGTGAAGGATGTCATTCCTGACTTACAGTACCCCGGGGTTTACAAATTGAGTTGTACCTGCGGTGATTGCTATTTCGGGGAGACGAAGCGACATGTCTCTGACCGAATTCGTGAGCACAAATCAGATTTGAAACACGGCAGAACAAATTCTTCTGCCGTGACTGATCACTGTTACAACGCTGTGGGTGATCACGATATAATTTTCTCCGATACCAAGGTTCTTTGCAAACCCACAGGTTTTTATCAGAGAATTGCTCACGAGGCAATTCAGATATACAAACACAGACACAATTTCAACCGAGAAGATGGTTTCAAATTAAGCAACCATTGGAAAGATGTTCTAAATCGAACCAAACATTAAACTAATTTTCATTGGTACAGTATATTTTTTCAAGTAGTGGTACCCCAAACTTTCGCAGCACAGGTCGGGTGCACTGCCGGTGCCGATCACTGTGCTACACCTTTCATCATGATAAGTCCGCCAATCAAATGCTAATTTTTACGCTAATTCCTTTGTCAAGGCACCTTAATCCCTCTCACACAGCTTAAAGGTGCACTGCCGTGTGCTACACCTTTCATCATGCTAAGTCCGCCAGTCAAATGCAATTTTTTACGCTAATTCCTTTGTTAAGGCACCTTAATCCCTCTCACACAGCTTAAAGGTGCACTGCCGCGTGCTACACCTTTCATCATGCTAAGTCCGCCAATCAAATGCTAATTTTTTATGCCAATTCCTTTGTCGAGGCACCTTAATCCCTCTCAGGTTAAAGGTCGTAGTCTGAGCTTGGCTCTGTTTCACTCCAGCGCAGTCTTCGAGACAGGCTGGTCCCTTCACCTGATGAAGGCCGCTTGTGTTGTGGCCGAAACGTCGTGATTTTTGTTTTATTTTTTTACCTACGTGACTTTACCGAATAGAACCAAAGAGTATGTGTGTGTCTATGTTTATCTCTGAGTGTCACCATCCGTGTGTGTGTGTCTATGTTTATCACTGAGTGTCACCATCTGTAGGTGTGTGCTGCACTCCTCACTCTGTCTGTGTGTGCCTTGTGTGTTCTCCCCAGAGCATGCAGGCTGTGTTCAGGGAGTGGCCTCAGCAGCAACAAGGCCTTGTGCCCTCGGCAGCAGCAGCAGAGTGTGGGTCCGTGCTGACTCAGCACCTCTACCCACACCTGGAGGCCCTCGTGAACGCAGCGTGTTTCTACCTGTGGACCGGGCTACTCTGATTGACCGGTCAGCAGTGAACTGTGGGACGGCCACCCCGCTTTTCTCCAATGCATATTGTATTCACACACGCCGATACATGCGCAGACAGCCCGTGTACGCACACGTGTACATACATACACGCGTGTTTAAATGCACATACTTGTTTACGTGCTTGTTCTGTACATACACAAATACATACGCACGTATAGAGGCACGCAAAAACAATATCCTCGTATAGTCTTTTAACAGACTTTTTGGGGTAAGTGCTGTTCGTGAGTGCTGTTCGTGAGTGCTGTTCGTGAGTGCCAGTACAGCGCACGAAGAGGTGGCGTGGCCAACACCACATTGGGCCACCTTCGTGTCCCCAGTGCTGATGTTTACACACCGTGCGAGGCACTCATTTAAAGCAAAGTCGACTTCGGGGAGACCCAGGATGGGTTTGGATAGACACTACTGATGTATGTTAGCCGTGGCTGGGAATTGGAACTCAGGTCGCCGGGTTTGTGTAATACATACACGTAATTAAGCACACACATACACACTTAAACCTACAGACATACATACATGCAGTCGCACACCAATACACGCTACATGCCCAAATACACACAAACACGCAGACAGTTATGTATTTGGATGTGCAGTCCAGGTCTCTCATAAGAGAATATGAATCTCAATATCCAGATTAATGTGAAGCATCAGTGCTGTATTACATCAGTTTGAAGCCTTTTAAGGCAATAGAGACAATAGTTATGTCATAAATAAGCTGTTCATGCCATCCCAATAACAATATATTCAAACATAGCCTCTCTAAAAGTTAGTGTGATCGCCTATGGATGGGCATTGTGTATCGTCTTAATAAGTGCCATCGTTACTGAGATCCTGGGTTTGAGCCCTGCATCTGGGTTGATCCCGAGAAGTTCATAATGGCCGTGTTTGGACACACTCAGCCATTAATGCCGCTGAGAAGCTGGCTGCAGATCCTGGCTCTGATGTAAACATATATAGCCTCAACAGACTGTTGGGACAAGTGCTATTAGCGAGCCCCTATGAAGGCCGGCACGGCACACGAGAGGGTGGGGGGTGGGTGACCAGGACCGGTTCAGATAATCGTAACTGGTGTTGGCCGTGAGTGGGAATCGAACTCTGGTCCACTGGGTTCGTATCGCAGCTCTCGATATCTTCAACCCTGGTCACCAATGGCCGGACGCAGAAAAAAAACCTGATTATAAAATGTCACGTTGTACATTACTTCTGCCGAGCCCAGTTCTGAGGGCTCCCAGTTTTTAAACGCAGCGGCCATGAAGAACCACGTCGTGAGATTGCGCTCACGAGAACGATCAGGATACGATTCCACAAGGAAGTTGAGTTGAAAAAAATTATGTTATTACTTTGAATTCACTGCATTGAACATAATAAAAAGATTGTTTGCAATATATGCTCGTTCGCGTCTTTTGTGCATTTTGCTGACTTGCAAATTCGCAAGCATTAAGAGAGGCGGCACCCAGAGGTCGGCAAATGCTGGAAGACCCAACGCCAGAGGACAATGGCAATAAGGCTGTACCCGCGGTTTCTTGAAGGACTTGTCGACTGTGTAACAATGGCGAAATATCTCAAGTCAGATGGCGGCAAATGATGACACCGTTAAGACCGGTTGTACCTTGCGAAAACCCATACATACAAGGGGGACAACGCTCAAAGTTCTACACGGAACAGGTTCACATACCCACTTGTTATATCTCTACATCGTTGTCCCCGTTTGTTTCACAAATCCCCGTGCGATCCATCAACCCTTGCTCCCGAGCGCCAGGCTTACAGGCCTACCGTGTGCCACTGTGCCTCACTGTCAGTGGGGGGGGGGGGTTTGGGTGTCGAGGGGCTATTGCGGCATCGCTCAGAGGTGGGCTTGCAACCTCATCTGGCCCCAACGCACTCTGTGCATCGCCTTTAATGACACGTAAACTCAATCAATACGAGCTGCATGCAGGAAATAACATGGATAGAGAAATACGCATACGTGTACAAAGACACGTTTCCATACACCTCCACCTCAGCATGCCTAGAGATTTACACAGACATACAGTGAGGGGAAAAAACTATTTGATCCCCTGCTGATTTTGTACGTTTGCCCACTGACAAAGAAATGATCAGTCTATAATTTTAATGGTAGGTTTATTTGAACAGTGAGAGAATAACAACAAAAAATCCAGAAAAACGCATGTCAAAAATGTTATAAATTGATTTGCATTTTAATGAGGGAAATAAGTATTTTACCCCTCTGCAAAACATGACTTAGTACTTGATGGCAAAACCCTTGTTTGCAATCACAGAGGTCAGACGTTTCTTGTAGTTGGCCACCAGGTTTGCATACATCTCAGGTGGGATTTGTCCCACTCCTCTTTGCAGATCTTCTCCAAGTCATTAAGGTTTCGAGGCTGACGTTTGGCAACTCGAACTTTCAGCTCCCTCCACATATTTTCTATGGGATTAAGGTCTGGAGACTGGCTAGGCCACTCCAGGACCTTAATGTGCTTCTTCTTGAGCCACTCCTTTGTTGCCTTGGCCGTGTGTTTTGGGTCATTGTCATGCTGGAATACCCATCCACGACCCATTTTCAATGCCCTGGCTGAGGGAAGGAGGTTCTCACCCAAGATTTGACGGTACATGGCCCCGTCCATCGTCCCTTTGATGCGGTGAAGTTGTCCTGTCCATTTAGCAGAAAAACACCCCCAAAGCATGATGTTTCCACCTCCATGTTTGACGGTGGGGATGGTGTTCTTGGGGTCATAGGCAGCATTCCTCCTCCAAACACGGTGAGTTGAGTTGATGCCAAAGAGCTCCATTTTGGTCTCATCTGACCACAACACTTTCACCCAGTTGTCCTCTGAATCATTCAGATGTTCATTGTCAAACTTCAGACGGGCATGTATATGTGCTTTCTTGAGCAGGGGGACCTTGCGGGCGCTGCAGGATTTCAGTCCTTCACGGCGTAGTGTGTTACCAATTGTTTTCTTGGTGACTATGGTCCCAGCTGCCTTGAGATCATTGACAAGATCCTCCCGTGTAGTTCTGGGCTGATTCCTCACCGTTCTCATGATCATTGCAACTCCACAAGGTGAGATCTTGCATGGAGCCCCAGGCCGAGGGAGATTGACAGTTCTTTTGTGTTTATTCCATTTGCGAATAATCGCACCAACTGTTGTCACCTTCTCACCAAACTGCTTGGCAATGGTCTTGTAGCCCATTCCAGACTTGTATAGGTCTACAATCTTGTCCCTGACATCCTTAGAGAGCTCTGTGGTCTTGGCCATGGTGGACAGTTTGGAATCTGATTGATTGATTGCTTTTGTGGACAGGTGTCTTTTATACAGGTAATAAGCTGAGATTAGGAGCACTCCCTTTAAGAGTGTGCTCCTAATCTCAGCTCGTTACCTGTATAAAAGACACCTGGGAGCCAGAAATCTTTCTGATTGAGAGGAGGTCAAATACTTATTTCCCTCATTAAAATGCAAATCAATTTATAACATTTTTGACGTTTTTCTGGATTTTTTGTTGTTGTTATTCTCTCACTGTTCAAATAAACCTACCATTAAAATTATAGACTGATCATTTCTTTGTCAGTGGGCAAACGTACAAAATCAGCATGGGATCAAATACTTTTTTCTCTCACTGTACACTTATACATCAGACAAAAACACATCCCCCCCAAATCCGTCAACAGGCTGTTAGAGCAAGCGCTTTTAGCGAGCACCTATGAAGGCCAGCATGAGACACGGGGGGTCCGATGCCAACACCGTGCTGGACCGCCTTTGTCTCCCCAGTGCTGACATTTAACACCACACCAGGTACTCATGTAAGACTATAACCCCCTCCACCCGACAGCCATTCAAGTTGTCAGTTGGGCAAATGCGCCAATTGATTTGTTTTTTCAGGGAACCGGGAATGTTGAAAAGCAAGCAATTTTTTTTTTTTAAATTGATCCCAGGTGGCCAATAGACTGATGGACATAAATGTTATTTTAATTGGTGAAACGGCTGCGTGTCTTATTTTTTAAACCCATCAATGAAAGTGCCGTTTGCTGGGCTCAGCCCGAATTAATGCTACGAGATTTGCATTCACATTGGTTTCACCCTTGTTGGGGACCATCATTGGTAGGCAAAATGCCAAGCCCAACACCAGCACGAGCCATGCCTTCGGCTGTTTGTGAGAATGACTGCCTTCCCAGGAACATAATGGAATTCCCTATTAATAATAAAAAAGGGACTGGCTCGCATAAAGCCTCATTAAACTCGAGAACAGATAACAGCCTGCACCAGTGTCAAGTGTTCGAGTGGGTGAATAGGTGAGTGAAATGGGTGAGAAGAGTAGGTGAGTGGATGGGTGAGAAGCATAGGTGAGTGTGGGTCATTTAGTGACGGGAGTGCGAGTCGGTGTGTGCGGTGGGTGGGTGGGCAATGAAAGTAGGTCAGGAAGTAGGTCAGTAGTTTTGTAAGTGGGTGGGTTATTGAGGGATGGTGGTTTGGTGAGTGAAATATGAGGTGTGTCGTGACTGGTGAGTGGCGTTTGCGAGTTTGAGTGAATTGGGTTCGTGTTTACGTGTACGGTAGAATGCGTGCACTTGCGCGTCCCGACGATGTATGGGAGCGACGGTGCAATGGTTCCATCACTTCTTATGCACGTGTGTGTATGTGACTGTGTGTATGTGACTGTGTGTGTATGTGACTGTGTGTGTGTGTGTATATGTGACTGTGTGTGTATATATGGGTATCTGTGTGTATATATGTGACTGTGTGTGTATGTAGGGGAAAAAACGGTGAACCAATCTCCGACCCCCAGGAACAGGTTTGCAGATTTGCTGAGCATTTCTATGAGGTCCTGGGAGAGGGAAAATCCCTAAGCCAGGAAAACATCGTGGCACAAAGTGGGGTGCCTCAAATATTGAAAGAAGTCACCCCCTGTGAGTGGCTGGCTGAGGTGCCATCTGTTGAGGAAGTACTGAGGGCAATCCGGAGTCTGAGACCAGGAAAGGCAGCGGGCAGAGATGATCTCCCAAGCCAAATGCTAAGGGAGGGTGGCGTTTGTGCACAGACTGCCCTATATGACATAACAACAGTCTGGACCACTGGACGGGTTCCGCAGGATTGTAAGGATGCCCTGGTGATCCCCCTCTTAAAGAAGGGGGACCGCACAGATTGTAACAACTACAGGGGCATCTCACTCCTCAGTGTGCCGGGAAAGGTCCTGGCAAGGCTTATTCAACATCGCCTTGCCAGGCAGGCTGAGGAGAGGCTTGCGGAGCCCCAATGCGGTTTCAGGAAAGGGCGGTCCTGCACAGCTGCCCAATTTTCTGTCCGTCTGCTACAGCAGAGGTGTAGGGAATTCCAACAAGACCTACATCTCTGCTTTATTGACCTGGTCAAGGCCTATGATACCATCAGTAGGCCTGGGCTCTGGGTTCTTCGTGCTTATGGAGTCCCTGACCCTCTGCTCAAGATCATTAAGGACCTTCATGATGGTGAGCGGGCCCGGATAAAACTACGTGGCCGGGAGTCAGAGCCATTCCCTGTACACTTTGGGGTGCGACAGGGATGTCCTCTGGCACCCACATTATTTAATATCTATTTTGACCACGTAGTTCGTGAAGCCTTCAATAGCTGTACCGGGGTAATCTCCATATGGTACAGATATAATGGGAGGCTTATCGATGCCCGGGTGCGGTTAAGGGATGGCTCCCTATTGCTCAACCACGTTATGTATGCCGATGATTTGGTAATAGCTGCTCATTCAGAGGAATTGGAGACGCTGCTGCTGAGACTGGAGCGTGCCACTAAGAGATGGGGCCTTACCATCAGCCCCACCAAAACTAAGCACCTGCCTGGGTATTTTGTACCATCGGACACTCCACCCCCACAACTCCCAATCGGTGATGGGGCAGTTGTGGAGAGAGTGGAGAGTTTCCCATACCTGGGCAGTGTGCTTATGACCGGCTCCAGTTTAACAGCAGAGGTCTCACTCCGAATCAGTCGCGCGGCAATATCTTTTCATCGGTTGCGTAACGCTGTGTGGAAGCTACCTGGTCTGTCGCTCTGCACTAAGCTTCAGGTCTTCTCGGCCACGGTCATTCCCTCCCGTTACACTTGCGAAACGTGGACCCCCCTAATGGAACATCTTCGCCGTTAGAAACATTTAGGCTAGCCTGCCTACGATGCATCCTGGGTTTAACCAGGCTGGATTGTGGGGAGCTCACAAATCCTTGAAAGATCTGGGCAAGGTCCCATCGGTGAGCTCCTCCGGCAGGCAAGGCTGCGTTGCCTGGGTCATGTAGCCCGCATGCCCAGCCACCGCATGCCCAAGCAGCTTCTGTTTGGTCGCATAGAGGGGGCTAAATGGGCACGGGCTAGAGAAGAGATGGAGTGATGTGGTACAGAAGGACATG